GTCTATTTGTATTAATGAATACAGTGCTTCTGCTACTAATTGACAGTGGAATACTTAAAATATGATAAACAGCTTCTTGTGCTGAAATTTCGCTTGAATTCAAAAATTTATTTGCAATAACTATAAGACGCTCTTTGACTGTGCTGTTGCCTTTTTTTAACTTATTCAATGCTTCTCTTAAAAGTTTAGACATTCCGTTTTCAGATTTGTTGATGTAATCCACACAGTACATTAAGCATGAATAAGGATCAAGAATGAACTGAATGTCCATATTTGCTCGGTGCAATGACATTATCATTGAGTTGTATGCATTGATTCTGATTTCATTTGGAGCACGTTTCAAGAATACCTTCGCTTTTTTTAATTCACTTCGAATCATTTTAATATATTCTTCTTCATTTATATTAACATGTTCCAAAAATTCTTCAAAAGTTAATGAATTATCTGTATCTTTTGATATTTTTCCAAGTTCTTCAATTACGTTCTGTCTATTTTTACTGATTTCTTCACGTTCTTTTTTTGTAAACTTTTCATCATCACTAAATGGTTCTAGAATCATCGTTTTTCTCATCGGAAAATATGGAATACCAAAACGACATTTAATCCCATTTTTTACATGTTTTTTACAAGTATGTGAGTGTTTATGACGTTGCACATTTATAAGTTCTTCAGAAAATTCAGTTGGTTTCGCATTAACTGAAATCAGTTTATCAATAAACTCTATACATTGCTCAATGGACTTAGGATTATTCTTGTCATATTTTGGAGCATTTTTTAGCCATATAAAAACATGAATATGTGGTGAGCCACGAAATTGGAATTCAACTCTGATGTATTTATCTTCTAATCCATTGCCTTCAAATGGACCACAAGGTGCTAATAATATTTCCCATAAACATTTTAATCTATGTTCAAAATAACGAACACATGTCACAGGATCTTTTCTTATTAAATCACATTTTTTTTCGTAGCTCAAGTTTTCTGCTTCTTCCAATGTGATTACTTTATTTTCTAACACTTGAGTCAATATTACAATAATTTCTGACCATTTTGTTTCTGCCGCTGACAATGTCAGAAATATTGTTGGACATCCTAATTGTCTGAACATTGCTAGAAGTTCCTTCTTTTTCATTTCCCAAAATGCTGGTGAAGATCGATCACATCTCAAGAATGTAAAAGCATCATCAGTATGTATTAGCCCATTTACATAATCTCGATTAAGCATTTGTGCAACAGTTACGTTTTTCGTATTTTTTGTTTTTCTCAAATTTATCGAAATAGCATCAGAGAATTTTCTTGTTTGTAGTTTCTTATATGTGAAAAATAGTTTCGATACTCTACCACATCTTCTATCAAACATTCTTAATTCTGACTTAGCAATTTTAGCATAAGTCAGTCTAACATTTTCTTTAATTTTTCGTTGTTTTCCACAATAAATTTTTGGAAATGTTAACTCGTCAACTTTCAAATCCATTAAAATAGATATCGGTCTGTTATTTTCTCCTGGAGCAAACTTAATACCAATATCATTTTGATTGTTAGTCTCATCATTTAACAATGTTTCAGTATCTCCTGGACTTATTGGCTTGTCGTCAAGTTCATTCCAATCGTCGTCATCATCATCATCAAAAACTTCTCCCCTATTTTCATTCACATTAAGTTTTTTATCTTCGTCATTGACGATGAAATTTTCTCTTTCATTTGAATATTCCTTAATCCAATCATTAGATATAACAATACCTTCATCTTTATATAGTTCCTGTTCAATAAGGTATTTTATAGCTGTATGTACAACTTTCGGTCGGATTGTTTCATACATAAAAGCATTCTTATTTTTCATTTGTCTCATGAGTTTAAGTTGAATTGTATGAGTATCGCTAAAACTTCTGGGTAATATTGAAACATTTGTGTCAACATTCATGGGAACATTTACTAAATTACCTTTGAGACCAAATTGTTTACAAAACCCTAAAGTTCGAATCACCATAAAAGGAATTCTTGGTGATATCAATCTTTCTTCTAATTCAGTCAAGATTTTCAAGCAATCCGGTACTTCATAGAATGCTAAACCATTAGATAGACAAAGATTGGGTACTTTATTCAACATGATGTCCTTTCTACAAGTGACACATAATTTAACGATTGTATTTTTGAGATAACAAACATTATCAATAAATTCTTTTTTTAATCCTTTGTTTGTTAACATCTCAATTGTCAATTCTCTGATTGAATATTCGAACCATAAACCACCACAACAACTGCAAATGTGAGTAGGTCCTTCTTTTATTTTTGATTCATAATTTAATTTCATGAGATGAAAATTATTTTCGTATTTATCTCGACTCATACGCATTCTTGATGCATTTCTTCTTCTCTCTTCCTCTTTGTATTCTTCCTCTTCACGTTTAATTTTAAGTGATTTTAATCTTCTTTCATTTTCCTGAGTTTTAAATTCATCATTTTGTCGTTCAATTTTAAGAGCTTCTGCTTTTCTTTTATTTTCTTCTATTTTCAATTCATCGTTTTGTCGTTCAATTTTATGAGCATCTGCTCTTCTTTTATTTTCTTCTATTTTCATTTCATCGCTTTGTCGTTCAATTTTATGAGCATCTGCTCTTCTTTTATTTTCCTCTATTTTAAATTCATTATTTCGTCGTCCAATTTTATGAGAATTCGCTCGTCTTCTATTGTCTAACAAGCGGAACTCATCATCAGTTCTTCTTTCTCTCATTCTCTCTGTCATCTCGGCATTTCTTTGAGATTTAGATCTTCTTTTTGTCTTCGGCATTTTTTTCAACCAATTCAACAAGTTGTACTTTTGATGAGACTGATTTTTCCGGACTATATATAATGAAATAAGATGCGATGAAATTAGCTGTTGAAATTTTGAATAATCACAACTCCTCATGCAGATTAAGCGCGTATATATACTAAGCACGGCTTGTACTAAGTGAGAAACGTGTATATCTCTCAACTTGTTGAGATAAACAATGAATAAGTTTCTTTCGAGATAAATCTTCGTTAAAACTTGGTGAAGATACACTCGATACTAAGCAAGAAACTTTAGAAAATCAAAAATTTGACAATCTTTCTTAAACAAATAAAATCAATTTATATTTCTTTTAATAGTTTGAAAATAATTATGATAATTAAAATCTAAAAAGTGAAACAGATTAATTTAAGATAAACTATGAGCAGTATACGGATGGGGGAGGAGCTGTAATAGATTTTAGCATACCATCAATGAAAATATGCTTTTATTATTTAATAATGAGTGTGATTTGCATAACGCAAACAATTTTATTTAGAAATAGACATATATGCTAAATTAAATTCTCGTTCAGTTTTATTTTATAGATTGTCTTTTACTTAGTTCAATCTATGAATTTAAAAGACGAATGATTGAAATATAGGTATTATATTAATGATTGAGAAATTATTTAGTGATTTTAAATAAATCTAATTTATTGTAACAAGTAGATATAAGAAAAAAAAATTTATTTAGTACAAGATAAATTGTATTTAAAGAATTTCTTCTTTAGTACAACATGTTGTTTTACAATTTCTTTCTTTTTTTAGTGGTTAATATATGTAATAAACGTCATAATAATATTGTTTGTTGTTATAGATCAAATGACGAATATAAATGATTTTCATTTATGTTTTTTCAAGACTTGGCGGAACAGTTCCGTACTAAAACGAGATATAGTTTAATTTAAATTAAGTAAAAAATATAGATTAAGTCATACATTGTTGATTTAAAGAGTTCCGATGAAATTTGTGTCTGTGGTTCATTGTTTTCTTTTTTTTTTGGTATTTTCGGTAATTTTGAAATACTGTTGATGTTACGTTCCTCGATCTTAATATTCACAGCTTCTACGCCACGTTGCGCTATAGAACAATGAAGTATTATTTATGTTAGGATTAAAGTAAAATAACTTACTTTTCATAATATCGAACTTGCAGGTGTCTGCAACGAAAAATTTTCTTTGGTGAATTTCATTAAGGATTGATGCTTCTCGAGCAAATATATCTCGAGATTCAATTTTATCTTTCCTAGATAATATATAAAATAAAATATCTACAATAAAAACTAGTCTTTGATACACACCGTTTTATAAATGCATAATGTTTCATCCGATTCACCGTAACAACTGTTCCTTTAATACCTTTTTCTGAAAATAGAAAGTTCTTTTAAAATTTTTGAACTTTTAAAATATATTACCAAGAATAGCAGGTTCATTACTACCATGAATAATTGTTTGATTATTACCACGAATGGCTGCTCGATTATTACCTCGAATAACTCGTTTAGTACCAAGAATCACTGGTTGATTAGTACTACGAATAACTGGTTCATTGGTACTAAGAATTGCTCGTTCATTAGCACCAAGAATAACTGGTTCATTGGTACTAAGAATCGTTCGTTCATTAGTACCAAGAATAACGGGTTCATTGGTACTAAGAATCACTCGTTCATTAGTACCAAGAATAACTGGTTCACAAACCGTTGAATCTGTATTTGTTTCTTCCATTGATTGATTGATTAGATTTGTTTTTGAATCTGAAATATTGATAGATAAGATATAAACCTACATAATTTTATTTCATCAAAAAATGTTTTTAATAGATGAAATTTGGGTTTTTCTTCAGAATGTGCACACCATTCGACTATTTCTTTTTTCCCTCTCATTCTTATGAATATGAGAGTGTGCACATTCTGAAGAAGTATCGAAGTTTGTATTTAGATATAATGAGAATTGAACAGAGAAAATAATGAAATCTGCTAATGATCAATTTCAAATCGTTTTAGGAGGTTGATTCTGTTTTTGAATAAACAAGAAAATAAGACACAAAAGAAGATAGCAAAATTTATTAGAAGAAATTATTTTACCCATTGAACGAAACTATGATTATTTAGAAAGTGAGATATCTATATTTTTCTGCTTGATGTTTATAGATGAGTTAAATAAATGAGTCGAACTACGAAAATTTTGTTTTACGAAAGGAGAGATTTAAAATTTATTATAAAATAAAAATATTGTTGATGTATTAATTATGTTCAATTGAGCCCTACAATTTAATATCAGTTTTAGTTTTTAATGAATTTCTTAACGCTTCACCAACTGGTTTATTTATTGAATAAATTAATCACGCAATTACTTTGATGTGAATATCTGCTTGATCAATAGACAGACTTATATAAACAAAAGAAATCACTTAGTAAATAATCAATAGCCTTATCTTATTCAATAATAGATCATCAATACAATAGTGCATATCCTCGACATCAATTTTAGTTATCCTCTGTTCCGATAGAATGTTCTAATATCAAGGATATTCTTCTATTTTATATAGCTATATATATATATATATCGTTGAGCGTCAAAAGATTCCTATTAGACTGATAAAAACAATGAAACATAATTACCGACAGATTGCTTTTGATCAAACTGTCTGAAAGAATCAACCAGCAGTGTCAGTATGCATCAGTTTTTCATAGTTTTCGGGAAGTGCAATATTGAGGAAACGTTAAATGAACCATATTTACCTGTATAATATATCATCATTTAGAGCTCTTGACAAGTTCTATCTACTTCATAAAAACAACGTTAGTTCTATGGGAAATAAACACATATCATACAGACAAAGTGTCAGTATACGTGAGTTTTTCATAGTTTTTTGGCACTGAGGTATTGAGAAAATTTCAAACACAGCATATTTACCCCTACAATTTAGCATAATTTTGTAGCCCATGAAATTCTCTATCGAATGGTATATAACAGTTCATTTTTCATTTTCACTATGACAAAGATTTTGATTTGCGAAAATTGGAATAGGTCAATATTTGCATAGAAAATAATGATATTTTTTGCTGTAACTCAGTAAATCCTCGACGAATTATTTTCATCTTCGAACTCGACCGAGATATTGATGAGATAATGCTATGTACAAAATTTCATGACAATTGGATCAGCCTTTCAGGAGTTATCGTGTAAACGGCCGGACACACTGACCGATTCTATAGTGTACTCACTTTTTTTTGAGTACACAAAAACCTATTGACATAATACAATCCATTGAAATCGAACCCTCTATTTGCAATTTTATGTCAGCATTAAGATACCTCCATATTTATGTTCATAGCAGAGAACTATTGTTATTTCTGTTGGTATTCGTATTTGTCTGTTATGCTTATTAAACGGCTTGATTGTGAGCAAGGTTGTAAATATTGTAATTTATTTCATCCTTTCTACCCCTCTATTGTCGGATCCACGTCGCATGCTGTGCATTAGTAGCTAAGCTCACTCAATGACATCGGTGACTTCTCAGTCAGTGTTTAGAGAATTTTAAAGGTGCACTTCAAATGAAATTAACATCAGTTTAAAGAAAATGCAACAGTTTTATAACTTAGATACATAAGTAAAACAAATGATTTTTGATCTAAGATTTTTTTCTGGCATTATTTGATAATTTGTCTTAAAATGTCATAAAGCTTTTTTTTCGTGATTCAAATAATTTGTGTTACTGGTTGAAATATATAGGTTTGTAATCTTCTCTATGCAGTCATTTCTATTAAATTTCTAATTCTTTTTCATCAATACTGATAGCTGATTCTTTTCTTCGTAGTCTTTTCATTTTTATTCGTGTATAGCATTATATTTCTTTTTCTTATTGTGTTTATATCAAGACGTATTACAGCTATTCGATGGCAGCAAACAAAATAAGTGACTAAGTTCGAGCTAGGATTTTTATTTTTTTTTTTGCAATTTCATCGACGTCTTCATTTTACATCAGGTATTTTATAAGCTTTGAAGACATTTTTACGTTACTCTATATTTTCAGAAATATAAAAATTGCATACACATAGAATATAATTATTGAGAGTAATATCTACATTGTCTCTAAAAGAAAAAATTCTGGATAAAAATATTAAAATCATTTCATTATATTTTGATCGTAACTATGTAGAAATATAATGTGCACATCGTTTAGTAATGCATGCGTTTTTTACGACAATATCAATAAGTGAATTTGAGGTGATGCTAGAGATACTACAAAAAAATATTTTCTATGCTTTGGCAACTATGTGAAAACGAAAAATAATTCTTATAACATGTTGCTTAGTCAGAGTCTTCAGTGACAAGATCAGCTAGCTAAAAGAATCAAGCTGAAATGGGTCCACAGTTAATTACCAATTATTTATTTAAAAAACTCGTCATCAAATTTAGGACCATACAATTTTTTCTAAAAGACTGATTCGATGTTAGTATGAGCAAAGTACTTTGAGACACCCACTTAATATAATCGATTCATGGACACTACTGGAATACACGTTAAGTTATTTACTCCCACGGAATTTTTTCTTTCGAAGGTTTGTGCTGTGATCATTTGGAAATTTGATTAATTCTGATCAACGAACAATTTTAATATCTTGATCTTTGCAATTATAACTACCAGTGGCTACTCAATGAAATCTATAAACGATTCTTCTATCAGTATTCTGACAGATGTCAAATATATCTTTATCATCATATCTACAGACACTTTCCTAGAGAATCGGCTAGATCTAAGTTGTTTTGGCATGTAATCTTGACAACTGAATTATTGTATCTCACGCTTTCTATCAATACTGTATACAGCTATGAAAATACGCCGTCGATTTCGAATCGTCTTTAAAGGACAAAGATATATCGTCGCTCTAGCGCTCTTTGTCAGCATTTCGACGATTCTTTTTATTTTGCTGTCCTTCCGTACTTCAGTTTATCAATCGTTCGAATTATCAAGCGCCGTTCTCATCGTTGACGAAGACGATCTTAACGATGCAAAAATAAAATCCACTTTCAATCTTCAAGTTTTACGTAGAGACTATTTTAATACCACTCACTTGACTTGTCGCTATCCTAAATTGACGATTGACAATCCAGTTATCTGGAAACATCTGAATCCGGTTAAACCATTGCCACCTACCTGTGAAATAACTAGAAATTGGGTTTATGTTAAAAACGGTAAGTGAATAACGCAATTGCAACTGCAATCATGATGTTGATTATTATTACAGAAAGTTCAATTGAATTTTTATATGTAACTGTAGGCACCTTTAGGTTAACCGAAGAAGCTCTGAACCGGTATGGGGCGATTTCGTGTGCCTATTATCCTATTATTCGATCAAAAGATGACTTTGGGACAACTGAAGGTGATCGAATATCCCCAGTCGATGATAAAATGCCTCTAGTGTCCGATTTTTTTCGTGTCCATTGCCAAGGACAACACAATACTTCGTATTCGAACGTTCATATGGGAATCAGATTTGATCCAACTTTACACCTTAGGTGAGTATTTGTACGTCAGATTTTCTAACTTCATAGTCTTCTATTGTAGACGCATAAAGAACCCGATAGTGAAAACTCATCTCGGCTACAATATTTTAATGTTCGGCTTCGATTCAGTATCTCGAATGACTTTCATGCGATTCTTGCCGAAAACTTACTCATTTCTAATCAAGGAACTAGGTGCTATTGTTATGAAAGGTCACTTCTTTTTTTGAAAACCATTTATGAGACACTAGTTTGTCTAATTCGATAATTTACAGGATACAATATTGTTGGCGATGGTACACCAGCAGCATTGCTTCCCATTTTGACCGGACAAACTGAACAAGAATTGCCAGAATCAAGACGAGGTCGCACAGGAGCTGTAACAGTTGATAAATTTCCTTGGATATGGAACCAATTCAAAGGTACACCCATTGATATCTCCATGCTTTTCTAAGTTGAACAATACTCGAGCTATTGAAGTGACAAGAAGATCATTAGGAGCGTTCAAAAACAAGACATGTTTAACTTGTCTTTTGTACTGAATTTTTTTCGAAATAGATCAAAAAGTTTTGCCGGATATTCAAGTCATAAGCGAGCTCTTCATCATAGCGTGTAGCTTTTTGATTTCTATCAAATGAACTCCTTGGTAATTTTACTGGTCGAGTTTTTACAATGTGCTTGCTTCGATAAATGTCAATAGTTGTTTTAATTTTCATATCGCATAGATAATGGTTATGTAACTCAATGGGCTGAAGATATGCAGAGTGTTGGTACATTTCAATATCGTCTGAGAGGTTTTCTTGATCCACCAGTTGATCATTTTGGCCGTCCATTCTACCGATAAGCTGAGAGCAGAGCGACATCGCGACCATTGTGTTTTGGTTCTATCACTCGTCTCCAAGCGATGTTCAATTGGATTCGAGATTTCTTCGATATGTATCCTCAGCAACCCAAGTTTTCTTTTCTTTTTCATTCTCATTATTCTCACAATTCTAACAATCGTTTGCCTCATGCTGATGACGAACTCTTTGCATTTCTTCAAATGATGCAAAAACATGGCCGTCTCAATGACACAAAGCTCATCATTATGACTGATCATGGAGCTCGCTTTTCATCATTACGAAAGACTCATCAAGGTAAACTGGAAGAACGCTTACCCTTCATGTCGATTCGAATGCCACCCAAATTTCAAGATCAATATCCAACGATCATGAGAAATCTACGTTTGAATTCTCATCGATTGACGACACCGTTCGATATTCATGCAACATTCGAACATCTATTCAATTTTCATTCACTAAGTCCTTATCAGTCGAAATCTAATCGTTCAGTTAGTCTATTTGAATTGGTACCTGAAAATCGAACTTGTGCAGGAGCCGATATTGAACAACATTGGTGTGCATGCCTAAACTGGCACAACATATCAATTGATGAGCCAATCATTCAGCAGTTCAGTCGAGCTGTTGTAAATTTTCTTAACAATTTCGTGTCAGATCATAAAGAGGACTGTGCTACACTTACACTACTTCGAGTGAATAAAGCGAGTCGCTTAGAAGCCAATAATCATCTCTTAAAATTCGTCCAATCAAGTGATGTAGATGGTCGAGTACCTCAATTTCGGAATGCATCATCACAACCATTAAATGAAACGAAATTCTATCAGATTCAGTTCGAAACAACACCTGGTGAAGCTCAGTTTGAAGTGACAGCCGAATATGATCCAATAAAAGACATCTTCGATATTCAGAAGCGACATCTCAGCCGCGTGAACAAGTACGGCGAAACGTCAGCTTGTGTTGCTTGGAAAAGACCAGAGTTTCGAGAAATATGCTACTGTTCGAATTTGTTAGTGCACACTAATCTTTCTAGTACTGTTACTGCTGCAAAATAAAGCAAATGAATTGGCCTGCGTACAGTAAACCTTTTCAGATAGAACTCTATCGACCAAACATATATCAGACTCATTTTAAATCTTTACATATGACTGTTAAAGTTTTCTTCATGAAGTTTGATTGCATACCATTATTGTTGTTAATGCATTACATCGCGTAAACAAATGAAGTGGTTGGAACAACTAACATATTTCAATTAAAGACTCAAATGAAACTTTCTATGCATTTCTAGAGGCACATGACGTTTGGGTAGCATGAACTTCCTGCATCTTTCAGAACAGAAACTCAAGTTAAGAAGATTAGTATCTAGACAAATGGAAGTAATGAGTTAATGCCGTTTGGCAAACTTGGAAGAATGTGATCGGTTTCATCAATATAAATAGGCTGCAATTTTGATTAGCAACAAGCAAAAATTCAGTAGGCAGTTTCTCTGATTTAGATGCACAGCGCAAGAACCAATAGTTGTACCATTGTAAAAATTTAATTATGAAAGGTATTCTTGGTCTAGGATATTGAATTGAATTCGAATCACCAGTTTGTTGGTAAGTTTGAATATTACCATTTGTATCTGTTTTGATAACTTTCAATGTTGGTGTTTTCCAATCGTTTGCAGTTGAAGCAAGCCAACATTCTTCACTAATTTTTGAAGCACGTCGATTGAAAATATAGAAAATATCTTTTAACGAATACTGATGTTCATCGAAAATTTTTCTTAATTCTCTTGCATGCCGAAATGCATGTGTCATACCTTGTCCAATTTGTGGATTGAATGCGCACATTGCGTCACCTAATAGTATATAATTTCGAGGCCATTTTTTACCTAATGATTCAACATATTTTCTATCATCGATCGCTCGATGATGTGAAACCAATGGACTACATAATTTAGTTGAGTTTAATATAACAGTGAAGTCTCTATCTAGATGTTCTTTGGACCAATCTAATAAATTTTCGTAGGAATCATTCGGTGGGTATTCTGCATTAACACAATTAACAGCAATTGTCGACAGAATACCTAAAGAATTTTCGTCCGTTGATTTTAAGGTACGTACTGGACTTATATAACATCCTGTATTATTATCGGGTACATTGGCATTCGAAAAATATATAGGCTTTGAATCTAATGACGAATCTCCTGTTTTAAATCTTTCGCCTACGAACGTAACATAACCACAACCAAAATGCATTTGTACAGTTGGAACGATTAAATTTAAACTCTCTTTTAACCATTTTGTCGATGATGTATTGCGACCAGTACAATCAATAATAAAATTCCCATAGATGTCTAATGATGATGATGAATCTTTCAATCGATACTTGGTACCGTGAACAACATTTGCTGATCGATCAGCAATTAGCTCGACTAGTCTTGCGTTAGTTATCCATTCAGTTTGGTTACCGAATTGTAAACATAATTCTTTTCTCATAGCTGTTTCTAATGTAAAACGATCAATACCTAACCATTCAATATCTTTAATTAAATTTTGCTTCAATAAATTGCCGTTTATCACAAATTTGCCATCATTTTTCAATGAATATAAACGAATGTTATATTAATTTAATAGTTTATCTTTTAAACTAGGAAATAAATCATGTAATATATTGAAGCCTTCACTTTGCAACACATGAATTTGATAGATTTGTCCAACTCCTGAAGGTCCAATCGAGGCTGGATTTGCGAGACGACAACGATAATCGAATATTTGATCCGGTGTAGATTTATGCAATGTTTCATTTAATACATTATCTGATTCGATGATTGCTATACGTTTGAAATATTTTGATAAACAAGCAGCGACCATCATTCCTCCAATGCTACCTCCAATAATTATTACACGATCGTGAACAGGCATATTTGAAGCACATTGAACATTTTTAGTGTGTTTCTTATACACGATGTACGAAATTACTAACAAAATAATTGGTATTATTAGATACAGCATAATACACTACTCGAGTTGCAGTGAAGCAGTAGAAAAAAAATAACATTGGGCGCTGATGCGTTTTATCTATATATATTCATTTACGTAGAAGAAATAGAAGCAATCACATGTGACCTACTTAGCTTGTGAATACCAATGACGTACATAGGTAGTTATCAGGAGGTATAATTACATTAGTCTCACGCACTGATTATCCTCTTGGCGCATACACGTGAGCATCATCACTGACGAGAAACATAAAATGTGTCATAGTCAGTATCTATCAAAGTTTGAATTTATTGCAAACAAATATTTCATATGTCATACTTCGCTTGAAAACCTAGTTTTCGCAATGAATAATCGGTGTTCAATTCTTCATTCGAATCTTGCCGATGACACGCAGTACGATTGAATCTTTTTAAGAAAACTTCGAAATAGATACATGCATCCATGTAATCTACAGATTCACACCTTATTACCAACCATGAACGTGCAGTAATTTGTGCTCGCATCTCATCTTGTTCAGTGTCCCATGCTTCAAGAACGGTTCCAACATAAATACATGCAATACCATCAAGAAGTCGGTGTAAACGGCCATCTAGTAATGCATCTTTATCATCACTGTCTCTCATATGCCAATCGATGATGTGTAGGCAACGAAGGTGTGGATTTGTTTGAATAAGCCTCTGTAAATTAATAAAAGAAATGTTTGCTGTACCAATTACAATAGCGACGATATTGCTCTGCAGAGATCCTTGCAAAGAATAAACAGATTCTGACCAAAAGAGGTGTTGTAGTCTTAATAAGCGCACATGAAGTAAATGACGAATAAGAAAGAGAAAAAATTCTGCTTTGATTCCAATATTTATACAGAGTTGTTTAATAGTCTGATTGACAGGTTGATTGTCTTGTTCAGTTGCACTCGTAGATAAAAATTTCGAAGAAGACAAATCTAAAATGCATTGTTTTAGACTATGCATTCGAAGAATACAGGGAAATATATTTGTTTTGTCCTCTTCATTCATGACTTCTTGGATTTCTCTCAATGAAAAAGTTTTAATACAGACGAGATTCACGAGAATAGATGCCAATGGTTTTATGTATGTGCTCTTAACGTCAAGGTCCAGAAAGGTCAAATGTTTGAGATGAGATGAATTCGATAGAAGAAATTCCACGATTAAATTTGATTGAGACGTTTGAGCAGTTAACAAACGAATGGATTCTAGTGGAATAATTGACCATATCGATGTAGTTGATAATGTATTTTCAATATCTTTCGAATTGATTTCGACATGAAGACGAAGTTTATGTGATGCAAGTATCGAACGAAAGTAGGAATTCAAATTGTCAAAAGCTTTCACAAGATCATGAGCTTCGAGATAGCTAAAAATTTTCAACCACAGTTCGATTGGAAATTGTTCGACAGACGAAGGCATGCGTTAAATTTTACTATCGAATACTTGAATATGAATGCTAAAAGACAAAGTTCACCTAATTTTATGATAACGCTGAAAAACGGGGATTTCACCATCGTAATATCACATTACTCATAGCACGCTTTTCAAGTCAATATTTGCAATGGTAACGAAGATTAAGATAGGCAAATAAATAATAGAACGGAAGTGAATAATATACGTCTTATTTTACCCATTGCTTGTAGAGAAAAGGAAAGGAAAGCTTCTCACTTGCAGCACATATCAATCGCACAGAAAAAGAGTCCTCTGACTTATCTAGACAGAGAATTGAAAGTAATGTAATCGTATGATTTCTTACCAACACTAAAACGCCATCGTATATGATGTAGATTAGTTAGATCTGGGTTATTTTAATTATTCAAAAATTTTGCGAGTTATAATCATTGCAGAAAATGTTTTTTTCTTTACTCAAAATAAATATATTTATCTGTGTATATTCTTCTTTATGTGTTGATATCTGCTGCCATTATAGTTGCTGAAACTCTTAGCTCAGAATGGTGTTTTCCTTATTTTGATTTTTCGATTGGTTGATCCTTGTATCGAATAGAATGTTTTTCGTAGTGGTGCCAACGGTTGAGATAAGCTACACACACTTCGATATACACACACAAAATCGCCATTGCGATATATTGCACGATTCCTCTAAGCTCTGGATTCCACATTAGATGGCGCTGATGGATAACACCTATATGTTATGCATATAAAAAATCGTTTAAGATAATCGAAATCGAATTTCTAGATTCTTTTACAAAATCAAATGTATTCAATATTTTTTCACCTTGTTGCAAGAATTTAAATAGAATTTTTANGTTACTATAAAACTAAAAAAATCTATATTGGTTTGGTTTGATCGTTTATTGATCAGTGGATATGTGTGTGTATATGTACAAGTACAAAGTGTCGCATCATTCTGGTATCACAGAAGAAAGATGGGTATTGTGTGGAACGCAATTTGATTGGTTTAAATCAAAATGATAAGCTACACACACTATTGTGTGTAGCGTGTGAGTGTAGCTTATCTTAACCGGTGCCAACTCGTTGCGGCGTGCTAACTTGACATCGATGGTTGTTATAATTAGTTCATTAATCGGTTCGACTGCCTGTCGAAAACTGTGAATGGAGCAATAGGAAGTTCATCAAGTAAAACAGAAAAAGCAGCGCAACACATTTTACATTACGCTGAGCTTTTTTCTTTAGAAAGTAGCTGTTCATTTTCTTGCTCATTGTAGTTAGGCCAGTGGAAAACATATGGTTTGCGATTAATCAACATTATGGATTTTGATGACTTTTTTCTAGTAGAAACAATAGCTGTATATGTATGAGATCGCTACTTCCTAAAAAAACTAGATGTAGATGATCATGAATGCTGAGTTAGAATGGCGCATAATAATAACGAACTTTTTAAGCGTAGATAATATCACTAGCACTGTTGCTCTCAATACAAGACCATGATTAAAAGTGACAACTATATAATTATGTACATTCAACTGTAATACCCGACAATAAAATTGAATTTTCCGGATAAATAGTTTGTGTGAGAAAAACTTATGTGAAAAATAATCTTCTTTTATACACTAGTGACATTTTATGACATCAATTCATGCGTTAGTTTCACACTTTGACTGTTTCTTAGTGACCAGCCAGAACGATGAATGCCTCATCAAGAATAAGTGTTGAAGGCGTTCATTGTTGCACATACTACTTTTGTGTCGAGTGTCAGATGGATCGTACTCACACTGAGCTGAAGAATGGAGTGACTTTAATAGCGTTGTCTATTGCAGAAGAAGGGCTGTGTAGAACAAAATGCGCAGTCAGTATATTTTCTAGTCTCATAAGACATCCATTGTTACTTTAAAGAAACACGAAAAATGTGATAATTTGCTGGATAATGAATTGTTTCTATAGATACGAGCCGCTATGGCTGAATGGTTAAGATGTTCGACACATATCCACAAGATAGTGTGTTCAAACCTCGGCGCCATCATCCATAGAATAACCTTGGACAAGTTACTAACGGCTGCTTTGTCTCGGATCACCCATCCGATAGCAAGCTGATTACATGTGACATACATAAAAATATCCTCATGGATAGTATGTGGTTAGTCAGTATGCATGGGAAGCTTAAGTAATTAAGCGGAAGAAACTCTGAGTCAGGCCGGCCTTCTGTCCAGAGCTGCAGCTAGTAATAGTTGTAGGAAAAATATCGGGCTCTTGAAATTGTCTCCGGACAACACCCTATACTGAAAGGTAGCCGCAAGGCAAGGGTATTCTTTCTTCTTTCTTTCTATAGATACAAAAGAACCTACACAGAACACATCGACTGGTGTTTGATCGAATAATGTGAATTAAACTGCCTCATTGATAAATAACCTGATGAAATTTGTGTACGAACAACTACCATAAGATAAACAATATTTTGAAGGATCGTATCCTCTTTATGAATTATTTTAGTCATTTGAGATTGTAGTTGAGTACTAACGTTTTGCTGCCTACAGATACATGCTCAGCAATACGTTGATTCATTTCTTGACACTTCTATTAAATCAAACATATATCCATTTGATGACTAGCACTAGCATCATGTTGTCTATCGAAGTCTTGCCGACAACGATAGATAAGTGGCTCTAAGATGAAATAATTACGTATAATTCGTACTCGACAAAGAAAAATAGTTCTTGCATCTATTTATAGTAGTATTGATTACTGGATTAAAATATATCATAATTCAACTCTGTTAAATAAAATAAAAACACATGCAGAAATATAAACACAAGCCTCACGAAGAAAAACTTATAAATAAATGATTGATATATTCTTTCATTTCAAAAAATACGTCATGCTGCTGGTTCTCAACTATGCTTCGACTATTCCAATTAATGTCTACAGTATTTTTTTTAAATCTCTAATAAATCATAGCAGTGCTTGGAATCTTTTTCTTTTTATAATGCTTACTGAAATATTCTCTCGATTCATTACTTGATCTTCCCAGGTTTTGATTGCAAACGAGTCTTGTGCAATTTTTTTGTGAGATACTTCTTGTACGCTGTAAATTTTGAAAAAATGCTGAACATTAGTACTTTTCTCAATTATTGTAAAATTAGTAGTTATACAATAGTTCTGGTTCTGGCTGTCTTTTACATCGTTCCAATTTTATTAATCGAACGATTTCGTCATCGTCACAATATTCTAACTGTCAATATAGCTTGTGGCGCCATTGTGTGCATGGTATTTTGGATTATCTTTACGTTTATGTATCAATATGATGTAGATGGCTTATTTGCGGCGAGCACTTGTAATCTGCTTTTCTTTTCGATTCTGGCATGCGATTGTGAATTTACTTTTGCAATCGTGCTAATTTCGATTAATCGATACTGTACAATTGTTCATTACCAAAGACAATTTTTTAAAACAAAAGCATGGGTGGCTTTTTCTATTGGATTGCAATGGATAGCTGCCATTGTGGTATCTATTCCCCTTGGTGTAGTTAGTATGCCGGTGAGTAATTGCTTTTAATCGATAATTTAATACTGAACGCTCAGCAGAGTTTGAATCTACATCGAATGCTGAAATCGGCTATTCAAAGTTAGTTTTCTAGATCGGTGAACGGCTTAGTGGTTGCCACTTGGCAAAGTTGACAGCATATAATATTTATGAGTTCATAATAATTGAAAAGATCTCAGTTCACAGTCGACATCTTTATCTATCGGAAGATGTCACTTCCAACACTTGATGCCAGCCTATAATGTCCATTGAATGAGTTTTATTTCAAGAGTTTCGTCATTGTTAGGGCAAGTGTAAAAGAACAAAAAACAGTGTCGTGTGCACATCTCTATTGATGAATATTCAATATCCATCGAAGCTAAATGCAAAACTGAATGTCGAGAAATTTCGAGCGAATGTACTTCAAACACTTCAGTTGACATTTTGAGAGCTTTAACGACTTAAGAAATTAATTTTCTGCTTGCAGTATTGTTTTATTCCAAGATGGGTCTGGTTTTACATAACGGCTATGGTTGTTGTGTTTCCGGCAATAATTTCTCTGGTCTTCAATCTGCTTATTTTTATTCGAGTTTATTCATCTTCAAAACGTATCCAGCCTGCATCACAAACTGCTGGTACAACTGATGCCAACGCCGGAACAATAAAATTAAGTCGTCGTGACCGTCATCTACTACAACACTCAATCATTATGTTTATTGTTGTAATGGCAGGCTGGTGCCCTACCTTTTTGAATATTGCTATCGACTATGCATCAGTCGTATCACCAGTCGTTTACGTCGTTTTGCAGCTTTGGTCAATAGTTGGTGACATGCTAATTATCATCGATTTGTTTATATACAATCATGAATTGAAGAAGCTGATTAGAGACAAATTTCACAATTTCCATCAAATGTTAGCACCTACTGCACAAACTTGACGAACAATTCCAATACATATTCGTTGTTTTTTTGTTCTCAATTCCTTTTGGTATTGTATGCTATATGTGGTAGGGTGATGGTAAAGAAAATACCGAAGCCTATCGCACACTCTCAAAATAAATTGCTTGTCGTTGTTGTGAAGTTGCGACTATATTCTACAGTAAATAAATATTCCCTAGCTTCTCTATATTATAACTTACTGATTATATGAAACATGAAGAGTTTTTGAATTGCAACAATTGAATATACTATAAGCAATAATAATACTTTTTCAGTTGAATTGCACCATAGTTTTAAAATGTCAACGGAATCAATTCGAGAATACTCTTTAAATACTATTCCACTGCCAAATGGGCGCTAGGACAAATGGTCGCAAGACAATACGTCGCGAACAATATGTGGGTGGGGGGTGTTACTGCTATATTCACTGGTGTCTATACGTACACACACGCCCACCCACATTCTGCATCTATTCATGTTCGTTTTCGGTAATTATCATATTAGAAATATTAATATATTCTTGTTAATTATAGAGACAGCGTTTCTTCGTTGAATATTTTAACTTAAAATAATTAATAATACTCGAATACACATGCGGTATCTTTACCTCGACCATATCCATGCTTCCTCTATAATATGTGACAAATTTACATGTATAGTGTACCATAATTGGCTTAGACGTGTATAAGTTCGTTTACTTACTTGAGCATAAATTTGATTCGATTTCATACTTCGCGGTATATTTGACATATAGGATATGAAGTAAAAGTAATGTAAGGAAGTAAATGAGTATGGTTTTCGATGATATAGATATTCAACAAAACAAAGATGCTAGTTACCTATTTGTCTTACTTTCGTTCATCGTGCATACTGTGAGAGAAAACCGCATTTTTTCAACATATTCCACCACTGAAGTTTTTAAACATGAAAATATGGTCATGAATGTTATGTGGTGATTTGCGTACAAGGCTTTATAGTGATGAAATTCATCACCAATGCTCATTGTTATTTACATAACAGTACAACATTCTTGCCATATCTTGGAGAAAACCGCTGTTTACGGGGCATGAATAATTCTCATATTTTTGAATCATAAAGCACAAGAGAAAGGATTCTTGAACTAGTACGGTTCTGAAGAACGAAGGGATGCAGAAAATAAACTTCTTTGTTAGCAATTCTTTCCGTGCCCTCAGCAGACTCGAGGATACAACTTGATGTATCCAAATTGATTTTTGTTACGTACTGACGAAATTATGTGACAACTGCCTTTGGAGAAAATGCATAATTGATAGGGGTGGAAGGGGGAAATTTAACGGTAACCCGGCATTGGAAGAAACCGAGAGAAAGAAGAAGAAAACAAGAATCATCGTTGAAACTATAAAATAAGCACTCTGTGAATAGCTACAGGAGAAACTAAAAGAAACAATTTGTCCTTGTCTTACGAGTGTTGCGATTCCAAGTTGAAGTTAAGAACCAGTTGTAAGTGACATATAAATCGATAGGTACTGCCCAGGTGAGCAAAACAATTGTGAGGACGGGCTACATGACTAGGTTGAAGAGTCCATAAGATACTCCAAGTCTAGTCTGAGATGTCCACTGCATCCATCATGACTAGTTATCGGGACAAAAAACGTCCTACACCATGTCTAGACTAGACCAAACCGTCCTGAAGTCCAATTATGTCTAGTCCGATTGTTCATAGATGGAGTCGAACACAGACCGATATTATTTAATAACTGACGGGCGTCCAGACGGTAAAACATATTATAGGGATATATATACGTCAGTTGATAGTCTAAATTACAAGATGACTTCCGTCTGTTTAGTTGATAATGAAGAATTAATTAAACTTGAATTTTTCTGTCTAGTCAGAAACGACTTAAGTGTCTTGATTTAGAATTCCGAAACTGTGCCACGGAAAAATAAAACACAATATTTATTGTATGTTGGGTATTCCGATCTACGTTTTTAACGCTCCGTTACTCATTTATAACAGACTGTAATTTTTTTATTTAGTTATTTTTTTATAATAAATTTACATTTTATTTCGTTGAAATCATTAATTCTGTCAGATTAAATTTAAATGTACATTCGGATAGAATAATTATATAAAGTTTAATCGTAAACTCTAGAAATCATTAAAAATATTTATTTTTATTGTAGTCTAAATTATCCTATGATTTATTTTTATACTAACAAGTTATTTTTACTATTAAGATGAATCGATTTTGATAAAAAGAATGACCGGAAAATATTATTAAAAGTTCCCTAAATAATTGTTTTTCTAAGAAACAATTGTTCTCACAAGCTAAAAACTTTGAAAGTACATGAGATTGGATTCATGATTAATATTCATATAATAACTATACTTTCATATTGAAAAACTGACTAGTCCGAACGCAACCTTAGTTCACTAATATGTGGCGCCACAGCTCCATTGATATATTTTATTTGTATCACTTTTTGACTCCCGTCAAGGCGATAACACGTGCCTAGTCTTTTTCTGAAAGAAAATTAGAAATATCATGAAGAAGACGCCTGTTAATTGAGTAGTCAAGACGTGATATGTGGACTACAGCTAATTTTGGACAAGTCTTTTTACCCGTCTTTTGCTCTCCTCAGCGATGATAAATTATTTAATTAATAGTGTCAATAATAGAGGCGCTTATTAATTTAATTTATTCGTTCACTTTAAAGTTTTACAGGCTTCCATGATCTCATCAGTCTACAATGAGTATGGCTGTAGATGTTCGGACGCCATAGGTTTTAGGAAGAATATTTCACGTCGAAATGTTAAGTACTATTTAGGTTTGGTGTCGTGTTTATTTGTTTGCCTGGAATAGAAATTGAAGATTTCAATTAGTTTCTTGTCTGTGGTTTGTCTAAATCACTGGGGAGGGGGAGGGTTGTTGGGACCTCAGCATTTGCTCAGCACTTACCCCTCCGTTACTAGTTCGCTCGATGTACAAAATAGGAATAAATAATATATATTTGAGATATTTCTGAATTTTTTGAGTATTTGTTATTAGGGTGGGTGTGGGTGTGGGAGTAAATGAAGAGAAGACCCACATCCACACACTCAGCTCGAGAAAATATTGACATAGATTACATTATTGTTAGTGAGAACGATATTGGAGATTTATCTAATTTTGTCAGTCGTTCACTGTGCGAATTGTTGATAGACGAGATTCATTTTCATTGATTCTAGATATGTATCTTCAAGAAACTAATCAGAGTCTGATGCTAATACATTTAGTTGTCATTCTTTTCTCGATCTTCAGGATCAATGTTGTCGCAGTTCCGACCAATTCAAATAGTGTGACATCTGGTACACCGGTGATAATGAATGATACAAGTCGACATCTACTAGGTAGAAAATCAAGTTTGGCTACTGCCATCGTAAATAGTCAAGTGCTAACCGTCTTCAGTTACCAAGGCAATCAAATTTACGTCTATCATGCACTATCCAATGAAAATGACAATGCTCAAACGCCTCAAAAGTGGATTTTCTATTTCGTACCGATTATGCTACCATTTCAGACGGACAATACAAATGATGAATGGATATTTGCAGTAAATAGCGAGATCAGAGTCAAACTTATGTTGAGCAATCCAGATGTTGAAGAAATGGCTAGAAGAGCAATAATAAAAAAGTACCCTCTTTCCGTTGCTCAGTACTCGAATTACTGGGATGTGGTTCCATTGATGATTGATTCACTAACAGCCTATATTGTCCGAGGCACTAATTTGCCTGTTGAAGGTGTCTATCCGTACAAAGCTCTTCATCCAAATCAGTTGACAATGATATGTCGCTTTCAATGCTCTTCAGCAGAAAATGCAAAAGACATCGTAAAAAACATTATCGATGGATATTATGAAATTGAGATGGCATTTCGCTTTGCTGGTTTCAAACAAATCTCGACGAATATGATTTCCATCACCAGTGACCAACTCAAAAGTGTGCTCAGCAAAACAATCGCCGATGGTGGAAACAAAAATGCACAGTATATTCATCGAAACCAAGGAACATCATTTTTGAGCAAATACTTTATAAATGTGAAGAAAATGATTTATATGGAAAGAGAAAACGTAAATATGTCGTCATTATCCTCTGGCTTAGATGATCAATTCATTTCATTGCTGCAACAAGGTTTGCATATTCAGAGAACAATTAATGTTGGCTTTAATCGGTTGTTTTCTATTATTAGGGTTTGCTTTCTCTGATCAGATCAAACTTGATGCAAAATTGTACGAGCAAGTTTGGTCATCATCCGACTTGAATCCCGATACAATTACAAACGAAATAAATAAGCTGTTCATTTATAATCAAACCCATACAGAGAGTCACAATTATTCTGACAATTTTTTCAATTTCAACGAGGCATACGCACGATCATCGAGCTCGTCAGGTGGTGGTGGTTTCTTCATTCCAGGTTTATTTGGTATCAGTGGTAATGGTGCATCATCGTCATCATCGTCAGACGGTAACTCTAAGACAACAAAATCCATCTTTTCAGGAGCTGAAATCAGACAGTGGCTGTCTCAACAATCAATCGAAACTGAATGGAAAGGTCAAAAAATCATTCCCAAATCTTTCAGTGTCTATAAACTGAATGACATTACGGATCGACTTCAAGTAGCAATTGTTGCTAAGCAACTGATCGCTGAGAGTGAAAATGGGGCTATTGTACGGACAATAAATATAATGAATAAACCGCTATCATTAAAGAGTATGTATTCATGGCCACTTACAGGCGAAATTAAACTGTACACAGGCAGTGCATCATCCTTACCAAAAGACTGGGTGTTCTGTCACGGGCAAGCTCTATTGCGTGAAGAATATCAGCGTTTATTTTCGGTTATTGGTGTGTCATTTGGCTCTGGAAACGGAGAAACAACCTTCAATGTGCCTGACTTTCGTGGTCGATTTCCATTGGGTTTGGATTCTCGAAGAAACGAAACACCTGGAATTCGACACAGTGGAGCAGCCACTCGTACTCTCTCGATTAATAATCTTCCTCTTCACGCTCATGATAAAGGAAGTTTCGTAACCACTGCGACAGGTAATCACGGTCATAGAGTTGAAGATCCAGGCCACAATCATGGTGGTGTCACTGGCGATGGTCCATTTTCTAAAGGCCAATACGCTATGTTAGGTAGTGGTGGTGGAGGAAACGATAATGGATGGCATAAACACACGATCAATACTGGACTGACAGGCATCTCCATCGTTGACAGTGGCAATCATGCACATACGATCGAAGGATACTCGGGCACAGTAGGATCTAATCAACCATTTAGCATCATGCCTCCATCGCAAACGATCGATTTCATTATGTTTGCTGGGTAGTAATTATGGAAAAAATCTCGGAACATATATGCGCATGAAAAAAAACTGCGAAAAGCTTATGCTATTGAAACAAAGTTATTTTCATTTGTATAATCTTCTTTTTGCACGTAATACTATCTAAAGAAAAAGGTGCCATACGAAATCTTTAAAGATTCTCTTTCATGCTCGTAGTAGAAATCAAACTCAAACTGTACGCTGGCTTTCAAACTAGCGAAGTGCATCAAATGAGTCTTTTCAAATCATCCTGCAACCCTGTATTTCTACTTAGAAAGTAAAAGAAGATCGACGCTCTAATTTATGCTCACCATGTGCCATTCAACGCGTCAGATCTAAAGCAATAGAAATAGCAAATATTAGACGCTAGTGAATGAGTACGAAACAAACAGAAATATTGTTGATCGAATTACTTGAAAAGACTGTTAATATGAAAGATTAGTGCTTCTCTTACTTCGTCGCTGCCCTTTTCGCTTCTATACATTTATACGTTAGAAGCATAAAAAAAGAATTCACTAGCAGCAATACAAAATTTATAAAATTGTCGGAGATATTAATAACGAAATAAATAAAAATAAATTAGATGTATCTAACAAGCCAGCTAACACAGAGAAGAGTCAATCAAGATATAAAAAAAACAATTATATCATTTTAAAACAAGAAATTTATCATAAATTAATCCTTTTGATATTAGGATGAGTGGAATGAGAGACAGTATTAAATTATTGAGTGCTAATGATTACGACTAAGTTTTCTCATTAAATACTCACATCTTACTTATATTTCTTTTTGTTACACTTAAAATAAGTATTAGCGATGTAATGATGAGTCGCTAAGATACACGATAATAATAATTTCTTGTTTTGAACTATTTCCATGAATTATCTGTCAATGGATATGAAAGTTTCGGCATTAGACACAGGATGTTTGAATTTTTTATCAGCTGGAGTTCATAATCCGCAATGTAAAAACGCGACTTGTTTGATTTTGCATCTTTGTGTGCAATGAATAGGCTTCTCTAAATTCATGTTAACTAAGGCCATGTTTAACAATGATTCGTCTTAATTTCAATTCAACATAAAAGTAAAGGATGTAATATGGAACTCTTATCAACGTTCAGAATACTTTATTATCAACTTCGGATTATCAATTCACTTGTTACCGACATCGATGCATTTACACATGAATCTTATCACTATCCCAATTATCGTTAATATACCTATTCATGAATATTTTCAATCTTGAGGTGTGTGGGTGTAGATGTAGAAGAAGACATACCCACACCCACACCCTTACATTACACAGTTGGAATTATTTATCAATATGTGCTATAGGTATTCCATCCCAATTTACAGAAACTATATTCGATAATTTTCTTTGTATAGTTATACTTTCAATAATCAATTCCATATTCCATATTCTAAACATACTCATACAGTACGGTATTCATTTGGTACATTTTCTACACGTGGTGAAGAGATAATAAAAAATTTCGAATGAATCGTTGTTTTTATTTAAATAGTGTACATAAATAAATAGTTATATATATATATAGTATATATATATATGTGGTCCTTATATTAATTTTCCTTATCATTGTTTGATGAACTTGAACTACATGCATTAATTTGTGCTGCAGCGACCATTGCTTGATTTTGATTTATTGGTTCAGTTGAATATGATTTATCACCAGCACCATCCTCATCATCATTATCATCAACCCAGGATAATCATTCTGACCGTCGGAACTAGCTTCTTAACATGCCTAGAACGGCTATAAAGTGGTATAGTAAGGCATTAACTATCACCTTATTTCGCCGTAATCCGTCAGCTCGTTTTATACCGCTTCTACGCGATTTATGGTCATTTATGCACCGTTTTTTTGAACATAGGAAGAATTGCTTTTCGCTATTCTTTATACTCATTCTCATAAGCTTCATATTTTTCATCATATTGAAACTTATTGAAATAAATATAATAGTCGAATATAAATATTTAATCAAATTGAATGTTTGTCTTATCAAGCATTGGTTCAAGATTCCATATGTATAGTAATTCCAGCTTATATGTATTTTGATTATTATTAGCAGCTAAATTTAAACCAGAGTGCACAGCTGGATACGCTTCAAATCCGCCGATTTAATGATTGATCATGAAGCAGATTGTCTAATGTTAAAAATATAGGATCTAATTGCTGTGGATAAGCTTCTGGTAATGTTTGACCACAATCTTTTAAAAATTCAATAGCCAATTTCACACTATCATTAGTATAATGCTGAAGTGCAAGATGAAGTATTTGTAAAGCAATTATTTTATGTAACTAAATAAAAAAAGCAGAAGACAATAGTAGAATTATTTTGTTTGTTAAAAAGTACATACAACTCGCTGGTTAATACCCTAATGAAACATCTTATAAGCAAGATCTGGAAATCTTGGGACTGGTAAGTAAGATTTTATCAAGATCTTGAAAAGATAATTTATATGTACATATCTTGATTGTATCAGATAAATCTGTACCTAAGATCTTCGTAAGATCATGGAAAAGATATCGTTTACTATTATCTTCTCACAAAATCTTGAGTAAAACAGAAAGCGACATAATTAGCTTATTTAGATAGGCTATCTAGTCATTCACCGTTTTTTAATGCATACAGAACTGAGTATAAGCAACATGATTGAACATGCAAAACATAATTTTCAAATAAGTTTTTTTCTAAACTATTTCTCGACTATTGATTATTCGAGAGAATACTGATCTCGATCGATGATCGAGAGAGGACTACCCTAAATTGATCTGACGAATATCGGACCAACTTAAAGCCGGTCAGATCCCAACATCTGACTTGTTTGAGTTATGTGGGACAGAAACAATTAATATTAAAATAAATTGAAAAAATATCAAACATGCTTTCAGAATGCATCATTAAAGATCTTATGAATTCTTATTTAAAATCTGTAATAAGATCTTGTACCTAAATTTTCAAGATCTGTTCGCTTATCTGTACCCAAGATCTTGGCCAAGATCTTACTTACAAGATGTTTCACTAGGGATAGCACGTACAGGCCGCATATAGATCTATCTGTTGTATGTTCTATACACGTTAGATCTATGTCTGTACGTGAAGAACCTTGGCTCTCTATGGCACCACCAAGGTAGTTCTTGGTCGCGAGCAACTATTAACGGGCAAGCAAAAAAAAAATTTCATTCCAATCAATTCATTTCTTCTTATTTCGTTTTAGTTCATCTCGATTTTATCAACAGCAAAGTAAGTAATTATAATTACTTTCACTTTTCTTCATTATCTTATTCCAAAACAATAAAATTAATTGTTACTTTTTATGTTTTAGTTCCATTCAACAATTCAATTCAATCAAAACGAACACAAATGTAAGTATATATATTTTTCATTTTTGTTCTTTATTATTTTGTAACTTCATTTTTTTCATTTTTAAAATAAACATTATTAAAATAACTCAAAATTTCTTTTCATTTCAATAATAAATATTTTGTGAAAATAAAACAAATTATATTTTTATGTTACTGATAAATATTTTCAAAAACATACAAATTTTCATTTAAATAACCAAATTTTATTTTTGATTATAATAATATTTTCAAAAACACAATGTATTTTTCACTTCAATAATTAATATTTTTTGCGAAAAATAACAAATTTTTTTATTTAATTCATTTCTTTTCATTTAACAAATAAATAAAAGGAGAAGACAAGAAACATATGACGTAATTATATATTTTAGCTTTTTTCTTTTCTTTGAAGCGAAAGAGTAAAAGAAAATTTCTTTTTCTTCTTCATTTATTTCAAAGTATAGAAAAAGAAATGAACAGTGAAAAAACAATCCACAAGTCTTATTCGATAGAAAATCGTTGAACACGTTTATTATTATAATCGGCGACATAGAGATTACCTTGTCGATCGAAAGACAAACCAATGGGGACGTTGAACTGATTTGTTCCTGCTCCTTCGCCATTTCCACCCACAATTACAGTGCCTTGTTTCTTGTCTCCTTGAGTCCAACGCATTGCACGATCATTCCACGAGTCCGCTACGTAGAGTGTACCCAATGTATCAACGAACATTCCTTCAGGCCAATATAATTGTGTCAGATCATTCCCTTGGCCTTGTCCTCCAGCAATCACAATACCTTCTTTTGCACCTTTATTCCATTTCATTACACGATGATTGTAGTGGTCTGATACGTACACGGAATGATCTCGATCGACAAAGAGATATCTCGGCTCGTTGAGTTGATTGAGTCCGTCACCTTTACCATTGCCACCAGCTACGAGAGTGCCATTCTTCTCACCTAATTGATATTGTCTTACTTCATGTTTTTCCATGTCAGAAACGTAGAGATATCTCTGCTCATTCATTGCTAATCCCAAACATTGGATGTTGTCGATGAGTATTTCACCTTGTGTTGTACTACTACGTCGAGACCATCGTACAACTCGTCGATTCTCTGCATCACAAATAATGAGACTATCCGTCTCGTTATCAATTAATACATCAGTTGGATTATTCAATTGATGCAATCCATTTCCTGCGCCGTTCCCACCAGCAACAACTTGTCCATTTGTTGTATCACCGTTCTTCCATTGCATGATATGATGATTACTGTAGTCAGCAATGACCACTGTTTGATCATCATCAACGAAGAGACCACAAGGGCTCCAGAGTTGATTAATGGCATCCCCATACCCGTTACCTCCAGCAATAGTCACTCCATTCTGTGCCCATTTAGGACCTACAAGAATATTAAGTAGAAGAGAAAACATAAGAATAAAATGAGCTCTCTCTATTTCTCTCTCTCGAGTATAGCTAGTATATGAAATAATTTCGAAAGTATCGAGCAAAATTCTTTGAATAGGTCATTCTTTTTTTTGGAAATTCTTCAGAATAAGTTTTTTCTATACTTGAAGATTATTCTATAGAAAGAATCACACATATAGCATATCGTTCTCTATCTCAAACGTATTTACTGGGTGGCGCATTAAGAACCGCACTTTTTTGTTTTGCCTATAATTCCGTCAGTTTCAATCTTATCGACCCCAATTCTTTTCCCCAAAAGATTCCACATTCAATTCTCTACAAAACCATATATTCGTTTTTTATCGGATTCTTCTATGAAAATTTCTTTTAGCATTAAAAGTAAAGGCCTCCAAAAATGAGTACTTTCCAAGCATCAAAATGGAGAAAAACCCAGCAATATATTTCGGGATTTGAAGGGCGCCATTAGTCGTACTCGGGTTTTTGCAATGGTTCAAAATGATCGCCAAGACCGGCTCTATTGAGCTGTCAACATCTCCAGGCCGCCCTCGTATTATTCGAACGAAAAATATGATTCAAAAAGTTAAAAAACGTTTAGAGCGGAAGAAACGCACCTCAACTCGAAAAATGGCCAGGGAACTTGAAATTTCAAGAAGAAGCGTGCAGAGAATTTTGAAAAATTATTTAGGATTAACGTCGCACAAGAAAAGAATCGAGCCACTACTCACAGATACTCAAAAAGTTAAAAGAGTCACGTTTTCAAATTGGGTCCATCACAATTTTTCGAAAGAACAATCTTTGAGAATTCTTTTTTCTGACGAGAAAATGTCTGATCTCAATGGTATGTACAACTGTCAAAACGATCAAGTCTGAGCTGTGAATCGTGTCGAAGTTGATAAGAATGGCGGCGTTAAACAAAAAAGAGAAATTTCCACAAAAATTCATGGTTTGGTTAGGAGTTTGTTCAGAAGGCGTAACTCCTTTGGTTATTTTGGATACTGGCACGGTAAATCATCAACGATATATTGATGAAGTACTTCCTGTGGCTCTAAAGTATGGAAATAATGTGTTTGGAGATGATTTGACATTCCAGCAAGACGGCGCCAAGCCTCATACTCACAAACTTTCTCAAAAATGGTGCAATGATCATTTTCCTGGAGTTATTGACAAAGATCATTGGCCGCCGAATTCTCCGTACTTGAACCCTTTAGACTGCTCTATTTGGGACAAATTTGTTCACAAAGTCAACTGGAACAAAGCTCAGTCAAAAAAAAAGTTAATTGCGGAGTTGAAGCGAGCTGTGAAACGAATTAGAAAAGAAGTTGTACTGAAAAGTTGTAAGAGTTGGACCAACCCAGGTCACTCAATCCTTGCTCCCGGATTCCGGTCCGGATTTGATCGGAATCCGATAAAATCCGGCAACTATCGGCGGGAACCGATCGGCATTTTGTGAGTCCGACAGGATCCTGGTGATCGTGAGTGTCTTGGGAAGGTGGTGTGGGTGTGGTTGAGTTAAAAATACAGTCACATCCACACACCCACACCCTCAAGATTCTCATCGATTTGTTCAAATGATAATTGAAAAATTAGTGACTCTATTTGGTTGCTGTCGAATATGTTGTAAAAATGATGGAATATTTAATGAAAGTTGTTCACAAATCTTTTTTAACACTGTATCAACAACAACAGCTGAACAATGAACAATAATAGGATCGCCTATGTCAGGATTGCAAGCTGACAAACGCCGAATAAATGAAAGAACAGGTAATGCAAATAATGATACACTATGATTAAGTCAATTTCTATAATGTGAATGATGGACAAGATTTTCAACAGCAATATGCTACAAGAGTGTGGATGTGGATGTGAAGTATTGAATACGAACATCCACAGTCACCCGCGTTCACACCCTATCCGAGAGCTTTACTAAGACTTCAAAGATCTCATGTGATTCCTTATCTATACCATATGTCATCAATAGTGGCAAAATTTCAGAAGAATATTAATTTAGCTGAAGTCCTATGAAAAACCTCTATATGATATGAGAGACGGTAGATGAATAGCATTGCATAGCCGAAAAAAACCTGACGCACATACATACTTCAGGTCATATGACGATAAAAAATACTCCACTTTCTTCTAATGGATAACGCCTGAGAGTATCTGTGTGGATGAGAAATGAAATCGAGTCAAACCGCACCACCTATATTGTAGGGCGAGTGTGAGGGTGTGGTTTGTAGTTGTTGACGTACAGTGTATATGAACATGCTCACCCTTACGCTCATCCTCACCCTCAGCAATAACAACACACGCTAGTACATCCATTCAAGCATCGACACTTTCATTACTGTTGATGAGCAAATAAAGAAAACTTTTTAAACCTGGGACTAGCCCGGATCCATTCGATATTAGCCCTACAGGCAATGGTGAAGCATATTTATAGACAAGCAAGTATTTATTAATGAAGATTGCATTTGACTTGTTGGATGAATGCTTCATTGTCGACGACATCAGCATGTGTTGGAAGTAAGGCTTGATGTTCGAAGACAGCCTTCGCTTTGAGAAGAAATTCTAGTGCGAGAACATAATTTTCTTTCAGAAGATGTAGATGTCCTATCTGATTATATTCTCGTCCGACGTATTCATGAGTTTCAGGTATAGTTTTTAGTTTAATTGCTAGAGCTTTTTCATAAGATTGCAGTGCCGCATCGAAATCGCCTTTTTGTTGGAATGAACTTCCTATATTTGAAATCACATTAGCAATATCAAGATGATCAGCAGGTAGTTGTTTTTCATAAATCGCTAAAGCTTTTTGGTAATACTCAAGTGCTTTGTTTTCGTTTCCTTGAACTCCATAAGTAATTCCAATATTATAGTACAGGTCAGCAATATGTGTATGATCTTCACCAAACAGAGTTTTCTTAATTTCCAATGCATGCTGATAACATTCTAGAGCACGTTTATGATCACCTTTGGCATCACACGATATAGCAATATTCTGCATAGCATTTGCTATCTCAAATTGATTATTTTCTCTAGATTGATGTAATTGAAGATGTTTCTCAAAATAAAAAATAGCTTGATCATAATCACCAAGATTATCCGCAATTAGTCCGAGCCCTTGATAAGAATAGCCAGCTTCTTTACTTTCAGGATCTGATTGATCTAAAAATTTTTGATAGTATTTTTTGGCTTGATTGTACTTCCCTGTTTCTCTTAACAATTTAGCCAAGGATTCGATTGTTGTTTGACGTTCAGTTGTTTTTTGCATGTAATCATATGCTTCTTTTAACTGATTCTCATTGTCTTCGCATAAGCGAATATCAATGGCCCAATAATTATCATATTTTCTCGATTGAATTACTTGAAAAATACATCCAATTGAAAATAAAATTTCTCTCTCGTTTGGAAAAAAACTTTCACGTGTTATATCAGCATAAGGCCTTGTTGTTACGCCAGTTGGATCAATCACTATTTTCAAAAGAACTGGTTCAAGGTCATCTTGAGGATTGGAAAGATTGGATAAAACTGATGCCAATAGGAATCGGGGATAATCTTCATCCACACTAGTTGAGAGGAAGCTGTTAATAGAAAGAAATTGATTTTGATTACGAGAAATTGTTCTTATTTCATCTTTTTTCATTAATTGAAAACGAAACGTAGATATTGTCGATCGCTCATTTTGATGTAACTGTTGTAACTGTTGATAAACATCTTGAATAAAAGAGCGAAATGAAAATAACATATCAACATCTTGTACCCGGAGAGCTTTATTCAGTAATTTAAAAAGACATGATTCTCTGGTATACCACCAAACGGGAGTATGAGATTCATAACTAGTTTCATATTCAACTAATTTCTGTAGTTCATTGTGATCACTTTCATAACTTTGTTTACACAGATTGATTAACTCATGCCGGTCTTGTTTTAATCGTTGCATTCGTAAAAGAATTTCGATCAATCGTTGGCCACATAAAAAGTCTCCATTGAGTGTCGATGTTGTTTTTTCTTGACTGTTAAATAGAGTTATTGGAAGTGCTTCTTCTAACGTTCTTTGTCGCCGCCACTGCTCATAATTAATTGATGTTTTTTCTAATCGCAATTCTGAACATTTCTGATCAACTTGTTTCGAAGCCATTTTTGCCACATAGACCAATAATAAAGTAACAATGAGGTATAATACTAATTTTCATCAAGCTTGTTTCTTTTAAAGTTGGAAAAAATATTTCTTCCTTTTATAAATCGCACAGAAAGTAACATGACCTTACACAAGAAAAACAAAAAAAATATACAGAACGAATAAATCAATGTTTCGAGCCATGCTGCTGAAATTTATTGGTTGTGGCAACTTAAGATAATACAATTTTCTCTTTCGATTTTACAAGATATATCATAACGTGATAATCATTAGAATAGCTCATTCAATCGTTTTAATGTTACGGAAAGTCATGATAATATGTTTTAGAGGATTTTTAGGGAACTCTGTCGGAAGAAATAGACATGTATTTTATTCTTCTTCCATCTTGCTGTTTCGTGTCACATTTTTATCCTCTTGCTGATAAATTCCGTCGTTGTGCGTATAAGAGGGAGTCATACTCTATCTAGTTCATCGTGGTTGTTAATAGCAGTATTGATTATGGAATAGATTGATTCTTTAGGCTGTGGATGACTGTAACGATAAATAGGACTCTTGCTGGTTGATTTATTAAAACAAACTGGATAGAGGTGGAGTAGCTTACCGCCACTCTAGGTAATGATGTTTATTCGCTTCTGCACATATCCAGAGTGTAACAACTTTATACATAACACACGTATATATATATATGAGAGAGATAGAAGAGAGACAGGAAAGAGATATATTATAACAATGGAAAGAGAACATAAGGAAGAAGAAGGAGAATCATCGAAGCGTGCCATCAATATCGGCACAGTGGCTGTGTCTGTTGGTATTCAATACTTCACACCTACACCCACCCTCGAAGCTCTGGTGTTGATGGTGAAAATGAATCTACAAATCGTATTATTAAACTTGTTCATTTCCTTGTTGATCATTTCAAACAACTTTTTTCACTTTATATATACTTGCTTCAGAAGTATTTTGATTCGCCTTATTTTCCACATTTAATTCGAAAACAACTCAATGAGCAGCTACTTAGTCGACGTTATCGACTACGATATGGTGGAACAATTCAAATCTGGCTTTAGTCAAATATTCATTATTTTTTGATATATTCCTATTGGAAATTTTTCCAATTAAAAAAAGAAAAACATGATCAATATAAATGGACTTGGTACTGAAATTTTCAAAATTAGTCAAACCATTGGTTTTTTCTCAAGGGATATGTAGAACCGATAATTTCAAATAAGCTGATTTAGGAGCTAAAGCCAATAATCAAGGATAATATGAATTGCTATGAGAAAAATAAGTTTTTTTACCTAGTTTTCTAAGAAAATAGTGAGTGTAAGCTTTAATGCAAAGGTTTTCCGCCGCTTTCCCCTACATAAATCTCGGATTCGTTCAACCAAATTTTACGTTTTGTTGTCCTTGTTGTGTGACTGCTTATGTAGACGCTGTGTATTTCTTTTTAATGAATGATTTTCAAACTTCGATCAGTTTTAAAATTATGGTGGCCTGGAGTATTTTATAAGACAATGACCAATAGCAGAGGAAAACTTTTATTGAGGGCGTCGGTATGAGATGAGAGAGATCTGCAGGATTCACTACTATAGTGGCAGAAGCATCCAGACCCTCTTACTAGTTAAGGCATTATTCTTTTCAATTCGAATGTAGGAAGTTCAAACAGAGCATTGATGATTAAAAATAGTTAAAATTTGCATGATGATCGTTGCTACGTTGCCTATATGACATCAGTAGATACAACAAATATTATAATTACGAGTAAATGAGATCCACGTAAATCTATGATTGAGAATGTTACGTAATCTTATGTATCAACTACATACAAACATGTGTAATAATCCATGCAGTTCTTTTTTTTCTTAATTTAAAAGAGTACTTGTATAGTTGAAAGAAATTTCCAGTTCAATTTTATCATTAGACTTTCAGAAACGTCAATAAAAATGCATTGCCATTCAATCATTCAACCAACGCAAAATAGAAAAAAAGCTTCAATTAAAGAAAATAATAATTTTTATGTTTTTTTGTAGGATTAAAATTACTAACTTTCTCATTGTTTCAAAAACATTTAGATTAGATTTTGCTGCATGCAACAAGCAAATTCTGCAAATTTTCAAGTTCTTATATAACTTGATTGAAAATTGAAATCTTATTAGTCTAGTTAAAAGATTTAACGATCAGATTACTAAGATAAATGCAAATGGTACTGAGATTTCGTGACTACTGAGAATGTATTAAATTTTAAAGTTTCAAATTATTGCGTAGGATTTTTCCTAATGCTCAGCTTTGCATGACGTACATATAGTGTTATTCATAACAAATAATTAAAAATGTATCTACGTCAAATTTACCGTAAAACAATATACGTATAATAAGTGTTGTTTTGCTTATTATAGAAGAGATAGAGGAACGCTTTTGTTTTTAATATAGTCGTATGTTATGCAATGGAGTATGTCATCAATACGTATTCATTATCTCACGACATTTTACATCTACAATACATTGATGATAAACTAACTTTCTTTTGCATTTAAAAATACGATTGTTATTTTTTAAAAGCCGAGTCATTCGATAATAACTTTTGTTTTTCTCAATGTTTTCTATGCATTTCAGTTGTTCTGTTCGTTTAAAAATCCTTCTGATTTACTCGAGGCTTAGCGAATAAGTTAGTTTGTTTTTTTGGATGTTGATAAAATTGACAAGTCAGAAGATCCATTGTGCAAATATAGAATGAGACAATCATTTTGTTAAATAATCAGAAAATTCGAAAGTTATGAGTGTCTATGAAAAAAATATATTACTCATATATTTGTTTCTTAGAAAAGTTTGTCTTTCTTTCAAGAAAAACATTTTAAACAGATTTTCTTTTCCATAAATAAAATAGAAGAAGAGGCGTTTTTCTTTTGATGTATAAGTTAATAAGTTTCTCAAAGTGAAACTCAAGAAAAGATTTGAAAAGAATTTTTTATAAGCAAAAGGTAAATAAAATATTCATTTTAGTATTATCGGTCGATTGCGTGTTTTATTGAACTTATTAAATAAGTGGGCAAACTATTCTCGACTTCCGACTACCATAGGATTGATCGCTAAATAAATACTCGCAGTATTATTACTTTTCAGTCATTCTATAAAAGAACTCCAAGCCAAAGTTAATATTGTAAGTTTTAATTCAAGTTATTATCCTTACTTTTATTCACTAACATCATTACCATGCAATGTACATGTGGTGAGTGTTCGAAGAAAACTCTATTTCAAATAAGAACCACTATGTGTTTTGCTTGTTTAGTTTTTATCCTTCTGATCGGTTTAGCAGCTATTCAAGCCACGTTTTCATTTGATACAATAAATGATGATCAAAGTGAAAATAAACTCGATGAAATCCGACAAATTCCATCGTCATTATTATCGGAGAAACAAACCAATATACGTGCATGTATATCAAAATTTCAGTTGTCAAATATTTTAAATCGAAATCGAAGAGCATCAATATCTCGTCCATATTTTCAATATGTACGACCAGCTCGTGATAATCGACATTACTCAGCTAAAAATTCATTGGCATTTTCACCTCGTCTAGGAAAACGAGCAATTGAAGGTGAAGATGAATTCGAAAATTTTGATACAAGATCTGCATATCCATCAAGTGATCTCGCTAGACTTCTTACAGCACTTGTGAATCATTTACAAGAAGAAAAAATCGATGTTGTTTATGAAGATTCAACCAAAATCTGTTTATCAAAACCAATTAGTACTCCAATTATTCAAGAATTTTTCGACAAATATGTTGCCAATCGACGTAATCAAAATGAACAAGATAGAGAAGAAGGACATCAACGGCAATCGACAGGAAAACACCCAGTACTATTTCGTTATCGTCTCGGTTAGACTATATGTTGATATTGTAATGAAATAATAATATACAACAGAAAAACGAAAAATAAATACTTCGGCTATAATGTCAATAAGAAAATTCTAGAAAACTGATCACACTATTTTCTTTTGATCACGTAAACAAAATGCTTCATCTTGAATATACTGAATATCGGCGACTTATGTCGTATTCTCATCTTGATTATTATTGTAGCTAAACGCTCTTCAGTAGTGTTGATGATCTCGAGATTTGAATATTATTGAACTATTAAGAATAGAAAAATAATTCCTTCAGTTTGATAAAGAATGAAAAACCTTTCGTTCTGTGTTTGGCATCAATTAAAATTGTTCTACTACACTATGTTGAGCGCGAACCATTGAAATTCTATTTTTATTAAGAAAACAGTTATTATCAATGAGTTTGCAGCTGAATTCTTGATTAACGCCGTGTTACAAAATGGTTGAGTGTGTGTTTGTTTCATATGAGACAAAAAAAAGTTCAATCGAAACGTGAGCGTGCCACCGCCAGTAACAATTATTCAAAAAATAATCGATCTCAATTTTTTTAAAGATTGATCACTGCATTAACAAAGAGCTGTAATCATTCTAGAAGTGCTTTTGGTGAAAGGAATCGAATTTCTATAGTGTCACTTGGATTGCACTAACGAGTCCAGTCATGATTGGCGACTATGAACTTCATAAACATCAATTATTTTGATGCTATACATATTCATCTTGATATACGTAATTAAAAACGTTTTGCATTTAAGTAAATATATTTTTGAATAACATTCTTTAACCAAAATAGTCAAAGATTCATAAGAGTTTCTCCTATTGATAAATTATGTGCATCTAATTTGTTTTGGGTGAATCCATGGGAAACGTACCACGTTTACATTGACTTTCTCCAAATTTGATGGAACTTTCAGGCTTTGTAGAACTCGGCGAGCTGATCATTTTGGTATGAAAATGTTATAGGTTTCGTAGAGCGTCGCTTGCTCTATATTCTGGTATATAAGACAACTCAGTCGTTTTTGATTTACCCTGGTTAGAGAGCCAAAATGTTCGAATAGTCGTTTTTTTCGATAAATTTTAGCTCATATGCAAGGGTTTTTTCATAAAAAGCATTGATGAATCAGTTCGAAAATTTAAATATAGATAGATCTCAATGAGCAGAATAAAAAGCACATGAAATTTCACAAGATATTGTGTCATATTTTCTATCACACGATGACACTAAAGGACAAAAATATCGTCTCAAGTCTTCACGCGTTCATCAAAGAATCGAATGGAGAAATTATAGAAGAATGGCACGGCAATTGTTGTCAATATCTGTTCTTTATATTTGCCCGCAGTTTCCATCTGTGATCTTATGCACAGCGTATTCTGCAGGCTTGTCACGAACTATAGCTGCCGATTATTATTCTGATAGTCTAGTTTTTGGTTATGGGGTTATTATATTCACTCCTTTTGCAAGTGTTATATCATTGCCTGACGTGAGAACAAAACATAGAAATGTTTTCCTATTTTGGCGAGTGAGACATATCGTTCAAGCACAAGTTCATGTCATCACATAGAGCCACTCACTTCAACTATCAGGCTAGTTTACACAGTGAGTTTAAATCGTTTTTCACTTTAATTTTATGCATCTTGTAACTTGATTATTATTTGAGTAGGGGAAATTTGTAAGTTAATATGAACGTGAAACAGGATTACTACGCTGAAATATAGAAGCCTCTGAATTATAATTTTGGCAAACAATAAAAATTGGAGCCTTTCTGTTGAAATATCTATACGATATTAATTAAATCATTATTATTCACACCCACACTCCGACAACTTTTGAACTAAAGGAAATAATCATAGGAACTCACCGACAGTTTATTCATGTACGTGATAGTTACAAGATATTTTTAGCGATGATCAAGTCTAACTTAAAACAGTAACATAAAATTTGTCGCGCATTAATGAAGCCCTAATTTTTCTTGTGATCATTCGTTATCCTATTTGTGTATAGACAAATTTTCTCTAGAAAGAGATATATTCAAACAATAACAAGATTGAATTTTAACTTTATTTGTAATTGAAAATGTTATCATATTTCTTTATTGATTTTTTATAAACCGTTTGGAGCGAACTATTGAGTTGCTCGTGTGACATGAATAGTGTACGTTGGACCAAACTTATCACCATCTCGAATATGGAGATCGATCTTAGTTGCATTGACTGTCAATGGTATGGGTATTTTTTTGGATTGCCAATATTGTTTTTCAGATAATGTTTGAAAAAATTGACCATCTTGATTGAAAACAATTTCAGCTGTTTTACTCGTTGGTTGACCAGCAAAAAGGTAAAAAGCCACATTAGGCCCATAGAGTTTACTTGGCGGAGGAATAACAAATGAATAGGAATAGATCCCTTGTTTATATGGTGGTGTTAATTTGGAAGCTGGCTCAAAAATCATTGACGGAAATAAATAATTAAGTTCCCAAGCAGCCTGAAACTGTTGAGCATTGATAACGACAATGAAAAGTACGAATGAGAAAAATTTTTGCATCATAACTACGAATAAAATTTCAAAACGCAATGAAAAACAATTTTATACGTTCGTTGTGTAGTGCCTTTATATATCAATCTAATCTAAGCCTTTCAAAGCCTATTGTTTATTTCAATCGGTGACTCAAAATCAGATATGACAAAACGTTTTTCATTATTTCTGTTCCAACAAAACGATTGCTAGATCGAAGTAATCTGAATTTACTCTTATCATGATGTTCGAGTAATTTATAGTACTAAAAAAGAAATTACTAAACATAAAACATATAATACATATTGAAAATTAAGTGTATCTAATCGAATCGCTCTACTATACAATTGTGAATATACAGTATAAGCGTAGACAGGTGTCGTATCAATACATCGAATTAAAGTACTTGATGCATTATAAGTCGCAGTCGGATCACAAGGTAAATTTTGTTGTATAGCTCTTATCGTAACATTAACTTCTTGATTAACGACTGGACGTCGCGATGGATTTACTTCTATAAAATTAAGAGAAAAAAACGACATCCGACAAGTAATCAATTCAATTTAATAATTAGCGCTACCTGGTAAAAATCCGATGAGAGTAAAAATTCCAATTAGCAATCCTAACGATAAAAGTAAACATGTAAGCCAACAACAACACGGACAACTATAATACCATTCGCAATAGTTGCAATGTGGACAACGACGAGCACATTTACCATGGCACCATTTACAAAATTTATAAGATTTTGGTTTATACGTCTAGAGAAGAGAAAAGAAGTGAATCTATACTTTTTTTTTTTTGGTATTTGAGTAACAACATACGCCATCGGGAAATGCTTCTTCGTAATAGTCTTCGTCGGAAATATAAACATCGCGTTCTAGATCGAGTGGAATTGGTTTTTCGCGTTTTTTCCAATGTTTTCGTGGTGATGTACCACGATTAACAAGTGGAGTTTCCGATACGATCGTAACTGGTGTTTCATCAATGGTACGACGATATTTCTTAGCAACCGGTACAATTAAATCACTATTCGAACTAGCATTTGTCGACGTCGTTGCTATACGAACGACACGTCGTTGTTGTTGTTGCCGTCGTTTTACCAAGGAAATCGGCGGAGGTGTTGATATTGGTGAAGTTGAATCAGTATCGGTTGACAGTGGACTTTGTTCTCGAATGACACGCGCTGCTCTTGGATGAGGATAGAAACGTTTCATGTATGTAGTGGATGGTGGTGATTTTACTTCAACAACACGTACAGTTGATGTTGGAGGTGATGATTGACGTCGTCGAGATACATAAACTCTTGAATCACGTGATGGAGATCGAACGCGTGGAATCGATGCATGATGATCGTAGCCACGAGTACGCTTTTGATATGCAGGCACCCGATAAACATGTAAGGCTCGAGAATCAGCAGTATTAGTCAACGTAGCAGACATAGTGACTTTATTTTCAATAGGAAATACTGAAGTAAACTATCATGGACAAACAGTCAAACGATGAAAAATCCTACTTGTGATCTTTTATTCAGCTTCTATTTGCTATTAACTATGCGAATCATTTTTATTTTAACTGTAACTTTACGAATGAGTAATAACAAAACACTTCAAACAAGTAACCGTCGTATTATGCAGACATCATTTAATCTCCTGCTGTTTTTTTCATTTCGGCATAGAATAATATATATAGAGAGAAGAAACGTCGTCGTATACCAATAGTATAATGCTTTTAAAATGTCGGTTGTCATTGTATTTCATTCCTACATTTCTTTTTTCTTCAAGAGATATAAGCAAACTTGAACAGTCAAGGATTGTGTAGCTAGCCATTCGTTTTCTATAAAAAGCAATAATGCATTTCGAGCTCTTGGTTTTCTTAATCATGGATGAACAAATTACTTTACAAGCTTAATATGAGAGAGACTAGTATTGTGCACCTTCTACCATCATATATTGGTAAAGATAACAATGCAATTAACAAATTTGATTTTAATCGATTTTACCAAAAAGAAAGCATTAATTAGGTGCTAAAACAGAGAGTGTAAAGAATATTCTCTTTCGCTAATTATAAAAAAAGAATACTAATTTAGACAAAAAAGAAATACACGAGTATTAAAAGTGCAATAATAAAAATGTTCAGTTGAAAACTAAAATAAAATCGTCGAGGTCTCTGACCTGTTTCAGCGATTATTTTACGTTCTTCATGTAAACCTTTAAGACGATTTGGTCGATAGACTCCGAAATATTCCGATATCCAATTATTTGTTCTATGTAATGCTAAACCCATGTCATTCATATAGATTTCCATTGGCGCTGCCCAATAATATCTGAATTCATGTTCCTCTCGTCCAAACAGTTTTCTAATAAAATTCCGACTTGTTCTGATTTCTTCATACATTTTTTCTTCGGAGTTGGGTAGCTCAAGACGGTTCAGAAAATAATCTGATATCCAATGACTGGCGACTTCAGCAACCATCCAATAGCTTGACGCTCCTGTGAAACCAATAAATGCTATGTTGGGTATACCAACAGGTATAACTCGACGATAAAGATTCAGTTCAATATTTCCATTACTTTCCGTTAAATTCATCATTTGAGCATGTTCTTGAGAGAAAAAAGGAAACTGTCGAATATATCCAGTTGCTGATATAACCATATCAACTTGTAATTCTTCTCCGGTATTCAATCGAACTGTTGTGCGGTCGATAATTTCATCGATGATTCCTAACCGTCCAATAATACGACCTTCGCTTTTAAGTCGAATAAAGTCAGAAGGTATAATCACAATGTTTTCTAAGTTTCGATATGGATATTGAGGTATAAATATTTTATCATTGTATAAATCAGGCCCATTGGTGAATATTTTATCATTTCCTATTCCAGTAGTCAATGTGGCGAATACCTTTGGAAATTTTTCATGAAGATAACGAAATAGAGCACTATGGGGAGCATCAGGCACCGGAGTAAATGGAATAGACATTGCACGAGTCAATAAAAGTCGTAATGGGAGCAAACCACCCATGATTGTTCTTGGAGTCATCCAATGTGCCTTTCGAAATACTAAATAACATGATCGGGCATATTTACCAGCTAAAACTGCCATGTCAGCTGCACTTTTACCGCAACCGACTACTAGCACATTTTTATCTGCTAATTGCTTATGTGATTTAATATCAATTGGAGATAGAATTGAACCGGCAAATTTACTTTGCCCATGATAAATCGGTGTAAATGGCTTTGGAAAGAGACCAGTAGCTACAATAACAAAATCAAATTTCTTCGTTTCCTCGTTGCCACTTATTGTTTCAATTTCAACACTCCATGGAATAGTATCATCTTTTAGATTATCTTTCGAAACAGATAGAACTTGAGTTTGAAATCGAATTCGTTCAATTATATGAAATAAATCGGCATATTTTTGCAAATAATCATGAACATATTGCCAAGAAGAAAATTCTACAGATTGAAAAAACCACACAGATATCTTGATAGTGATCAGAAGAAAATTTACCTTCACCATCATAAAGATCAGAGAATTCAAATGTGCCTCCTGGTTGTTGATTGTGCAAGTTGGCATAGGCTATTTTTGAAGACCAAATACCGCCTAATTCTTCGTTTCGTTCGAAAAGAGTTACATCGAAACCATCATCAAGCAGTACTTTAGCACATACCAATCCACAGGCACCAGCACCAATAATAGCTACTGTTGTCGAGCTTGACATCTTTTTTGATTATATTAAACTTTAAAATCGATCGTGTATGCGTGAATGTTATATATTAATTAGTTGACATGCTTTTTCTTGTAGCTACGTCGTTATGACAGAAAGGAGAAAGAAACAGTAGCATGGTTGGATGCATCACACTAGTCAGTAGGCATTTTTTGTTTTTTGCTATGAAAACAAAATCATTCATCCAAAAAATGTCACATTGCAAACAAAATATATCACATTCTAAGTTACATAAGTTGAAACAAAAGGCGAATTTTTTGTTTTTGTATCTAAATCCAACAACGATTATAACATATTCGATTAAATCAATAGCTTCAATTGATCGATATGTAGTTTATTTGTTTATTTATGTCTAATGGTAATTATAGAGAGACTTCAAACAATGATCGGATATGCTCATTATTAACAAGCCATTAAACTACCTCTCCTTAATCGTTTCTAATTGGACGAGAACTCGTTTTATTCAACAAAAAATTAAGCCTGTTTCCTTCTCTTTCTTTCTTTCGTTTTTAGTAAAGCTATGTAAACAATAAATCAATCTAAAGTATTCTTTTATTTCTCTCTCTCTCTCTCTCTTATTTAGATTATAATACATCCAATCGTGAACAACCATAATGATTGCGAGAGAGAGAGGGAGAGGGAGAACTATTATACGTTCTCTCTACCAATCATTTGTCGTACAACTAATACGAAGCCAATTGTATTTCTCTATCTCGGCGCGATCAGATTAATACGCATTCGTTTGATCGACGATAATGACTGATATTAAACATAGTCAAGAGATTAACTGGAAAAACGAAACTTATTCACAATATCATTATCATTCAATGGATACAGATCATCCTCGTCAATCAAGTGAAAGTCCCGATAAAGAAATTCCAGCGGCAGTCGGACTAGAAAATCTTGAAAAAGAAGAAACTGATAGTTTAAGTGGTGGCAGCGATGAGGAAAATCACAAACGAAAACAACGGCGTTACAGGTAAAAGATAATTTATTCGACATAAAAATTTATTTTTATTTTCTCCAATTTAAGAACAACATTTACTTCATTTCAATTAGAAGAATTAGAAAAAGCATTTCAACGGACACATTATCCAGACGTTTTCATGAGGTAAATTCTTGAGAATTTTAAGTCATAGTTCATTTTCATTCGTTGCCGAGCAATTGTATCAATCCTAATTAGTACGATCCAATTTTATCTTTCTTTTGATGAACCACCACCACCATCACCAATCATTAGACAACTCCTTATGTCAACATATCATAGATTGATAGTAAGAAATCTATTGTGATATACACTTATCACACGAAGAAGCGAGTTGTTATTTAGGTGATGAGTTTTGTTTTGAATGCAAATGACTCTTTTACACATTATTGTGACAAACGAACAAAATCGAAAAGGATAAATCAGTTGTTATTTATTTCATTGAAAATGATGTTTTTCACACTATTCTAAGTTTTAATACGAGATTATCGTCTCAGTTACAATTTATTGCCGTAGGTGGGCAATTGTTTTTCTATACAAAGTGATTAGTGACGAATGCTTAAAATCTCAACATCGCGAGAATTTCGATTTGAATGTCTCGTTTAATAGAAGTCATAGATTGCTGTATGGATTTATCAGAAGATTAGAACGAACATTATACGTGACAATAGGTTTCGCATAAATCATAAAAAAATTCTACTAAAATATTGCTCGCGGCGTTGAGGAAGTAGTTTAATCTTATTCTCTCATCGATTTTTACATGTTTATGTTTCAAGAGAAGAGTTAGCGATGCGTATCGATCTAACTGAAGCGCGCGTTCAAGTATGGTTTCAAAATCGACGTGCTAAATGGCGTAAACGTGAAAAAATGACTCCATCAACAACATTACCAACAAACATGCCTCCATTATTTACACCTCCAACAAGTCTTCTAACTCGTCTTAGTTCATTTTCTCAAGCAGAAGTTTTATCTTCATATTCGTCACTTACATCCTCATTTCTTAATGCAACAGCAACATGTTTACCAATGTTCTCGCCTATCACACCATTCTGGTCGTCAACAAATCAGTTCGGCATTAATTTTCTTCAACAATTAGCACAATTAGCATCGATATCATGTGAAAATAGCAAAGATCAAAATACTGATAAGAACAGTAATGATGCAAATTTTGAAAAGGAAGAAAATCTTCGAATTAATAGCTTGGCTACATTACGTCTTAAAGCACTTGAACATGCAAATAAAGAATCGGAATTATCATCGTCGACAATTAGCTTTTAATATTCAATTTAAACGAAACGAAAAATAATTATCTCTTGTTTGTATGCTTTTTTTTCCTTTGCAAAAAAGAATAATAATAATAATAGAACATATAGGTGCGAGAATAAATGAAACGATTTCCTTTCATCAAATAAACAAACATATAGGTGTGGCTCGGCTTGTTCAACATAAAACATTTAAACTAATGATTGTTGATTTAAGGCACATGTTGTGTCAATTTAGTACATTCATTTAAATAAGCAGGTGCACTATTTCATTGGTTTAGTCATTAGTATATAGCTATTGTGAGACAAAAATCTATTGACAAGTTTTAGAATTTATGCAGAATGCTTTGATATTTGAACAGGGCAGAGAAAGCAAGCAATGCTAGAATAATATAGCAGCCTGTATAGATATAACGAGTGGTGCTGTTGTAATGAATATCGTCGAGATTTGATCTTTTGTTTTGCTTGTTTGATAAAGGCTACAGACACTTTAGATCTGAAGGTACTGACAAATGATTCCGCAAATTTTGGTTTGAACTTGAAGAAGATTTGGTTTAATTCGACCACTGTTCTCTAGCCCAAGTTTTCAATGGTATGTATCGAACGATATCATTTGAAACAGTGGCACCTATTTTATGTGCTTATATACAACCAAATACTTGCTTTCCAATTGGAGATCATAAATGCACAAAATAGAATTTTTTATCTGAGTCTTTTTTCTAATAAACGACTCTCAAAAACACTGTACGATGATAAAGGAAAAGTTCAAACAATTATTTCAATGTTTTGTATTGTTAAGAAAATGTTTTAGTGAATTTTTGTTTATGCATTGCTGCACTAGAACCTTTGCTGTTTCTAACAAAAATAAATAAATAAAAGAGCTAATGTAAATAAATGTTTATGAGAATGCCTATAACTGATGATAAAGAAGTCGACTCATTTTAATTTTTACTTCTTTGTTTGATGAATTATCGATATAATGATTCATTTTGTCGAAAGTCTTCTCGACGATCTCTAGATTTTTATCTAGTTTTATCGGTCCACATGTAACATGTCATGAGACATGCTTCACCTTTTCTATCGATACTTCCAATTGAATAGCAATAAGGAATAAAAGAATACTGATGATCCATTATTTTTTTTCAACAAAATTGCAACTAGCAAAATATAATCAGAATTTTCGGTTCACTTTCATGAAAGTGTTTTTCTCTTCTTTAATATGTCCTTTTAAGAATTTCTAATTAGTTGCACAATAACATTTACGAAATAGACAGACAACACGTAAATTGAGTTCATCAATATATATATAATTAGTAAATCTTCAATTGACAGATTCATAAAAAGCTGAGCGTACAAGAATCTTGGATTCTCGAACTACTTCATTCTAAAGTTTTCCCCAGCAAATTATTTTCTGCGCTTCAGACTGCATGCTCGAATGTTCAATATTAATTTGTGCTCCGATTGCTACAGATTCATAGTGTATACATTGAATGCAGATATTGGATTGATGAGATAAAATTATCTGCATTTGTGCAACATCTTGTCTTTAATATTTGCTAATAACTTGATTAATACTTGACGAAATGAATTTCCGCCCGCTAACGTATAAATATAGAATGGTACCCCGTTCGCTAAGAAATGAAGTAATTGAGCAATATTATACAGTAAATTGGAAACAGCAACTTGTAATGTAGACTGTTGCCTATCAGCTGCTATTGAAGAGTACACCTTATCCATTCCCAATGGGACAGATAATATGCAAAGAATGATGATCTGTACCAAAAGCATAGCTATTAAGCTACGATCCCTTTTTCTCAATCGACTTGGATGAGTGGATATCATTGTTGCTCTATTCGATATATCCGTAGGAGCAGTTCGATTGTGTGATTGATGAACGTTATTGATAGTCATCAAACCAAATACCAACATAGGAATCAGAGGAAGAATAGACATGCACGTAAATGATAGATCTGCCACATATCGACATACCACTGTTGCACCGTAGCATTTTTGTGGAGCATTTATTTGATATGGCTCGTGACAATAGATAACATGCGAAAAATATAATGTTGCGAAAATAAGACTAATAACCATAGCTCGTCGGGCATTTTTGATTGAGCTCATTTGTCGACGTTCTGTTTTGGTACTCGATAAAAGCCATCGATCAATCATCGCAAAAAGAACGTACCAGATTGCAACCGGCCTTGCAGTATTGACAGCAAAACCACGAAGTTTGCAAAAGAATCGATTTGTAGCTGTTAGATCAGCGCCCCAGCCGGCCAAGATGCGGGAAATGAGACCAGAAATGATGACAAATAGATTCATAGCGGATGCAAATAGAAAGAGTTGAGCGCATGGACTTGAACGAAACGATGATTGCGATAAAACCAATATATTGAGAGTATTTCCAATGGTGCCGAAGAGGAAAATGAAAATTGAACAATAGCGAATGATTTGAAATGTAGCATTGTTTAGCGTAGCAATCAAGGCTGCATTAGGAATTGAAGGTATTGTAGTGTTTGAGAAAGGCATGGTCAGTTTAATCTGAAAAGCATGAATAGAAAATCTTATAAAAATTCAGCAATAGATAAATTAGATGAAACACTCATCCTCGAGCTTTTGAAGGAAAATTTTCAACATTTCTGAACTTTAGTCGCACTATAAACTATCCAAACAGTGATATCTTGTCATATGTAATGACACTGAAAATTACATCTTTATGATAGGTAACTTCTTTTTTACATTGTTTGAGTTGTTCATGAACACATGTTTAAATTACGACGAATGCTTCACAGATAGTATTTAACAGCGGTAGTTGTCAAAAAAGCACATGAATCTATTACGCCCCCTGTATTTATACGTCAAGGTGAGTAGCGAGAGAGCTGCATTATTTCCCTTCCTCTCTACCTATTGTGACAAAAATATTACTAAATAGGGTTTATTTTTTCATTGTATAGATTTCATGTTATTCCTAATCGGATTCCGCATTTGTTTTTCTCAAAATAGAATACCTGAAACCTTCTGTTAAGTGCTAGAATAAACTACATGCAAAAAGAGTTGAGTAAACATTGTTGGATATCCAGTTATAAATTATTCTTAGATAGTTTTCATTTAATGTTTGAATTCTGCTATGTTGCTAGCCACTTAAAAAAAACTCGTATAGAACCAATTGAATAACCATTACCCTTAGTATTATCGTTAATTAATCACGCTTTTTTCTGGATATGTAGGTTAGGTCATGACTTTATTCCTTCGCTCGGCTGGATATTAGCCGAATTCTAAATAAAGTGCACTGCCTCTTAAATAATTCACTCGTCGAGTTTCTATTGTAAGGTGATATGCTACATTAAGATTTTTCGACCGTTTAACATTCTAGTCTGTAAGAACTATTAAAAAGAACAAAATATTTAGTTTTTACTTCACTAGTTTGACACAGTTAGTGTCTGTTAAAATGTACGTGTTTGAAGATGCGATAATCATTTAATGAGTGAGAGTCGTTTTGAATATTCTCTAATTGTTAAATTAAGCGATCTGCGTAAAAAATAATGATTCTATGTTCTGAAAGTTCTTCGAGAAAGACCTACACTGAATTCTTAGCTATGTTAGTTTCTTTCCGTTCTACATAGTTTTGTAGGAATGATTAACAATGTCTCTATTTCCGGTTAAATTATATCATGAAAATCTTGTTTTTATTCAATCATGATCTCGAATTTGAATTAGACGACGAGCCAAAAAGAAGCTTCTGTTTTATCTTCGGCAGCGTGATCAAAAGAAACTTTACAAATGGATGATATTTTATTCTTTTTTTCTTAATGGCACAGATAAAGAATAGATGATAGTGTGGCTCACTGCCTTCAAGTATATTTTATTTATATGATTTGTGATAATGGGCTCAGTAGGCATAAACACATGTCTCATAGTTTCTGAAAATAGATCCTCTTTCAGAGGAGACATTTTCTTTTTATTTCAATGAATCTTTAGCTACTAAAGAAAGTGTCCACTTCCATAGGCCAAATTAATTCACTAGAGGAGGGGGTTTTCTTTCGGTTTATTAATCTTAAAAACAAATTTCTAGTTCAATCAGTTCATAGATCGGTATCAGTCATTTTTCATGTTTTTCATTTTCTAAGCGACGAATGAAACTCTCGATTAGTCATAACTATTTCTGAACTAAGATAAACGTACTCCTGATATACGATGACAGATTAGGAAAGTATCAAGTTTTTACTTTATTATCCTTCAATTTTCAAAAGTAGTTTATTTCGTCTTCCTACTTTCTATCGACTTATGCCAAATTGTCAGGGACGGCGCGAACGGGGGGGGGGGGGGGGTTGGGGGGGGGCCCCCCCCCCCCACGTGTGATTTTTTNTGGATTCAAGCTCTAGATTAAGGTATTTGTGTGAGAAAAAAAGATTATAATGTTCACCTGCTTATTGTAAGTGGTATAAGTAATGAGTCTAAATAGTAGCATAAACTAGTTGCTAGCTTCTGTAGCGGTAGCATACACTGGTTGTTAACGTCTGTAATAACGTCTGTAATAACGTCTGTAATAACGTCTGTAATAACGTCTGTAATAACGTCTGTAATAATAAAAATATATAATACTGTCGTAACTATGGACTATAATAATAAAAACAACAGGTTTTGATGATTAATCAGAGATTAAATCCTAATTATAATGATTTCTAATTAACGAAACTAGATTTTTATAAATTCGGTGCTTCGCACCGCATTCATGTAGTCCGTCGCGAGTTTTTTTTAATGCGATGCGAAGCAGAAGCATTTATGTAGCCCGTCGCGAGTTTTTTTTATTAATGCGAAGCGAAGCAGGAGCATTTATGTAGTTCGTCGCGAGTTTTTTATTTTTTATTTTTTACTCACTTGACGTACGCATCACAAGTCGTCGTTTTGCGACGCGATGATCTCGAAAACCGAAAATCGCAGAAAACTCGTTGAAACGTGAGATCGAAGTATCAAGATCGAACCTTTTACATCTGTTTTCGAATCTTTAAACTGAAGTTCCGTTCACTCAGACATATGGTTCCAAAATGACGAAAATGAAAGAAATTTATCAAGAGATAATTAAAGTGACGTCATTAACATATGTTAGCCACTATAGTCTATTCATTTACAGCTGATCTAAGATAATGAATCATGGAGATAATTAATCGATCAATCGAAATCGATGTTTAAGAATATATCGCTAAGTAAGAATAGAGTTTTCTCAGTGATGAATTTCATGATGTCGACATAAATAGTATTCAAGATTTCTCTGAATTGAAGATTTTTCGTGAATATCCGACTCGAGCTTCGCATCGCATTTCGTATTCGAGTAAAACTTGAATACCATCTAGTTTTCTTCTTTCTTTCAAACTTGAGTACGCATAAAAAGTTCTTATTAAGTGACGCGATGATCTAAAGAACCGTAAATGCTAGAAAATCCATTCAAACTAGATATGAAAGTATCGAGATCGAACTTGTTACATCTTTTTCCGATTTTCAATACTAGGTTTTGTTCGCCTAAAAATATGATTCGAAAATGATGATTTTGAAAGGTTTTATTGTTTGATAGTTTCGCGCTAATTAAAATGACGTCATCAATAGTTTTTAACCAATAGTCTATTGCTTTACATCTGATTCAAGATAATGATTCATGAAAATAATTAATCGTTCAATGAAAAAAATCGTTAGAAAACTGGTTGCTACATTTTCAGAAAGATCTTCTAGTGATGAATTTCAAAATGGTCGATTTAAGAATAGTGAACGCGAAATTTTTATTCAAAATTCGTATACGGAAATTTAAAAAGAATAATCGATTCTAATGAATATTAAAGTGGATCATTTATTTTTAAAATTTTATTCTCACTACTTTCGAATATTCGGCTCGTGTGCTTCGCACCGCATTTCGTAGTCGAGTGAAACTCGAATACCATCTAGTTAGTGATGTGAGTGGTGGTGAACATAAGCCATCGACCTGTACCAAAAAAGTTTCTAATTAGCGCATCTAGGTGTTAGTGTTTTATGTTTTATGTCTGTAACGGGGAGGGGGTGTGGAGTACAGGGGAGCCGCAACAAGCTAACAATTCAACTTACACTCGCTATTTTCTTCGAAAATATATGTGAGCTCCACAAAATAAAGTATGAGAACTTGATCTTCAATTTTCGGTAAGAAGTTTAGAAAACTAATAATAGCATCACATGAGAGAGTGATATTCATGATAGATAAGAATATCGGTTGATGATCCTTTCGCTATTATAGGAATTTGTTTATTTACTTATTGTAGACTAAAAGCAAAATCAAATCATTTTTTACAATTAACTTCGTCATTGTTTTTTTGAACATGAAAAATTCATTTAAGTATAATAAATGAATTTATGTTTAATTAATAAAGTAATAACAATCCTGTTTTTTCATCTGATAAAACCCTTTAGCACACAATCTAAAGGCTTAATGTTAAATAATAAATTCTTATTTTCATTTATGTATCCCACAAAGAATATTTCATGAGCCTTTTCAAGCTTAGAAAAATATATTCAAGCCTTCAAAAGATTATGAAATTTTTATGTAGAGTAGATTAGATTAATAAACCTTATTTTATGGAGCACTATTCTACTCTTATTACAGTGCATTAGAGCAATGTTCGTCCCATATGGAAATTTCTCTGTAAAAATAGATGTTCTCTGTGCAATCCTTGCATTGACGATGAAAAGCAGCGATAGATGTAAAGTAATTATGTAAGTTTTTCTCTGTAAAAATTAATTTCTAAAAAGAAAACACAATAAAAAATGGGGGTGCATTTTATTTCCTCAAAACGCTGAAAAATGGATGTTAGCCGTAGCCATCGACTTACATAAGTCAATTCGTAGGATACTTACTCAGCTGTATTGACTATGCCATAAATTTGGATATGAAAACATAATTTACATCGAAAGCAAAAGTATCGGCAGGGATAATTAAATATGAACATATGAAAAAGAAAAAAGAAACGGACGTGAATTGAAAACAACATGATATGAGATAAAAGAACAGAAGAAAATCTCTCATTCGTCAAATCTTACAGAAAAGAGAAAAGAAACAGAAGTTTTTTTGTACTCAAAGTTCATTAATTTATCAACAATTTAAGAAGTTCAAAAGTATGCAGAAGTGAATTATTTCCGATATTTTAGAACAGCTGTCCTTGATAGAAAATAAAAAATTGCCAGCAAAGATTAGACTAGCAATAGGTAGAATTGCGTTTATCTTCTATCCAAGATGAGTTAATAGAATATTCAACCCTTCTTATTATTGGGTTGTTTGTTCAATATTTAGGATAAAATCTGAAAACTTTGTTTTTGAGAAAACAAATAATTCGCACCACATATCGAGTAAAGCCAGCTCGATGCACAGTTGTATTTCTCAAAAAGTGACGATAAGCTACAGTTTCGCCCTGGTTATTGTAAATTGTGTCTCCCTAAGTTTAGAATACGTTTTTTTTCTTTTGAAAAACAATAGGAATTGAGTGTAGTAACAACTTAAATCCTACTTATCATTACTTCATTTGAACAATCAAAATATATTACGCTTGATTTTTGGAAACCGAATCATCTATGCGGCAAATCGAAAGTGACAGCAGAGTACATAATAAATGGTTGGAGCTTCGTAAAGCCTTTGTATGCCAACCAAAAAAAACAAGACATACCGATGTCATATGTCGCATGTTGAATTTAATATAACAAAACGCATGACTAGAAAACGAACGGATGCGCGTTACTGAGAAAAGTAGGAAGAATGTATACAATAGACGACACCTATTAACCAGAGTATGGGAACAACATGTCTAATGCTAATAATAAATAAGGTGCAGGTAATTCGAAATTTGAGCAAGAATTTAATTCAGTGATATTTTAGCATGGTCGGATAGAGCTCGTCGACTTACCTCTATGAGATGCCTAGTTCGACTTCGAATATAAATCGACATCTGAATAACTAATCACAATTCGAAAAGCTTGTCAGCGCAGTCCCGTTGGGGCTAAAATGTGGAACTCACATATTTCGGTCAGTTAGATACTGATCAAATAGAAGTTTTATTTTTTCAGTGTAGTGAGATCATATTCTGTTTAAAAATAAGATAATAAAATTTCTTTAACATTTGAAGTTTATTGGATCTATCAACGGGAAGCATTACTAGAAAGAGCGTATAAAAAAAACTTTTTGTTTAGAACATGTCAGCATGCTGAAGTGTTTAGTGGTTTCATTGAGAAATATTGTGAATGACAATAGTTTAAACAGTATTTAGGATATAGCTATCGATATTGTTGAGAAATTTATATTTTTTCGTATTACCAGGTGAGAAATTGATACATTTTTTCATAGACGAAAATTTGATAAAAGCTTCCCAGTGGATAGAAAAGTTGCGAATTGTAAATACACTAAAGTGGATTCAAGCTCTAGATTAAGGTATTTGTGTGAGAAAAAAAGATTATAATGTTCACCTGCTTATTGTAAGTGGTATAAGTAATGAGTCTAAATAGTAGCATAAACTAGTTGCTAGCTTCTGTCGCGGTAGCATACACGCGTTGCTAATGCTTGCAATAATAAAAATATATAATACTGTCGTAACTATGGACTATAATAATAAAAACAACAGATTTTGATGATTAATCAGAGATTAAATCCTAATTATAATGATTTCTAATTAACGAAACTAGATTTTTATTAGTGATGTGAGTAGTGGTGAACATAAGCCATCGACCTGTACTAAAAAAGTTTCTAATTAGTGCATCTAGGTGTTAGTGTTTTATGTTTTATGTCTGTAACAGGGAAGGGGTGTGGAGTACAGGGGAGCCGCAACAAGCTAACCATTCAACTTACACTCGCTATTTTCTTCGAAAATATATGTGAGTTCCACAAAATAAATGCAAAAAAATCGCGCCATTTATAATTTAGGAATAGATTTAGATCTCCTTTTTATAAATTATAAAATTTATAAATTGACTTGTGTGTGTATGTAGAACCGCGTATCCGCCTTTCCCCACACCCTTTTCTGACGGTGGCGGGAAAACATGAAAGTGTTTTTCCATTTATATTCGTAGTCGAATTAGGCAGCAACTCACTGCATCATCAATAGCCGGGAAAAACACCTTATTTTAATATAGAAGTTTTTCAAATAGAAAATTCAACCTGGACACATTTAAAAGTACATACTTAGGGGTAAGTCGACGAGCTCTATCCGACCATGCTAAAGTATCACTGAATTAAATTCTTGCTCAAATTTCGAGTTGCCTGCAGCAGGGATGCCAATTTACAATTTATTCAATTTAAATTTAACTTCGCGAAAAGTTAATTTAATTTTAAATTAAATTCTATCAAGTTAAATTTTAAATAAATTAAAATTTTTCTCCCACAAAATTTATATTTAATAAATTGTTTGGATGGATACACATCACTGCTGTGATGAAAATACGTGACTTTAACAGTAGTAAATACTAAATGGAGGAGAATCTAGTATTTTTTTGGATTAATATTTGTTCATAATAGTCAAAATTTCTCTACAGATTATGCAGGATTCGTCATCTTTCTTCTTTAAAATACCGAGACACTCATAAAAATATATTTAATAGCACAATTCGTAGAAGAATGACTAGCTTTAACTTTAGAAAAGAGGAAAAATACTCAAATTTGACTTTAAATAGTAGCAATCAAGTCAAAAACTATTTTTATCTACTAATTTTCAAAATTTATTCCTCGATTTAATAATGTTTTTAAAATTTAAATGTGACACCCCCCTAGCCTGAACCTTACAGGTAGGAGAGATAATAATATTCATTGCCTGGGGAAATGAGCTGTCATTGAAACGATCATCTCTTGTGATGAATCCCATAGTCTAGCACACCCGCGACTAATGACTGTCGAAGTCCATATCGCGCGTCGGAAGTGCGTTTTTTCTATATCCATCTTTTTGTAGTTCTTTTAAAATTATGTCGCATTTACTTTTTTGGTTAAGGTAACATCAAGTTTTGCAAAAAAATGTAGGCCAACTATTTTATAATTCTCTTTTTAGAAAAAGTGTTTCAGCTGTCAACCAGTTCCTCAATGGGAAACGCACAAAGAATCATATGAATAGATTAAGCGAATCATGCATGACAATCTAGATTTAATGAAAAATAAATCAGACATCATGAAAGTTGGCGAGTAATTATTTGTTCGATATTGAGCTAGAGCATTTTTAGCTGAGTTTTTCATACATATATTCATACACTTGACTGCATTTGTTCTTATCAAATACAGATTCATACTTCGATAAGATTTGGCAGTATACACATGGTTTTCAAATTGTTCTTTGGACTTGACCTGGTAGTATCGTTAGTAAGTGTGGATTTCTGATTTAAAAAAGAATCGACAGCAGACTAGCATGTCTCCGAGAAAAATAAAATTGGGGAAACTCATTTGATCGAGGCCTGGAAAATACCGGAACTCGCATTCCATCAACGGTTGTATCAAAATAATGAAGATGTATGGTGTAAGAATATTTTATTTTCACTTCTACAGACTCCATTCTTGAAACTTGACGGCAATTATTTCGAACATGGCTGTCAAAATCACTACGACTTGAAGTATATTTACATTGAATCTACTTTGAAAGCATGAAGAATGTAACTAGCATACAGTAAAAGTGCCTTTACTTTACTGATTAAGAATTCCTGAATGAAAACAACGTGCACTATATAAATCCGAATGACAGTTAAAGATAACCTACAAAACATGATTTGATAAAAAAGAAAGGGCATTCCTTTTGTTTTCGTTGAAATATTTTTATTTTAAATTATTTGACTTAAACTACGATATATTGACACAACACAATTAACATCTATCCATACATATAAAAATATATCACTTGGTAAGCCTTTGTTAAAATGAAGGTTGAGCCAAATCGATGCAATAATAGTACATAATTTACATATAAAAAAAACTAAACGATATGCCAGACCATGAGATGTTCCAAAACCGTGAACATATATTGAATAACTTCCAAATACAAGTATTGCCATATTACATAGAAAATTAACATATTCAAGTATTTGACGTTGTTCATTATATGATAAACATAATTTTCCAGAAATATTTTTTCGTGGTATTATTACTTCAGTTGATGAGTCAATGAAAGATGTACGATTAAATATAATACTTTGGGCTTTCAAATCGGCTAATTCATGTTTCATTTTAACCATTTCTTTATTTAAATGAACAACATCGGATAAACAAAGTAAAAAAATGGTACTATAAAAACCGGCTATAACACCTAAGACGATCGACGCTAAATTGCTTTCATCCATAGAGAGAAACAAAAGTAATATTCTCTAAAGAAGAGTATAAAAAGAAAATGTTTATATCTTCGTTATCCACACAAAATAGCAAGTAAAGTAACCATAGGAGACTTGATTCTGAACAAAAAAATCTTCTGTCTGGTTTCCTATATGAATATGAACAGAAGAGGTTATTAATTCACTAAAGTCGTCATTTGATTTCGTGTCTGGTCTGATCTGACGTGCTTTTTTTTTGTTTTGTTCTATAACATGACTGGTACACCAATCGGACCAATGAGATAAGAAAAGATTGTGCTAATCGAATCGGAATGTTCTGTTGTACATCAGCGACTATAGCAAAATGTTCTTACTCTATAGCAATGGGTATGCTACCGCCATCAGACAATGATTTCTCTGTAAAATTCATTATACACTTACTGGTGTATTTCATTTTCTTTGTTCAAGATAAATACAGCTGATCTAATCAACGACATACTTGAAACATAATGGAAGTCTAAGATGAAAAACAATATAGAAACACATTGTAGAAATACAAAAAAGTCTTCCGATAAAATTTTATTCGTCTACTGATGAAGCAATCAATAGTTTTGGATGGTTCTTTCTGAATATCTGCGGATAAATATTGTTAAATTTTCCCCACAATAGATAATGATACTACACTTGCAACAGAGACATGGAATTCGTGAGGAATAAAGTACTTTGGTAAAAAAAATGATCTTAGTTCAATTTCAAATGAAATAATTCGAAAACTGAATGAAATTAAAAAATTTTGTGACCTCTTTCACCCTCCATTACAAACATAAAACATCAAAAAAAGTAAAATCTATGTTCGTTAATTAGATATCATTGTAATTAGGGTTGAATTTCTAATTAGCGTCTTTACTATTATAGCCGGTAGCAGCCATTGTTTACTATGATTACATACATTAAACATTGTTTTCGAAAAAAAATGACTATTTTATTATACATAAATATCAGTATATCGAATCATATTCTTTCAAAGTTTAAATTTGGTTGAAGTAGCTAACTATAAAATAATTATGATAGTAACTTAGCTAAGCATAATCAAGAGCTCCGATCCTCTTTACTATGTCGATAATTTCCACTTGTTGCATTTTATCGAAAACTTTTCCCAAATTTATCTTCCAATCTCTTAACATTTTTATTCAACAATGCCAATGGATATATCGTCTTTTTTGATTTTCTCTCTAGTACTATTTACTATGGATATATTCAATAATCTGCAAACTTTAGAACTTCTATGCTTTTTTCCCATCTTATTCCTAAACAGCATGTCAAGTTTGTCTTGAGAGCTGCCGGTACGAATGCCGGAAGGAAAATCACGTTCACATTCAACCAACTTTGCACTTTTTATGATAGTTATTACTGTAGTGTGCCATTGAAAAACAATCTTTTACTCGATTTGAGAGCAGTCATTGAACAGATAATGAAATTTGCACGGTTGAGAAAAATCTAATTTTCTCGCCTACTGTGCGTTTTTTTTTGTTATGCATTAACTGACGGCTTCATGAGCCCTTACAGTACAATGAATTAGGGAAAAGAAAGAGAGATATGAACCGCTGAAACAGGACAGCACCAAAGATAAGACATGCATGGGCACACATCGACAGACAACAAACAAGGATAAAACAAGAGACATAAAAAAGACGCGGACACGGACACACCCTATGCATTAGTTGAGCAGCATAAAAAAAGAAACAAGGACAAAGAGTCGAATATAGAACATTAGAAATTGTGCGTTAATATTAAATTTAAATTGTTTAAGTATTTTTTTCATCTTGGGAAGCAAATGTACGAGCTACGAGTAATGGAAATAGAATGGATGCATCTCCAAAAACTTTCACTGCTTGTGCATTGGGACGTATTTTAGCCCATGAAACAGCTTCATCAAGATTTGCACCACTATCCGAACCATCGTATTCCATAGCTGTGTTCAATACAACAACATAATCGGCTCCGGATCTCATTGCATTGGCATTAAAAATATGATGTTTAACAATGCCACCGCCTAATATTAGACAACCAGTATGTAATGCATTCAGTGCTAAAAGATTCAATTGTTTTATATCTTCAGCAATGTCAATTCTTAAACCAGGCTTTTGTAACGAATGAAAAAATATTAAATCGCCAATAGAACCATCTGTTATAGCAGGACAAAAAAACAGGAATATTATTTTTCCAGGCCCAATAATAAATCGATTGCTCATTATCTATCGCTTTACCCATATATTTGATCATTTTCGATGGTGTCCAATTAGCATTATTAACTTTTTGTTCTTCAAGCATATGATCTAGTATAGGCATTAAAAATGTTTCGAATAAACAATAGTTATCATTTGCAATCAATAGATTTCCAATGCGACTAATCGCCTTTTTTCTTAATTCAGTTCCATTCAGATTAAAATCACCAGCATACGTTGAAGCGAAACATTTCATTATGTCTTCTTCGATACCGCCAGCAGTTGTAACAAGACAATCGATCTTTTTATGCTGAACAAGATATCGAATTATGTCGCGATTACCACATGAAACCATATTTGATGTATAACCTAGAAATATGGTGCAATTTGTTTCGCCTGTGGGAGTTTTTTTCTGCTTTTTCTCAATCATTAAATTAATAATTTGTGTTGCTCGAGCTAGATTCGTGGCTTGAAAACCTTGCTGTAGAAAAGAATCTAATAGTGCTTCATATTTAACGCCACCATTAAAGTCATAACCATTTATTGATTGACGATTTTTAAGAAATGATTGGTCACTTTTTTTAAATATTGATTCTCTTGCTTCTCGTTCTGGACCTGAAAGATCCTGGACGTGATAGGCATAGTATATTCTCGATGCTTGCGCATAAAATGTTTCATCTAAATACAATATATTAATTCAATAGAGAATAGAAACGTAATTTAACGTTGTATTCGATATTTCATGTTAGAAGTTGTTTCTTGACCTTACATTACACTTTTTCGTGGTTGTATGTGATGCAAAACTAAATCCATCTAGGATTTATTTAGTTACTCGGTTTTATAATCATTAGACTAGTCCTAAGAATAAAGGAAAGTTTTTTCTGAGTATTTAAACATAACTGTGTTTGTAATGTTTAAAGAGAAATTGGCCTAGGTAGGAATTAAAACGTGAAATGAAAATGATTTGTTTCGAAATGTCATGACTTCGCAGTTTAAAAGCAATTTTTATTTTCATGCAATAAATGTCATGTCAATTTTTCCGACGGGTTCCTATAGAAAATACAGTGAAAAGTCATCGTAAATGGCTGATTTCAGTCGAAATCAAAGATTTGGGCAAATCTTTCGCCAATAGTACGAACTTGAATTTATTTTCTTCCCGTCTCTTGTCATCATCGCACAGGTGCTACGGGCGTATGTTTATCTTTTGCTACTATACTGAACCACGCTTGTGCGTATCTAGGCCGATTTCTTGTTATGCGCTTTTTGTCTCTTCTCTCTCCTTTCTTTCGTAAGATTTTTCTTCATTTTCTGGGCGGTATGGCTGTACCTCGTGCAAATTATATAAAAGCATCAACAAATTTATTTTTGATGGTAACTGATTTTTCGCATCAGTTATTTTCTTGCATGGATCCTCTTGTCACCCTCTGTTTTTCTCTACTTCTTTCAAATAAATATATCACATTTCTACGAGAATTTTCCTTTAGCCAAAGCAAATTGAAACACTGACTTATGCAAACAGCAATATGAACGAGACCAAGAATATTATTATGCATTATAAAGATAATATTTTATCTTAATTAAATAGCAATATCTGACTCATACAAACTTACCATCAACGGTATCGAATCGTGCTACTCCATGTGTTTTGCCCATTATCGTGCTTAATATAGACAAGTTTTGGTGTGTGTACTAATACAAATATATATATATATATATATAAGCATTCATGCATGCCACATTTTCGTATCAATAATAAATTTATCGTCTTAACATACATGGATTGTGGAATATGATGAAACTACAATTTATCAAATACAATTCAAAATATTTGAAATCTTGTGCAAAACTTGTCGGTGAAACTTGGCCACTCGATGAGGAATTAGTAAATGCTTCTCGATCACGTCACCTTTATTATTACTATATAAGAAATTGTATTTACAATTCTGTTTATTCGGACTTAATAATTGATCAAGAAACAGATACTGTTTTAGGTATTTTATTCGCCAGCGATGAAAGCCGTACATCGTGCAAAGCATTTGTGAAAAATGTTAATAATAGATTAATTTTATTGAAACACATTATTTTTGGACATCTTGGTAAACGTTTTGTTGCGCTGAATTCCGTCAAAGATATGTTGAATATTGAGAAAAGTATAGAAAAATATTGTGGGAAGTTCAATAGCCAATTGAATTTATTTGTATTGAGTAAACAATTGCAACGACAAGGTTATGGGCGGCAATTAATGGATCGTTATATTCAGTTTTGTAAAAATGAAGGACAAATCGAAAATATCTTTCTGTGGACAGATATTAATTGTAACTATCGATTTTATGAATATTGTGGCTTTCGAACATATAAGCAATTCTATGACGATCGACTTTCGGAACGTTCTGACAAACGAACTGATAAACCAAATGGTTTTATATATTATAAGAATTTAATTTGAAAGAACTTTTCAATATTTTCCTCCTATTGTACCGTTTGCTTTTATTTCTTCTCGTGTATACAAGTGATGTTCATCACACACTGGACGCGAGAGTGTGAACAAAGAAGTTCGTAGTCTTTTGAGCGTAGTTTTGCTTCGAATTCATCTAGCTTAGTTAGAGTGGATGTCTCCAGTGAATAGTTTGTTTGCACATGTTGATAGATATTGATGATTCAGATTACATGGTTTTTAGCTTTTCCTGAATCGACTTAACATGAGCACTAATTTTTTGTCGAGATTTGAACAATCTCAAACAAGAATAACGCGATCCATTGATAATGTTTCAATTTATATGCGGATGATGTCTGTAATTTGTAATATCAACAGACAAGCACGAAAAAATGTTGAATTCAATAGAACAAATACAACTAATAATGATACCGACAAAGGAGCAGCAAAAGCCATAGTGTGGCGACAAGCTGTCAATTGAAAATATAAAAACGAGAACGTAGAATATCACTGAACTGAATTCATAACAGAATATTTGTTGGATTTAATAGCTCTTATCGACGAGTTTCTTTCAGTTTATGTTTAAAACAAAACAAAAACAATCCTACATTCTAGATTAAACTCAAATATTGAAACTCCTTCTTTCTTACAGATCGTACCTTCATAGAAAACTGAATAATATACAGAATTTATTTATAATAATCTTTCGAAAGATATTTGGCTCGTCAACTATGAATGCAATTTGAGAATTCATTTGACTTTGCACTTGATGCCAATAAAAAACATAAGAACATTGACAAAACAACTAACTTACATTCATGTCATCTTTGCTATAGAGAGAAATCCAAGATTCCTATTGACTGCATAAAAAAAACTTTTTTTCAGGTAACCAGTAGCATAATGATTCCGGATGCAGAGACGAACAAAAACCAATATGTATGCTCTAGTTCACCAATTCACATATATCGAATTGTGAACTCTCTCTTGTTAATCTTTGAAATTATGTTATCGGATAATTGTTCACATCTCCACACACGCAATCCAACACACCCATACTCATCCGCTTTTATATTCCAACCCGCTAACGCACGTGTCGTCATTGACGCTCACTTTCAACACTACGAGAAACGAAGAAAAATATAGCTTATTATTAACACGTGATTCAGCATTTATTTCTCCATGTTGGAATTTTTTACGACTTCCTTTCGTAAATGTGAGTAACAACTTTCAGTTGTAATTGTCAATCATTCGTGGGAAGGGCAAAAGGCGGTTATTATAATGACTAGTGGTCCACGTAAAATAAATCAAGTAGACAATGATCTGGCCATTGTTTGGCTCGATGCTAAAAAATCAAAGGAATCTTCTAATGTCGATTATCTTAATCGAAGTATTGATTTCAGCACTCTTATTAGTCATATTCATGTATTCGATGACGTTGATCAATGCTGCGAGTATCTGCTGTCGAAGGATCAAGCAGACAAAGTCTTACTGATTGTATCGGGCTCGATCGGTGAGAAAGTGTTGCCATGCATTCATGATATAACTCAAATCATAGGTGTCTACATTTTTTGCAATGATGTGGAGAAACATCGCGAATGGGCAGGCACGTTCAGCAAAGTACGCGATGTGTTCCGTTGTCCGAAGAAATTGATAGAGCGCATTCAACGTGACGCTCAGCTGTTGGTTCATCACATTATACCAACGAATATTTTCTCATTTCAAAATCTTCAACAAACTTCTCTGCAAAATGTCGATCAAGATCAATCGACATACATGTGGTTTCAATTGTTGATTGACGTTCTCAATCGTCTTCCTCTCAGTCATTCAAGTCGAGGTGATCTTATAGATGAATCTATGCAATACTATTCGAATAATACGATAGAAAAAAGGAAAATTGCCGAATTTAATGAAAAATATTTATCGTCCAACGAGGCTGTACAATGGTATACGCGCGATTGTTTTCTCTATCGTTTAATTAATCGGGCCTTTCGAACTCGCGATATCGATAGTATCTTCAAATTCCGTTATTTTATACACGACTTACAACACCAGCTGGATCATTTACATCAGGAACAGCAGCTATCATCAGTATTACCGACTACAGCCTACCGTGGTCAGATTATCGGCGCGGATGAATTGAAAAAACTCCAAAATAATGTTGGTGGTATCTTTTGTGTGAATTCATTCTGGTCAGCAACAACTGCGAGTCAAGTAGCGACTTCGTTTAACATGATTAGTCTAGGACGTCCATACTATGAACGAGTCATTTTTGAAGTAACCATGGAGCTAAAACAGCAGCCAGACAAAGCAAAGTCGAAGTATCCATTTGCTAATATTAGTCATCTGAGTTGTAACGAAGACGAGGGCGAAGTACTTTTTTCAATGGGATGTACATTTCGTATCATATTGGTGGAACAGTTTAGCGATGAAATTTGGTATGTTCAGCTTTCTCTTCTGGATGACTCTAGTAGCATCGATGAATCATTGCGCGAATATTATTTAGCAAATCACATCGAAGAACAATCGTCACTGCTCACGATGGCTTATTTCTTTGATCAAGCCGGTGATTATGAGCGAGCCAAGCGTTATTGTCAGATGCTTCTAAGAGAAAATCCAAGTGAAGATGATTCGATTGATATTCATACATCGTTGGCACTGTTCGAGTACCGAATAGGAAACTTTGAGGCAGCAAAACGTGAAGGAGAGCTAGCACTCAAATTACATCTAACGCAAAAGGTAGTGGATAATAGGCTCTCGGATATATACGCAAACTTGGGTTTAGTCATGGCAGAACTAGGTGAATACAGGGATGCGATTGCATATCAGCATGAGTCTGTAAAGATCGATGAACTTGTGTTGGATGAAGAGGACGAAGAGAAAGCGATTACATATGAAAATCTTGGTATGTCATATCATGGTCTAGGAGACTATCCAAACGCACTCAAATGGTGTGAAGAGAAAGCTTTGAGCCATATGCAAAAGTATCTACCTGCCAGCCACCCAGGCTTTCAGAGGATCTATTTAGATATCGGCATGATCTACACATCGATGGGCGATTATCCGGTAGCACGTGGCTGGTTAGAGAAGGCACTCGACAAGGCGCACAGTATTTTGCCTCCTTTGCATAAAGATTTGGGAAATACTTTTTACAATTTGGGTTTGTTGTGTGAGAAAACTGGCGAAGACGAGCAAGGTCTTAATTACTTTCGCCAAGCATTAAATATCGCTTTACAATCAGAAAAGGAAGATACTACAATCGATTTAGCATACATTTATGTGTCGATGGGTGCTATTTACGACAATCAAGGTGAATTTGACGAAGCTCTTCGTCATTATGAGCTTGCACTTGAGAATCTCTCAGTTGACAAACCAGAGCATCGTCAACATTTTGCAACCGCTTACAATAATATAGGATTCGTGCATATTCAACAAAAAAAGTACAAGTCAGCTTTGAGTTATTTGCAGAAAGCATTCAAAATTGTTGAAAAATATTTGCCGAGAACACACGAGCTATATACATTGACTCTTGCAAACATCGGCCAAGTATACGTAGCACAAGATCGCCTTGAGGAGGCGCTGGAATGCTATAGGCAAGTCATAGATATACGGCGTCGCACCTTGCCTAAGTATCACAAAGATTTAGCCGCTATTTACGATCATCTAGGAGAAGCTTATTTCAAGAAAGGTATTTTTAAAACAGCCATTGATTACCATAAAAAAGCACTTGAAATCGAAGTCCACGCGTTACCTTTGGAGCATCCATCGATCAAAAGCACCTGTAAAATGCTTGCTGATGTCTATAAACGTATTGGAAATCGAAAAGCTGCTATCAAATGTTATAAAGAGCCAATATTAATGGCACGCATGTGCCAGAAAATTAATAGCAGTTTACCGTCAGTGGATCCAAAAAGGAAGAAAAACATGATTTGAATTAAAAAGTGACGAATCATGTTTGCTTTCAGCTGCAATTTTTGCTTTTTAACAGTCATCGAGAATCGTTTAAGGAATTATATGAATAAAATTCTTCTTTCGTCTAATACGTAATTAGTAAACTCTGATTTGAATATGAACCTATGCAAATATTCGTTTCATCCAAATTCATATTCTGTAGAATGTAAGGTGGTGGAAATATATATACGAGTTTATACGGCAAAATTGCCCACATGCACACACAGATTCACGTGCTATAGCCGTATAAACTCTCAGAACTGGATGTTGATGTTGTTATCGTTTTTTATTTGAAGACATTAATCTTGAGAATGAGGATTGGGAATTACGCCCTTCGCACACCCACAGTCTAGTTTTTTAGTTGAAACTCAGTTGTCTATGTCTGAAAGACGAGGGGTTCCAAGAAAAATTTCGCCTGTATCAGTTAAATATTAAACGTCGACTTTTGATGAAGACTGTGAGTAATAGTCAGATTTCATTCATTGGTCTTCCATATTAAACCTAGGGCAGTAGTTGATAGGTTAATTTAAAAAAAAAACAGTTCACATATAAAGCAAATTTTTGTGCAAATAAACGTTCTCACCTTGCTCCTTTTTTCGTCGTCGGTGAAAGTTGATTGATTAATGCCGGAATCTATAAAAGTGTGATGTATTCGTTGAATTTTGTGCAGCTCTTAGTCAACTGCTTGAATGTCATAAACATCAAATGTTGGAGAGAAAAAAATATTCTATGTAACTAGGAAAAAAGCTTTACAGCTGCAGTTTGTTTTCAATCGGATGTACAAAAGTTGACGTGTCAATGTCGATGAGAAAGAAACTATCAAGTAAAATAACCCATTCTTACTTTATTGGCTATTGTTGGGTATCGTTTAAAAATTTGAAACTTTTGCATTGTGAAGCACTAACAACTAACAACTAAATGCATTAATGATTTATACTAAAATATCAACTCATTGCAAACTTTCATTATCCTTTTAGGTCATAGAATCGTACTTTTGAATCATATTACAAATAAAATCACTGATAAGAGAACAGTAAGCTAAATTTCAAAGAAATCATATTGACTATGTGTCATTTTTTTCATTCTCCTCACCAGTATCATGGCTCTTTCTCTGAAACTACTCATGTTCGAACTTCTACTTCAAAAATTATTATCAGTCAAATCCGACACGATTTCGCATAGTAAAATGTTCGAACGAGAAAATTTTCTGGATGCATTCAAATTGATTTTCTATCTAGAATACTTTCTCATAACAAGGAGAATATGTGAGTCATAATGTGTCAGATAATCGTCCGCAGTAAGGTCGCTAAGATGCCAGAGAAGTTAATTTCTAGCTCCCAGAAAACTTATCGAAGGTATATTTTTAATGATAATATAAAGATCCCTCATTTCGTTTTCGTGAAAGTGACGTTATAAAAATATGCATCCGACTAAAACTTCCATCAACGATTTTCTAGTAGCCTTGGTCTTTCAAATCATTTATGAATTCAAATTATACCATACGCCATTTTTATAACCTTACTGTAAAAGTAGGCCTACTTTACAAATTTAGTCACGTTATCGTTCATGTGTATTAAACGGATAAGAATGCACAATTTATGATTGAAAAATATGTCAATAAATAAAATAAAATGTTTATTTGATTTCTAATTTATTAGCTTCAACTGTTATATCATGTGTTTTTGAAAAATAAAGTTTACATGATGTAGCCTACTCCTATGGTGCTATGAAATAGAATTCATTGTAATTAGCACAGATAATTTAAAGAATGAACTTATCGATTATTATTGATTTCTTTACATAATTACAAAATCATGAATAAACACCTTCACGTTGCTAGACAAGTAAGTACTTGGATGCACTTGAGTGATTATGACATTACAGCCATATTAAATTATTCGTTTCATTCTAGTCGAAAATATATAAAAGAAGAGAGAGAAAGTAAGCTACAGAAAAAGTCGTACCCTATTGAAATATCTATAGTCAATATTTAAGTTTCCTTTATTTTTCGCTAACGTTAAACTCGTAAAATGCCTTATTTTTTATGGTTACTAACTTATAGTCATTAAAATTATCTTTCTGAGCTCTTCTCTATCATAGTTTCTTTCTATTTCTAGATATAATATAAGTTTTTACATTTCATTACAAAAATTCAATTCAAATATGGCTAGACCTGTTTTAAATCAAAACACCCGTCGGAACCGTCTCCTTATTGAAGATTCTCTCAATGATGACAATAGTGCTGTTGCCTTATCACAAGCAAAAATGAATGAACTTCTATTATTTCGTGGAGATACTGTTACACTCAGAGGTAAAAAACGTCGTGAAACAATATGTAATGTAGTCCCCGATGACGCTTGCCCAAACGATCATATTCGAATGAATCGTGTTCTACGTAATAATTTACGTGTACGATCAGGTGATATTGTTTCAAATTCAAGCCTGTTCAGATGTTAAATATGGTAAACGTATACACGTGTTACCTATTGATGATACTGTTGAAGGAATAACGGGAAATCTATTTGAAGTCTACTTGAAACCATACTTTATTGACGCCTATAGACCAGTCAAGAAAGATGATGTTTTTATAGTACGTGCAGCAATGCGTGCCGTTGAATTTAAAGTTATTGAAACTGAACCTAGCCCATATTGTATTGTTGCGCCAGATACACTTATACTTTGTGAAGGTGATCCAATAAAACGTGAAGAAGAAAATGCTCCATTAAATGAAATCGGTTATGATGATGTTGGTGGTTTGAGAACACAGTTAGCACAAATTAAAGAAATAGTTGAATTACCATTCAGACAGCCACATTTGTTCAAAACTATTGGCATTGAACCGCCACATGGTATTCTTCTTTATGGACCTCCAGGCACAGGTTGTTCACTGCATTTTTTAACAGAAGATGAAAAAACTAAATAGAATAATTCTAGGTAAAACTTTAATCGCACGTGCTGTGGCCAATGAAACAGGTGCATTCTTCTTTTTAATCAATGGACCAGAAATCATCGCGCAATTAGATGGTGAACCCGAATCAAATTTACGAAAAACGTTTGAGGAAGCTGAAAAAGTAAAGAGAAAAACTGAATTTCGAAATGATTTATTTTGATCGTAATTTTAGAATACTCCGGCTATTGTCTTTATCGATGAGCTTGATGCAATTGCACCAAAACGTGAGAAAACTCATGGTGAACTTGAACGTCGTATTGTTTCACAATTGTCAACATTAATGGACGATGTTAAACAACGTTCAGGTGTCATTGTTATGGCTGCTACAAATCAATTGAATTCGATTGATCCTGCTCTTCGACGTTTTGGTCGATTTGATCGCGAAGTTTATATTGGCATTCCAGATGCTGTTGGTCGATTGGAAATTCTTCGTATTCATACGAAAAATATGAAGTTAGCAGACGATGTCGATCTAGTACAAATTGCTAATGAAACACATGGTCATGTTGGTGCTGATTTAAAATCATTATGTTCCGAAGCAGCTTTACAACAAATCCGTGAAAAAATGGGTGTGATCGATTTAGAAGAAGACACCATTGATGCTGAACTGCTTGATTCATTAGCTGTTACACAAGATAACTTCCGTTTTGCACTGAATCGATTAACTTCATCGTTTTTACGTAAACTTGTTGATGGAATTCCAAAAACAACTTTGGAAGATGTTGGCGGCTTAGAGGATGTTAAACGTAAATTACAAGTACTTATTCGATATCCAATTGAACATCCAGAGAAGTATCTGAAATTTGGTATAATGCCAGCACATAGTGTGCTTTTGTATGGACCATCAGGTTGTGGTAAGTTTTAATTCTATTCCAAACTACTAATGAGTTATCATGGGTATCATCTTCTAGGTAAAACTCTCTTAGTTGAGGCTATTGCCAATGAATGTCAAGTGAATTTTATTTCATATGAAACTTCTGATTTATTAACGATGCCGTATGAAGAATCAAGAGTCAGAATTCATAATATATTTTATAAAGCGTGTCAAACAGCTCCCTGTGTACTGTTCTTCGATGAATTAGATGCTATCGGTCTGTCAAATAAACAATATATTAGAACTGTCAAAATATATTATTTTCCGTTCGTTTCTAGTAAAGAGTGGTGATAGTGGAACTACTGCAGAATGTGTTATCAATCACCTTTTCAGAGAAATGAAACGTATCAGACATAAACATAATGTTTTTATTATTGGTGCCACGAATCGACTAGATATTATTGATTCATCTCTGCTTCGGCCAGGTCAGTACACAAAACGAAATATCTATCTGGTCATTATCATTCTCTTGACCTTTAGATCGGTTCAATAAATTGATTTATGTTCCATTACCAGATGACAAATCTCGTCTATCTATTCTAAAATCTGCTTTAAGAAAATCACCCGTAGCCAAAGATGTTGACCTTCAACTTTTGGCAAAAGTCACCAAAGGCTTTAGTGGTGCTGATTTAACAGAGATATGTCAAGTTGCATGTGAATTAGCTGTAACAGAATCCATAGAGAAAGATATTGTTCGAGGAAAAGAACGGCTACGTATCGGACAAGCAGCATGGGACTCTTATGAACCTGATCTAGTACCGGAAATTCGTCGAGATCATTTTGACGAAGCAGTGAAATTCGCAAGAAGATCTGTTAGTGATAATGATATACGAAAATATGAAAATTTTACTCAAACATTACAACAATCAAGTGGTCTCAGTTCACAATTCCGTTTTTTCAATCAACAATCACCATTACAAAGAACAAGTGGTATGTAGAAAAGTTTGTTAGTGGAACTGTTTTCAAGCAAAAATATGGAGCTCACATATAAATTTCGAATTACCAAGGTAAAACAAAAATATCTGAAGTGAAAACTCTTTCGGAAAGCTTTTGCCATTCTTGCTGAGATGTATAATTAAGCGTATACTCAACAATTTCTTGTCAAAAATATATGTGGATTCCATAAAAATTGATCAACTATTTTCTATTCTTGCCACTATTGTATTCTTTTTATTATGGGAAATAGTCGAAATGATGGTGACGATTTATATAACTAAACGAGACGAAAATATTAGTCCAGAAAAAACTCGCCTGCTTACTATTCTATTCTCTCTTTGAATACTTCATAAATAATCTGTTTACACCATAGTTTTTATGTTGAGTGAAAAATAAAAGAATAAAAATTGATTGTATCTCAATTAGTGCTATATAGATAAGTTTTATGAAAGTGTTTGTGTAGATGGTGGAGTGTGATAGTAACTATCATGGCCGATTTCGTCTATGTAAAATGACTCATGAATTGTTTTTTTGATTTTTTATAGAAATGTTCTAAATGATCCTAATGGTTTGATGATGTAATTTGTGTTCGTGAAATCTTGGGTTGTCACTCATTTAAATTCAGTACGGCTGCTTAATTTCGCGCTTTTCATCAATGAATTTTCTCGAATATTCATAATTAACTAATTGAATGGTTCGTTTCCATGTATCAGTAAATAAGTAAGAAATGAAATGGTATGGCATTCAAATATTGTCGATCTCTTGTTTTTTCTATCTTCATCGTAGTTTACATAAATAGATGGAATGTCGATTTTCATTCAATAGATTTTGTTAAATATTTAAATAGTAGATGCTATACTAAAAATATTGATACGAATGTAAAAGATTATTTGTTCGACGTTATACTTATACTCATATTCAAAATTGTTCAAGGTAACGGGAGAAGAGATGAATGTGGATACTTGTAAAAAGAGACTCACATCTACATCGTCGATGGCGTTATTGAAGATCTCGACATAAAGTGGTGCACTTCAAATGGTATCGACACAAATACAAGTACAAGAATAACCACAAGAATTAACTTGGAGTTTGTCGCAAAAAAATGTAAACATTGAACACTGTTGAATTATAGATCTCTGTTCAACAAAAATCGGTTTACATCAATGTCTGCTGAGAAATTATCAACCGGTCTGTCTGAAAAAAAGAACTATTCGTATGAAATTCGTACAGAAAATTGTTAGTACGATTTACCTCAATGCATTTTCTCAAGATAAATGTCCCATTCACCTTTCTGTGTAAATACACTTGCCGATCTGTATCCATCGTGGTACTGAAGCGCTGCTCTCCATAGATTGAGAGAGTGATGGTATTACTATTGGAAAGCTATATTTTGTATAAATTTGACTAGAACTGCTAATCTTTTCCTCTTTTTTCTCAATTCTTTGATAAGAAAATGACACACGTTAACGCGTGCACTCTTGCACAAATAAAAAATGCTTATCTAAAAATTCGTTGATGATGATTTCGCCATCCAATCTATCATCGTTCTCTATGTTTTTACTCCGCAACGCCCTCTCAATTTCTCTCGTTTATCCTCGAACAAAGAAAAAGACTGACACACAATGAGAATCAAAAATATGCGTATAAATAGTTGATGCATCGCACTTTTCATCACTTGTAGTCATTCATCCATCGGAAAAACAATATATATTTTACAAAACGTGCAGCTCAGTGCTATTTCTGGTATTCTGTTGTGTCTGACTATCAATGCGGTTAGTATGCAAATCTGTCCAGATATGGGACTTGCTGCAGGTTTTGCAGTGATTGCTGCCACCACGATTACAAACGCAGGCTTGACCGTCATCAACGGAGATCTGGCCATCATTCCAAGTGTCGCCTTGACTGGTTTCAATCCGTTCGGTATGATCAATGGTGTCGAATAATTGGGTACTGGTATCGCCGGAACAGCTCAAAATGACGTTACTACGGCCTACGACTATTTAGCTGCAGTGGCACTCATTGCAATCAGTCAACTATCGGGTGTTTTAACATTGAACGGTACAGGCATATATATATATTTGAGATTGGCACTGCGCTCATGACCGCAGATTTTAGTCAAATCCGAACAATTAACGGTGCCAATGACAGTTGCGTCTTTCGGCAGGTAGGCAGCAGCACCACACTTGGCGGAAATAGCGAATTCCTTGAAAATATTCTCGCCTACACATCCATCGGGCTTTCACCCAATGTTGTCTATACAGGTTCCGTCTATGCGCGAACAGGAGCCATTGTATTCACCGATAATACCCTCACCCGCCAAGCAAAATGTGGCATATGCTAAATTATTCATTCAATACTCAAACATCGAGTTAGCAGTTATCTACATTTGAAACTGTTAATATTTATTTCAGCAATGTTTCGAGTGTCTCTATCTTGAAAATAAAGGAATTACTACTAGTTTAGTATGTCTTATAAATGGTGCGTTTCATTATCTATCCTTCTTGAATTCAGAGAGTATAGGAGCTTTTTATGGAAATGAACGAATGGAAAGGATTATTGGAATGTTTTCCATTCGTTTTAATGTTGCTATATGATATTATAGAATAAACAGTCAATAGAGAATTTGAGTCTTTTCAGGAAACAAATTTATCCGTGCAATGGGTACAGAATTAACAAAAAAAACGTGCTACTTTTAGTTTTATAAATCACTTTTCAGCAAGAAAATAATAACACAAGAAATATATTCATATTAAATATTGGCACAGAGGAAACATGACAATAGAAAAGTTCATCTTCTATGCAAATCGTTGTTTAATAATTTTTTCTGTTGAAAACCGTGTGAAAGTAAATTTTCAACAATGAATTAGTATGGTCAAGAATCTCGATCAATATTTCAACCTAAAGGTTTATTCGATCGCCGTCGATCGAACTAGACAAATCATTGCAGCACTAATGACACAGATGAAAATAAATCCATTACTAAATGCAACTCTAAAGAACAATTTTGTGAAAACAGCGAAAGTTTTTTAAGAATCAAATGAGACAAAAAAGTCATGCTTCTAAAAATGATTGAAAAAAAGAGAAGATAATCATATTTATGTTGATCTAACGAGACACTACGTATTTGCTGTTCAATGCTACATTTTATCACAAAATGACACAAGATTCAAAAATATTCTTTTCTGTTGAACAATGACGAAATTTAGTCAAGGCTTACATTTTAAACTTAATATGAAATAACAAACAAAAGTATTGACGCTTAATAAAAATTACCATGAAACGATAAAGGAATATGAATAGGAAGATAAGCACGAGCAAGTTCTTTAAATGTGATGCCATCAAGCACAAGTATAAATGATCGTTTTGCGTGTTGTTCTAAAATGATCGATAAAACAACTCCATCATCTTCTTGATCAGAATTTGCATCAGGTCGCGGAACAAAAATAGGTTCACTTGGCGATGAACATGGTTCTTCCCATACAGCTACCTGCTGTTTTGATTCAGCATCTAATTTAATTAATCCATCAAACAATCGACCAGGTGGTGCACGTACAGCATATATATATCGATACGGTTTAGTAATAAAGATTGGATTGATACGCGGTAATTCAAATTGAACTGGCACAAGACTATTGGCATAACTCTCACGGTGAATTCCTTTGGGTTCTCTTGCATTCGCGTTTGATTCAATACATGTATTGGCGTCTAAATCTAATTCAAATCTTCTAAGATAACCAGCACCTGAAGGAAATATATTTTCACGTAGTTTGTCTAAATAAAGCTCATTAATAATTCGAGGATCATCAAAGCCACAAATATCAACAGTAATTTTCTTTTTATTATCTTTGCTTTGGTACGAATTAATATGATGAAACATAAAAAATGCTGGACCAGGAATACGTGCTATTTGTTCACCAGTATCTAAACTAATAATACGAAAGTAAGTTGGCTTTGTTTGACCATGCCATTTAAACATATCGATTATTGTTCCACCGCTAATACTATTCCAAATGGCATTGAATGTATTAAAATGCAATGGAATTTCTGTAAAAATCAAATAATCTTCACTAATAGATGCCGAATGCATATAACATGGATTTTCATACGGAAAACGAAACATTTTTGCACTTGATTTAATACGTTGATTATAATCTTTGCAACGTTCATTCATATTTCTTGTAATATGAATAAAATGATCTTTGAGAGACAACTGCTCATCTATATCACCATCTTCTATTTTAATCAGGAATATTTCAATAAAATATTACTGATTGTTTTTTTTCAATGTATAAACTAACCTATTTTATCTGTCTTTGATGGCTCATCCGATATGAAGATAACATCCAGCCAATGTTCTTTACGTGAAATTCTTCCGCCGTAGCCAACTGTCATTTGGCGTTTGTCATCATGCATTACATGAGCTGTCGTCAGTGTGAAGAGTTCCGAATCGACTTTTTGATCATAAGGAAGAGCTCTCAGTGGACCTAAAAATTCCAATGTGTCAGGATCCATGACGCTGCCTCCTATTGTTTCTGTAAGTGCTAATAATTCATTCTGCACGAGTTGAACGGTAACACCTGTATCATCAGAAAATGTACTTGGGTCACGTCGCATAAAAAGCGATTGAAATCGACCAAAAATTGATTTGCATGGATCTGTACCAAATTGTCGTACAGTTAAATGGCCATGTTTTAATGCTTCAGTGTATGCACGTGATTTAATAAATGAACCACGAAAACGAACTGTTTGCGATGGTCCATCAATATTATATTTTTGAATATAAGCAAAACCATCGAATGCATGATAAACCGATGTTGTTAAATCATTATTGACTTCATTTGCTCCTGGACCATTACGATAAAGAGTACCTTTTAACCATTCAGGAATTGTTCCTTGAAACTTAATTGTTTCTTCCGTTACACTATCCGTTGTGGAAGCAAATAGATTAAAATTATTCCACATTGGCTGATCGTTTTCATTAACAGTCGACGTCATTATCTTAAATTAAAAAGTAGATTATATTTTATTTGCGTTTAGAGTAGAATAAAAATCGTTCTTTTTCCATCTAAATGAGATCAGCATCTTAAAAAACATATATGTAGTGTGTCTTGCCATATCCCAGTGCTACAAATACGTGCAGAATCATATGTGCTGTAAATATAATTTTTTCTCTCGATTCTGATCTTTCGAATATGGACTTTGATCTGTAATGTAGATAGGCCATTTATATTATATGCGTCAGAGTGCATGCACCCGAACCGTTTTTTCTTTTCTTCTGACTTTTTTGAAACAATATCTTATAAAAGAGATATATGCTTAACAGCAGCACTGAGTGGAACCTACAATCGACCATTGAGCGAGTCCATCACCTAGATGTCGTAAGCAATGACACTATGAATAATCTTTAGACCTAGTGATAAGTTGTCTTCATTACTTTTGATATTTCAATCAATCAAATGCAATTTTTTCGCTGTGTAACAGATTTGCCAATTAATTTAGCTCAATTAACTTTCGTGAGATATAATAGATGATTTCATAAGTTTTCTTATTGTATGACAAACGTCAGAATCGTATATCTTATATCCATATGATAAGTTACCAGAACTCTATGAGTTACTCTACCAATAAGTTGAATATTCAATACAGGAAGAAAAAGCATATGAGGATTTGGAATTTATTTTATTGTAGGAGCACAATATTATACACTATAATTACACTTTGAACAATTTGACTTTTCTTTTTTAATATTCAAGTCTACAGCTGAGCTGAGTGTTCCGGTTAAACGACGAGTTTGCCGATCATTATAAAATATTCCCACTCCCATTTGATCGTCAGGTGCTCGGCCTATCAAAAATAAATCATTATAAACTGAACGTATAGTTGTGAGAAAGACACAGAACAGCATGAATCATCCTTGTAAACCGGTAAGAGCACTACTTTATGATTGAGCAAAAGCGATCAAGACTTCCAGAATATTTGGTTTGCTAGCATAGTTCTCGTTGATTTTGAGAAAAAAATTCTTTTATTATTAGGTAAGTGATTAGTATGTTTGCAAGTGATCTTAAATGAATCTCTATCGATAGAGATAGGACATTGAACTAAAGAAACACAATTGGGTTTTTTTCCCGTGCTGTTATTAATACATATTACATATATTAAGAGTTGTACTTGAAATTTGTGTATAAATAAGATGTCACCGAAACTAAGGAGATTCGTAAGCATACGTACAGAAAAACAAACAAACGCGTAAAAGCATGTTTATCAATAGCGGCACGAATTAAAACGGAAAAAATATCATGATTTTGAATAATGAAAAAGGAATGTACTGAATCGTATATACATGAGGAAAAGAATTTTATGCTTTCTTATCAACGAAGAAACATTAATAATATATATATATATAGTCTCTCAGATCTCAATAAAATAATCAAAAGCTTAAAATTATTTTTAACAAGATCCACAGCCTGACGTTGATTTATGCATCCGTTCATCAGCGGAATTTGAATTTTGATCACGATTAAATCGATTAGCAGCAAGTGATCGGCCACATTGAATGCCTGAATACATTCTATACGGATCAATAGTACCTGAAAATAAAACAAAATAAATTCATTGTTATTTTTAATCTAAATCTAAATACCTGAATCGATCTTGCTTAAAATCATTCGTGCACATTGAAGAAAACAGTCTGGCACTTTTTCACCTGTCATTGCAGATGTTTCGAGAAAAATTAAATCTTTAATTTAAAAAAAAAGGCAGCAATATTTAAAATGAAAAATAAATAGCAAATAAATAAATTCTACCATTTTCATGTGCAAATTGGCTTGCTTCGAGAAATGGTACCTGCCGTTGATCTTCTAAATCCTTTTTGTTTCCACATAGAATAATTACAATATTTGAACTTGCCAATGAACGTGCATCAGATAACCAATTTGCAATAGCATTGTAACTTTCTCGACTTAAATAAATATGACGTTTACGAATTTTTATTTAAAGAGGTTGATCGATCCTACTTTGTGATGTCATAGACTAGTAAAGCCCCGGATGCTCCGCGATAATAACTTCGCGTAACCGATCGAAATCTTTCTTGTCCAGCAGTCTGAAATGAAAAATAAATGCATAATTGGCGTGAACAAAATTGTTTTTTTTATCATAAACATACATCCCAAATTTGTAATTTAACATTTTTTTGATTAACATTTATTACTTTTGAACCAAATTCAGCACCAATAGTATGTGTTACATTAGTTTTGACTAGAATCAAATAACTATAAATAGTGAATTCATTTATTAAAAGTCATATTTTACATTTATTTTCAAGAAATTGATGTAAAATACATGATTTCCCTGTTGATGCGCTACCAATTATTAAAAATTTGAATAAATATTCTAAAAAAACAAAATGAATGAAGTAATCAATCAATAATTACAGCTTCAATCTCGTACCATATGCTTCAGAAGGTTGAGACATAGTTTTAAATCTATATTTTGTAGAAACAAAAAATGACGTCAAATAATAATATAATAATAAACACTTTATATTGACATTTTTCTCTTATCGGTTGCAAAAGAAACTAATGAAAAGCAATTGACTACGGGCAACTAGCGACAATATTGTTAATTTTTTCTTCACGAGTTGGCAATCGAGGATTGCCATACGGAGAATGTACGTGCACGTTGGTGGTTGCGAGTCTCAATCTTTTCCTACGCATACATTTTCGGATAGAAATCAAATTCAAAAGTATTACTAAAATTATAATATTTTGTAGTTTGATTTTAACACAGATGACAAAAATAGTGTGTGGCCGTGGATTGTGTGAAGAGTCATAAACGCACGCCCTTCAAATTCGACTGACTAGTTATATTCTAATTTTGAGATAAATTCTATCATAAAATTTCTCCTTTTATTCGAAAGGCATTCTTAGAGCAATTGTAGTATATTTTTAAAAAGAGCTAAACGCTGACAAAATTGAATCGATGTCAACATTATTTAAGACAAAATATTCCAGTTGTCATCTTGCAGAGTATCAGCAGTTTCAAGCTTGACAATACTGGACAATCTAAGTGATAGAGCAACAAAACAAATGCTTTGAACGGCATTCCTGTTGAATAAAAATATGCAATGTAATAAAACGGATTTCATTGTAAGCGAAAGTATGTTCTGGAAAGCCTGCGACATATCTCTTGTCAATCATTGCATACAAATGGTTGGCAGCAAGTATCTGACGGGTTCCCTGCTCTGAGCGAATTGCAATACGAAAACATGGTATTTTAGTACTTTGAAATACTTCAAAAGAAATTCCGCTCAGATAAAAACAGCTGGCCAATGAACTCTGCTAACAGAGTGCGAGCTGCTGCATGAATTTCAATCAGTCAAGAAGAGCTGGTTACTACACCTCGCTCATGTATAAATGCTCTAATCGTTTTGAATTTGATCTGTTGTAATCCGTTATTCTTTCCCTGTGTTATTTAGTTATGCCGAAAGTTCTATATTTCTTCAACATTTCATCCATAAATTCATATGAAACATATTCGATATATCAGAAGATAGAAGAAAATAAATTGTTTCGTGGAGAGAAATATATATCAATTTGAAACAGCGTTTTCTGTGTTTCGGAAACAGAAAATAAAAGGGCAAAGTTTGTTTTCAAACATGTATGAACAGCGATACGATTGAATCCGAAATCAATCACATTAACTACGAGTATAACACCCCGTCCTGTAGACAAGCACTTGTCGGCAAAGTATCCATATAGCACTAATTGAGATACAATCGATTTTTATTCTTTTATTTTTCTCTGAAAATCAAAATTACGATGTAAACATATTATTTCTGAAATATTCAATAAACAACTGGACAATAAGCAAAAGAGTTTGTTCTTGGCTAATATTTTCGTGTCGTTTATTTATATAAATCGTCATCATCATCATCATTTCGACGTCTTTCTATAATAAAACGAATACATAGCGGCAAGAATAGAAAACAGTTGATGAAGTTTTGTGGAACTCACATTTATTTTTTAGAAGAAATTGGTGAGTATAAGTTTAATTATACATGTCAGATAACAAGATGAAAGCTTTTCGAAAGAGTTTTCATTTCAGATATTTTTGTTTTAGTTTCTCTAGTCGAACTTCTTTTGGTCTGCGCAGGAGATACTTGATAATTTTGGTCAAGAAAGTCATGCGCTATGGACCAAACTTGAGACAAGTCTTGACGTATTATTTTGAGTTCAAGCGCTTGACTTTCTTGGCCTATGTCTTGACATTCTGGTTACTGTACTTGAGATTTTGGAAAAGCGCATCTCCTTTACGTGAGCTTTTAGTCAAGCGCATGGGTTGTCCTTGAATAAATTTTTGTAGTACATCAAAAATTTATTCGGTTATAGATATCACTCGACATTTACTGATTTACTTATATTGTACTTAACAAGTTCTCACGAATGAATCGATAGATAGTATCTGGTGAGAAAACCAGGGTATTGATACATGTTGAATCTAAGTTAAAGACTATAGAACTCGACTACAACGTACGAAAAAATAATATTCGATCTGAGTGAAAATCTTTGGTCTAGAAATTTTTTTTGCCACAGTTGACGAAAGGAATAGCACTCCCCTGAGGCTCCCATGGGCACTTCTGCTCTAGTCACTAACATTGCGATTTTTACAAAGTCATAGAAAACTTCATCAAGTTTTATCGACAGATTTCAAATTTCGTCGAAAACCATTGCCTTGCCGAAGAGTAATATAATTTAGGTTGAATATCATGCGTATTTATGTTTCAGTTGGGGTTCATGCTCTTTAGTTTGGATTCAGTACATGCCTATATCCTGATTATGTCACAACTCAAATGATACCTAATTCGTAATGAATGATGAAAACGAAAAATTTTGAATGTCTAAAACTAGTTTTTCATCATTTTTAGACAATATTTTATGTATTTCTATGTTCAAGAACTTTCCAGTTGTTAATAAACTTGTGATTTAAGTATTTGTTTAAAATTTTAGAATCCCTAGAAATAAATCTGAATCACTCAGTTGGTTTCAAATTCTGCGCATTGATAGGGTTTCACTAAATCGTTGTAGTTGATTAGTCCAATGATGTTTCTTGATACAACCCTCAAGTGCCAACACATGTTTTCTTAAAACAAGCGTATAATCATGCAAGCGTCCAAGCGCTTGTCTATGGAAAGAAAGTCATGCGCTATGGACCAAATGTGACGCCTGTGCAGGCCCAGTGCAGAAGAAAAAAGTTCGACTAGGGTTGGTAATTCAAAGTATAGATGTGAGTTCCATATTTTTACTTAAAAAGAGTTCCACTAACAAACTTTTCTACATACCACTTGTTCTTTGTAATGGTGATTGTTGATTGAAAAAACGGAATTGTGAACTGAGACCACTTGATTGTTGTAATGTTTGAGTAAAATTTTCATATTTTCGTATATCATTATCACTAACAGATCTTCTTGCGAATTTCACTGCTTCGTCAAAATGATCTCGACGAATTTCCGGTACTAGATCAGGTTCATAAGAGTCCCATGCTGCTTGTCCGATACGTAGCCGTTCTTTTCCTCGAACAATATCTTTCTCTATGGATTCTGTTACAGCTAATTCACATGCAACTTGACATATCTCTGTTAAATCAGCACCACTAAAGCCTTTGGTGACTTTTGCCAAAAGTTGAAGGTCAACATCTTTGGCTACGGGTGATTTTCTTAAAGCAGATTTTAGAATAGATAGACGAGATTTGTCATCTGGTAATGGAACATAAATCAATTTATTGAACCGATCTAAAGGTCAAGAGAATGATAATGACCAGATAGATATTTCGTTTTGTGTACTGACCTGGCCGAAGCAGAGATGAATCAATAATATCTAGTCGATTCGTGGCACCAATAATAAAAACATTATGTTTATGTCTGATACGTTTCATTTCTCTGAAAAGGTGATTGATAACACATTCTGCAGTAGTTCCACTATCACCACTCTTTACTAGAAACGAACGGAAAATAATATATTTTGACAGTTCTAATATATTGTTTATTTGACAGACCGATAGCATCTAATTCATCGAAGAACAGTACACAGGGAGCTGTTTGACACGCTTTATAAAATATATTATGAATTCTGACTCTTGATTCTTCATACGGCATCGTTAATAAATCAGAAGTTTCATATGAAATAAAATTCACTTGACATTCATTGGCAATAGCCTCAACTAAGAGAGTTTTACCTAGAAGATGATACCCATGATAACTCATTAGTAGTTTGGAATAGAATTAAAACTTACCACAACCTGATGGTCCATACAAAAGCACACTATGTGCTGGCATTATACCAAATTTCAGATACTTCTCTGGATGTTCAATTGGATATCGAATAAGTACTTGTAATTTACGTTTAACATCCTCTAAGCCGCCAACATCTTCCAAAGTTGTTTTTGGAATTCCATCAACAAGTTTACGTAAAAACGATGAAGTTAATCGATTCAGTGCAAAACGGAAGTTATCTTGTGTAACAGCTAATGAATCAAGCAGTTCAGCATCAATGGTGTCTTCTTCTAAATCGATCACACCCATTTTTTCACGGATTTGTTGTAAAGCTGCTTCGGAACATAATGATTTTAAATCAGCACCAACATGACCATGTGTTTCATTAGCAATTTGTACTAGATCGACATCGTCTGCTAACTTCATATTTTTCGTATGAATACGAAGAATTTCCAATCGACCAACAGCATCTGGAATGCCAATATAAACTTCGCGATCAAATCGACCAAAACGTCGAAGAGCAGGATCAATCGAATTCAATTGATTTGTAGCAGCCATAACAATGACACCTGAACGTTGTTTAACATCGTCCATTAATGTTGACAATTGTGAAACAATACGACGTTCAAGTTCACCATGAGTTTTCTCACGTTTTGGTGCAATTGCATCAAGCTCATCGATAAAGACAATAGCCGGAGTATTCTAAAATTACGATCAAAATAAATCATTTCGAAATTCAGTTTTTCTCTTTACTTTTTCAGCTTCCTCAAACGTTTTTCGTAAATTTGATTCGGGTTCACCATCTAATTGCGCGATGATTTCTGGTCCATTGATTAAAAAGAAGAATGCACCTGTTTCATTGGCCACAGCACGTGCGATTAAAGTTTTACCTAGAATTATTCTATTTAGTTTTTTCATCTTCTGTTAAAAAATGCAGTGAACAACCTGTGCCTGGAGGTCCATAAAGAAGAATACCATGTGGCGGTTCAATGCCAATAGTTTTGAACAAATGTGGCTGTCTGAATGGTAATTCAACTATTTCTTTAATTTGTGCTAACTGTGTTCTCAAACCACCAACATCATCATAACCGATTTCATTTAATGGAGCATTTTCTTCTTCACGTTTTATTGGATCACCTTCACAAAGTATAAGTGTATCTGGCGCAACAATACAATATGGGCTAGGTTCAGTTTCAATAACTTTAAATTCAACGGCACGCATTGCTGCACGTACTATAAAAACATCACCTTTCTTGACTGGTCTATAGGCGTCAATAAAGTATGGTTTCAAGTAGACTTCAAATAGATTTCCCGTTATTCCTTCGACAGTATCATCAAAAGGTAACACGTGTATACGTTTACCGTATTTAACATCTGAACAGGCTTGAATTGAAACAATATCACCTGATCGTACACGTAAATTATTACGTAGAACACGATTCATTCGAATATGATCGTTTGGGCAAGCGTCATCGGGGACTACATTACATATTGTTTCACGACGTTTTTTACCTCTGAGTGTAACAGTATCTCCACGAAATAATAGAAGTTCATTCATTTTTGCTTGTGATAAGGCAACAGCACTATTGTCATCATTGCGAGATTCTTCAATAAGGAGATGGTTCGGACGCTTTTTTTGATCTAAAATTGCTGTTGCTAATTTATCTTCGTTAGTTGAGTAAACAAGTCTAGCCATATCAGATTTTTGCAATGAAATGTAAAAACTTAGATTATATCTAGAAATCGAAAGGAACGATGATAGAGTTTGAACGGACAGTGTTTTGCGACTATCAGTTGGTAATAATGAAATAGAAGTCATTTTACGCGTTTAACATTGCCTATAGATAAAGAAAACTTCAATATTAACTTTAGATATTTTAATATGGTACGAATAATGTTTCATTGAAATCATCAATACTCAAACAATAGTATCTTCTACATGTTCATCTTGTATTTGTTACAGATTTGATTCATTATGTTCTCCGTAAGTCATTAACCCACAGCTACACATACAGAAATCAATTATTTGCAATTGTTGATTGTGATATTGTTACCGCCTCTACGTACATAATTATTTTTCATTCTTAATTTTTCAATTGTATTTAGAACATATTAATTTGATATTGAATGTGAATCATATTAAGCATCATACATAATCATTGTGTTTTTTATTTGCATTGGTCTTTATGGTGACGATGTTCGTCATTCCATAATTACTCGTCCTAAGTGCGGTAGACCTACAGATATATGCTTGCGAATAATCTTGAATCATTCTATAGAGAGTAGAATCGGTGAACGCTCAAATGACCTGATGCAGGTTGTAAATAACGGATAGCTGTATGTGTCCCATGAGTGATTCAGCTATAAGTCAGACGGTAAATATATTTCGGATTGGAATCTTGATCGATTTCTTTCCCATCAACCAATGGGTTATTGGAAATATGACTATGGTATAGGTGTGGGTAGACTCATTTCCTGCTCTTATGCACCAGCGTCCAAGCAATGCCTACGTTTGATAAGAACTGCTTCCCGGAATTCCAGTTATTAGAGAGTACGCATGAGAATAGGAAATTTGATTGTGGGACGCGATTCCAAGAATTATGTTAGAAGTGATGAAAAGAATTTCGGGAATTAGATGAAACAGGTTCCACAATGTTCAACGTCACGGAATAGGATGTATTCTCCTGTTTCTACTCTCTACTAATTCAAAGTCCCTGTGAGTTCTAAATACAAGGTTTTTATGAATTGCGATTCGGCTGCGGTCTATTCTAGATGCTCCTAGCTATGGATATGATTGAAAAGTGCGATTCTAGGAACTTACAAGATGATGGAAGTTTGCCATGAGTTGATTTTTTAACATAAATCGTCAATCCATTGAGCTGACAGCTGTGTTCTCTTCAAAATAATTTTACAAAATTTTCAACTTATTAAATGATAGCCAGCAATTGTCAATGAAGTAGATTCAGGTTTTTTTACATAACAGTTTCTTTCTCGCGGGCATTGTCACGTGAAATTTTCTACATTCTGTTGAAATAAAAACATAGTTTTATACTGCTGTTTCTTTATTTTTCCAATCATATCAAATGGTAATCTTTTCTTCCAACATTCCCTATAAATAACATTAATGATATTGATTCAGTGCTGCACTAAATCCAATGAATACATCACAATTTTATAGATGTCGACATCGATGAGAAACTTGCACACGAGACGAAAAATATGACGCAAGGTTAGATGTCTTTTGCATGCAAAACAGATTTTGCATGTGAATCGTTTTATTTTCAACAATATATTCAACCAATCACCTACTGTCCAAGATTCAGCAAGATTATAAATTAACGAAAGCGAACATTCTTCTTTTTCTTTTTCTTTTCTTTCCTTTTTTTACCAACAAAGATCCTCGTAGTCAAATATGTTTGACCATGTTGGCCAATACTGTGCTTTATAGCAAGACGACTGCTTTAACAACCAATTTGCCTGTTAGTCAATATTGGAGTGTCAGTGTGAGGTCGAGTATTTTCGTTATCGACGCCTACACTCACACCTTCAAAATATGGATCAATAGTATATAAGAACAACATTTATTGTTAATCTAAATATTTATGAATTCAAATGCTTGAATTAATCTTGCTTAAAATCATCGAGCACATTGAAGAAAACGTTCTGGTGCATTTTCACCAGTCATTGCGCATGTTTCAAGAAACAGACAACGAATAAATAAACTGTACTGCTTTCTTGTGCAAACTGACTTAGCTCGAAAATTGTTACTTGTCGTTGATCTTTCAAAACATTTTTTTTCTGTTTCCACTTGGAATCATCACAAAATTTGGGTTTTCCAATGAACGTGTATCCGATTGACAACAGTATTATAATTTTCGCGACTTAAATGCCTGTAAAACTGTATTGATGAATAGAATTATGTAACTAAAATAAATTTATTTTTCACCACTCGAATAATAACACGTGGAATGTTGTTTTTCCTATATTCACAGTTTATGTTTTGCCAGCATTCACTGGGTACAACTTGGAGTTTGAATTGATCATTATGACTAACGATAAATGTTCGATTACATTCTAGTCTAAAAAGTTATTTCGATTCTTTTTACTCAGGTATTTAATTTTTCATGCATTTTTTTTGCTTGTTAACAAGATTTGTTCTTTTTCTTATTCGCCCAGGGAATGATTCATCGCTTGTTATTGTACTTTTCTCCTTATTTGTACGTATGTATCGTATTGCACCATATCTTGACAATTCTAAGCTGCAAATATATAATAAGATGAAACTCATTCGTTTGCCGTTACTATTTCTCTATCACCAAGTTTGTCACATCTGTCAAAACAATGGCAACTGAAACTATTCCATTGAAGCGCATTACTTTATATAAAAATGATTTAGGTTATTTTGAGCGAACAGTTCCTAGTTCAAGATCAGCATCATTTATTTCGGTTGCTAAAAAACACAAGAAATTAGTGATTGATACGCTATGTACAACAGCAAGTACGGTAGCATTTGATACAGAAGAGCATGATAAATATGTCGCCGAAAATACGGCTGAACACTATTTTGCTTTCAATGATTTTGCATCATCAACTTCGTTTGCTGCTTTTCTTAAAACATGTATTGGAGCTGAACTAGCATTCTCTTGTCAAGGTGAAAACAAAGAACAATCAGGTCAACTGGTTATGCTTGATGAAATCAAAGCATTACTGAGTCCAAATTCAACAGAAACACGGAAAGATTTTGTTCTTCAAGTTTTGAATAAAGATGGATTCATTCGTCACTTTGATTGTAAGTAAAATAGTTTCTACAAAAACAAAAGTCATTAATTAACGTATTTATTTCGATTAGTTGCATCAATTAAGAGTATTAAACTTACTGATCTATATTTACAAGAACAACTTGAGAAAGTCTTAAAAAAGACATTGCAAAATAAGATACCACAATTAAATACAGCCTCTAATTATATTCGAATCTTGTTCAATAGCGATGATTCATTATCATGTTCAACAACAGCTACTGTTGATAAGTCAAATATTCTTAATGTATCTTATTGTTATGCAACAAAAGAATGGCATTGCTTATATCGATGTGAAATCGATTCATCTTTGCCAAACAGTAAGGCTTCGACAGTTGGTCTAACTTTGTTTGGTTCAGTGAATAATCCAACGGAAGAAGATTGGTCTCAAGTTGAACTTATGCTTGTTGCTAATGAACTTGAAATATTAAATAATAATAAACCAACGCTTACGACTACTAGTAATCGTGAAGGATCAGAAAGTTCGTCCGGTGGTATGCAAATTTTCATTAAAACTTTGACGGGTAAAACAATTACAATAGAAGTATGTATAAAGAAAAAACAAGGAATTCATTTGATGATCATCTATTTATTCTTGTTAATAATAGGCTGATCCGTCAGATAGAATTGAAACTATCAAAGCAAAAATTCAAGACAAAGAAGGTATTCCTCCAGGTCAGCAACGTTTGATATTTGCTGGAAAACAATTGGAAAATGATAGAACACTAGCTGCTTATAATATTCAAAAAGGTAATTATTGACATGCATATATATGTGTATAAAATGAGAACTCTATCTATTTTACTTATCTATATAGAGTCTACTTTACATTTGGTACTACGATTGCGTGGTAGTGCAGATGACGATAGTGAGCCAATCGCTTACAAACGTAGAAAAATTACTACTAATGTGAATGTTGTTGATGATGATGATGATGAAAACTATGAATCCATTGATTCGAGTCAAATGAGTGGTTTTAGTGAGCATGTTGTTTATAAAATAAATACACCAGTCAGCATTAAATCGCATGAAAGTGTGCTAATAACGATCAATAAATGGCAAATGGATGCACAATTGGTACTTTATTATGATCCAAAAATCAATGATTTAAATGCAATCAAAGCTGTTCATTTGCGAAATAACAGTGGCATTGTATTAGCACCGGGAAGTATTGCTGTTTTAGATCATGGACGTTTCGTTGCTCAATGTGCTTTTACACCAATGTTACCTAATGATGACCAATTGATTAAGTAATTTTTCTTTTTTGTCGTTTCTCCTCCATTTTTAATTTAAATATTTCATAGTTATGGTTTAGATTCAACTGTATCTATTCTTCGTACAACTCCACTAGCACTTCAAGAAGTTCACACAGAAAGTGTTGATATAATTTATTCCGAAGTTGATAAGGTCAATTTAAATGTTGCTCCAAATGGCATTGATCTTCAACAGATCTACATAAAACGAACACGCTATTTAATTAAAAACAATTCTTTAGATCGTCCCGTAGACAAATTCTACATCGACCATGTTGCCGACCCATCATTGGGTGGTTATCTTGTAACAACACAAACGAACTGTATCAAGTCAGTTATGGGTTTTAGTCGTTTTGAATTAAAACTTGAACCGCAACAAGAGATTGAATTTATTGTTGGCGAACAAGCAAAGCATAGCAAAAAAATCTTTCAAGCATCAGGCCTTGAATCATTTCTAGAAAAGCAAGTGCCGGAACTTATCCAATTGAAATTAATCGATGAGAAAACAATTGATTTACTTGGAAAAATTATAAAATATAAATATGTTGAGCAAGTTCTTCGACATATGATTGACAGTACAATAACTGACAGTCAAATTCGAACATGGACACCAAAACGTGATTTAATACCAACATCATTATTTGATAAATCGGTTGCGATTCTTGATACACAAATGAATATACGTCAACTTGAAACAAAAATTAAATCACGCGAAGCAAATATTAAATCAATATTTGAAAATCAAGAGCGCATCAGACAAAATATTAAATCATTAGAAAAAATTGAAAAATCTGATTTAATGACGCGTTACTTGAAGGATTTAAATACAGAAGAAGATGACCTACAAGCAACACGACGCGAAATAAAAGTAAGGCAAGATGAATACAATGAAAAACAACGAGAGTTAGAAGAACAGCAAGCATCGCTTAAGCATGAAGCAAAAGAGACACAAACAAATCTTCGCATGTAACTTTTTGTTTTGTTTTACTAGCTCATAATATACTAGAAATACAGAGGTCGAAACTTGAGGGTGTGTGGGTGTAGATGTCGGTTATGAAAAAAGTATTCACATCCGCAGCCTCATAAAATTGAAATTTTACGATTTACAATGGCACACGCAAACCTCCGGTCTCGATTGCATGCAAAACCTTTAGGAAGAACGCAGTTCGTCATTTCAAGAGAAATCCTTTTTGAATTTTCTATCTCAAAAATCTGAATAATAACTTACTCAATTAGTTCTGATACTGGTGGCGGAATATATATTTTAATTTGATTCTTTCGATATTGCCATTGGGGTTGATTTAAATCTTGTTATTGTGATACATTAATCTGCATTCTAGCTAAATCAATTTGATGTTTGTTTGCATCCGATCTAATGTCTAGATAACATTCGTTGTTTTCGCAATGATGTAATACCCATAGGTCAGCTGGTGATATGGTATAGATTGCGCTTGGATTTTCTAATTAAACGAAATAATACTTTTATTTTTAGGAAAAAGAGTCTAGTTTAAATAATTAACTCACCACGTGCTTCTGTTAATTCTTTACGACTTTGTTCATATGTAATTGGATGGATAAGTTTTGTATTATTGAATAAATTACATTCTTTATTCAATAATTTCAACATTATATTTGGAATTAACTCATGCTGATTGATTAATAATTCAAATGCTTTTCTTATAACATCATTATTTGTAGCTGTTCCGCTACCAACAAGTAAATTCATCTCTCTAAATCAGTAAGTATAGGTAAAGTAAAGTTTTGACATAAAGTTGCACTCATATCCAACCAGCTATCTTCTAATAGATGTTTAAGTAAGTGTGGCGCTGATATCGTTTGATTGATATCTTTTCAATAGTGTTTTAAATAAGAATAACACTAACCATAAAGTTTGACATTGTTGTCTTTATTATAGTTGGTGCATATTCTGTAACATGTACACCAGCGCGCATGAAAATCTCCGTAATAAATGTAAAATTATTATAAAAGAAAAATATTACCATCATAAAAATGATTTTGTATCAATTTTTATGTCTGCAGCACAAGTTGTATTTAATGAAATAATATCATCCGCTTTTGGTGCTATTTTATACTCATTTCTAATAAATAAATAAATAAAATAATATTCATTTTTTCTTTTAAGACATATTTTTAAATCACTTCTATGAATTAGTTGAGGCCTATTAATTGAATTTTAATCGATTTCAGTGTATACAACTATAGATTAAATACTGGCTATATGCTCTGTTTATGTGGAACACAAAAATCAGAAAAAGTAGAAAAGAACATGCGATTTCCTACGTTTCTTTTAATTTTTTCGATCTTTTTCTGCAATCGCTCCCAAGTGAATCATGTCTATAATAGAAAACTTTGATATTTCTATTATATTCTTTTTCTTAAACATGAAGAATTACAGAGAGAATTAGTTTTGAATGAAAATTTCTTCGATTTTTTCAAGTTATTGTAGATCAATCGAGTACGTGTCACATGTACCGAACAAATAATAGTTGCTAGTTCTATATACTAGTGATCAGGTATCTTAGGAAATAAAAATGATGTCCGCAGCTCAGATGGATGAGAGATGCTCCTTTTAATTCTTTTAAGTTGAGTATAACATGTTGTACTATTGCTAACCGCCAACAGTCATTATACTCTACAATGGCTAATCATTGATTCTGACCATCATTGATCATCAAAACATATTTGACTTGTAGTTCGTTGTTTCATCACCACTCAGTCAACTGAGTCATACAGGTACTTTGATGAGAACTCCAATGAGATCACAATGATGTTTATGAAATTCTATCTACTTCTACTTCATGTTCATAAACGTAATTTTTTTGGATGATCAATGACATTGACGATGTTTATGGTAGCTAACACATGTATGTGACACAACTAAGAGAAACAAAGGTATGTTATTTTGCCAAATTCTATTGATTAAACATTTAGTTGATAGAGCCAGTAGGTCAAACAACATTGGAACATGATTTTCACCCAGTAAAAATACAGTTATATCACATTTCATAATTCTAAAAATCATTCTCCGCTTACCTTAAACTATCAAGAGTGAAGAAACTCAGCTTCAACCATTATTGTTAGTAATCATTTGTTCACCTGCTGCTATACGTCTGGTGAAGAGAGAAAATGGTTTTTCAAGACAAAAAAACGCAAACAGATCAGTTCCTTGTTTCGTCTCGTGAATTCTCTGGTCTGAAACTCAAACATGTTCTGAAGTTTCTCTCTTCTTTACTGCTCCCACTCGCATTAGGCGTCTTCACTCTTATAATCTCTCTTCAGCAACAGCAACTAGCTAAACAACAACGTGAAGAAGATCGAAATGCATCCAAACAACAACGAATTGAAGATCGAGAAGCAACTGAACGATTGCGTGAGCAAGACCGAAATTTATCCCAACAACAACGCATCGAAGATAGAATTGCAGCCGAACAGTTGCGTGAACAAGATCGAAATTCATCGCAACAACAACGCATCGAAGATAGAATTGCAGCCGAACAACTGCGTCAACTAGAAAGAACCTTGACTAATGAACGGTACCAAAAAGAAGTTCTCGATACTTACATTAAAGAGATCGGGAAACTGCTAGAGAAGAACCATGGATCACTAATTTCTAATGAAGTTGCGGCTACACTCGCTCGAGCTAAAACGCTGAATATCTTTCGTAAATTAGATTCACAGTACAATGTTCACATTATTCGATTTCTCTACGAAGCCAAGCAACTTACTGAATTACACGAGCATCCTTCATTGGATCTTTCTACAGCCGAGCTTCATGATATGGATTTTCGTGACTCAGCAATCAATAAAAGGATATTGAAAAGATTATCAATGACTAGTATCTTTCTAACGAATGCCACCTTCATAGGGATTGAGATGGAGCACGTCAACTTTGCCGACACTCAGTTTGATACAGTTAACTTTTCATCAGCGAAACTTCGACACGTCAACTTTTCACATGCTAGATTCGATCATGCGAACTTTTCATTTACTTCTCTAATGAATACTACATTTTCATTAAGTCAATTGAAAAATATCAATTTTTCATCTACCCGACATGAGGATGTCGATTTTAGGTTCGCGGCACTTGAAAATATTGATTTTTCATCGTCTCAACTGAAAAATGTCAGTTTTTTTAATTCTTCGCTCTCGAATTGCACCTTTTCATCTACTCAACTAAATACTATCAATTTTTCGAACTCGTCGCTATTTAATTGCAATATTTCACCCACCGTACTCCAGAATATCGATTTTGGATTCGCGACACTCAAGAATATTAAGTTTTCATCCAGCAAGTTACAAACTGTCAACTTTTCATCGTCTTCGCTCTCTAACTGTAACTTTTCATCGTCTTCGCTAGTCGATATCGAATTCTCATCAGCTGAACTCGATAGTGTTGATTTTTCATTATCTACACTAAATTACAGTTGTTTTCTCATGGGATCGCTCTTTAATACTGACCTATCATTCGCTCGGATCGACACTGTGCAGTTCTCGTCAGTACAATTCGAGAACACAAACTTTTCATCTTCTCTGCTCTATGACACTGAATTCTTATGCGGTGCGTTCGGTAATACCAAATTTATATCGGCCGAACTCCACAACGTTAGCTTTTCAGCTGTGCAGTTCATACATGTCAATTTTTCATTCGCTATTTTAGGTAATGCTCATTATAGGATCTTTCTTATACACAAAATCTATTTTTGGGTTGCGCTTTAGCTTCAGCCGACTTTTCTGTCACGAGAGCATCTGATACAGATTTTCAGCAAGTATATTGTGTTGCAGCTCGTTTCAATAAAACTGATTTATCTTCTTCCTGCTTTCGGCAGTCAAATGTAAAGCGTGCTTTGTTCATAGACGCTGACCTGACCGACGTTAGTTTTCTTGATGCCAATCTGTACAAAGCTAACTTCTCTGAAACTACGGTTACAGATGAACAGCTTCGAAGTGCTCTCTCTATTCAAAACGCTGTACTACGTAATGGGACGCTTGTTCATGACACAAATCTGATTAACAATGGCCAAGCTGATTGCAATATTCCTCTTGTCAATCACTGGACATTGCTGACTGGCAATATCATTACGATGAAATCAGATAATAATACGAGTAACTGTCGCTTCGTTTTACAAGCACTGAATACAAGTGCAAGCATGTTCCAACGTCTCAATTTATCAAAGAGGTGGAATTCGACTTCTTGGTCATATACTCAAGTTGTATTCAGTGCTCAAATGAGTCCCAATGTAAGCATAGAGCTGAGAGGAATCAATGTTAATGACTCAGTTGTTGCTCGACAAGCGTTAAGTAAGTTTCCGTTTATATTAGTCCTAATTGCGATACCTCTTCCGTTTACAGGCTTCAACAAAGAGAATGTCACTATGATCTTACGCAAAGATATGCGTGAGCTTGAAATTTTCATTGAATTTACTGTACCAGTCAATCAAAGCACTACAAGTTACTGGTGTGATGACATCAGACTATTCATTGTTTATGATGCATACGGAGAATTTCAACAAGGTAAGTTTCTAACTAGACATTATATACTGAGAACGCAGCGTCTAAATGTGTAGAGATGTTGAAACGTTTCTTACATGGTCGTGAATGACTGAAAATGACAAATACTATTGATATTTCGAAGATAGAAATTTAATAGTTAGAAAAACAACATGTTGTATAGAATTTCACTTTTTTTTCGGGCTTTGCTTGATTGGAAATCTATTTCACTGAAATGAAAACCGCTTTGTTTCTAGAAGAACTTTGATTTCATTTTGATTTGCTTGTTCATATCTAGTTGTCCCTGATATTTCATTGAACGCACAGTGGGCAAATAATGGTGTGACTGTTGCTGGAGGCAATGGTTCGGGTAATACCATCAATCAAATATCCAGCCCTCACGGTTTCTTTATTGATGATGATCAAACAATGGTCATCGCTGACTTTAGAAACCATCGTATCGTCCAATGGAAAATGAACGATACGAATGGACAAGTAGTAGCTGGTGGCCATGGTAGAGGGAACCTCCTGCATCAATTGAATCAGCCAACTGATGTATTAATTGAGAAAGAGACGGATAGTCTCATTATTTGCGATATGTGGAATCTACGGGTCTTACAATGGTCTCGTCGGCATGGTACTACTCACGGAGAAATTCTTGTTGACAACATCAACTGTTGGGGATTGGCCATGGACAATCAGAAATGTCTCTACATTTCTGACACCGAAAATGATGAAGTCAGACGATATCAAATGGGAGACAATAACGGTACTGTCGTGGCTGGTGGTCATGAAAAGGGTGATGGTCTCAATCAACTCGACTTTCCTACATATATCTTTGTCGATAGACAACATTCGGTCTACGTGTCAGACTATGTAAACCATCGTGTAATGAAATGGAATAAAGGTGCAGCAGAAGGAATTACCGTCGCTGGTGGTCAAGGTCAAGGAAGTGCTCTGACACAATTGTCGTATCCTAACGGATTGTTCGTCGACACGTTGAATAGTCTTTACGTAGCAGATCGGGAAAATAATCGAGTGATGCGTTGGTCTCAAGGAGCAAAACAGGGTAGTGTGATGGTAGGTGGAAATGGCAGAGGGGAAGGAGTAAACCAGTTTCACTATCTCGAAGGACTGTCTTTCGATCGTTATGGAAATCTCTATGTCGTCGATCATGGGAATCATCGCGTTCAATGTTTTTCAATCCAATAGACTCTTGTGAACGTTGCTGTTTCTTTTTTTCATTCTCTCAAATAAATAGCTTTACATGAATTTCATTTCTACCCTATTCATGCGCGTCATAGCGATTGCAAAGTTCATGCATGCATGGGATAGAGTCACATTATTCACGTCTAGATATGTAAATGAGTTTAGGGAAAGACCAATCGTGCACTTCAGATCTCATAACGGTTCCTGCTCGAGGTTGTAGGTTCTACATGAGGAGTCTTAATGGGTATAACTTATCTATTCCACTCTCGACATCAAAATAACAAATTTTAAATATTACCTGCTCGTGGCATACCTAGAACAAGTTATTTAAAGTTTAGCGTATATATATAAAATTCAGGTATAGAATACCTTTTTGTTTCTTTTCACACAATAAATTTCTACAATCTTTCTTGTGGACATTAGATGCATTCGACATTCTACTGATTCTACTACTATCAAAGTGTTTAGTAACATAGAATTTAAAAATAGCATCACGTACATCGCGCGTCTTAATTGAGCCACATATAAAAGCACAAAAAACAGCAAACGCATTGATATATCACGTCGTGGACTGTTTTAACTAGATATGTACTATGGATGTTAAGAAATCACTATTCCTCAACGTTCCCGAAAACATTGTTATTTATATTTCGTCGAAGTTATCTGAGTGTTTGAATATTGGCTGAAAAGACTGAACATTTTCATAGGAGTCGAGTGGAGCCAAATACTTTTTTCTGATTTTGCATATTGAGTTTGAAAGAGCGTTCATTTTTATTTACAGTTCCAATTTTTTTCGATTTGAAACCATTCGAAAATAATTTTACATAAATTGCTGCAATTAAGAGTTATATGGGCCTGAAGTTAAAATTTCATGAGAAGACTGATGAAAAAATTGAATTTTTTTCTAAATTGAATTATTTTATAAGTGCAATTATAAAATCTCCATGAATAATTTTATCGTATCTTGTAGAGCTTTTCGAGTTGCATTTAACTGAGAAAAATTGAAGGCTTAAAAAACTAATAACATGTCGAAAAATGTCTTGTACAAAAACTACTAACACTCTTTCAAGCAGGAATAAAATGGTGTGTACCTGTGGTTGTTACTAAATTTTAATGCAGTATGATCCCCATGCACTGTTAAAAAAAAGATACAGAAAGCCGACAAAAAATAATTAATGAAAAAGACGTGTAGATGTGGTTCAATACGATTTGTATTTTTAATCAAACTATTGAATGAACTATTTGCTTGTTGATAGATTTGATTTAATCGACAGGACACCATGAAACTAAATGATAAACGAGCCATTGAACGGTGACAATGAAATACAAAAGAGTGGTAATCGTGATGCCTTCCCAGGCCAAAGAATCATCGTCGCCTCAATTAATTTTTTCGCCGTTTGATATGCGTCATCATTTGACCGTAAACTGTTTAAAACTGTAGTATGCGTTAACATTTTTGGCGCATTCTTTTATTTCTGAATCAGAGTGCAAATTTGCAATTCTCGCTTTTTCTTATACGCAACAAGAAGGAGTAGGTTCACAATCGTCAAATGGTTTTTTGACAACTTTACCATAATATAATACAAAAATAATCGTTTGCTTTGAATTTGCTCAATAGACAGATTTTCAGCGCATAGTGAATTGGTATGGTTTGAATTTCTTCAATTAGTCGTATCCGAACGTTCATAAAATGATCTCGGATAAGTAATTGACGATCTTGACATATTTTTCGACTCCTGAATAAAACGTATATCATTCTTCAAGTTGACAATTTCATCGCAATATTGTTGAAAAATGAAAAGAGAAAATTTTGATACTGGAAGGAACCTATGTCACAAACGTTTGAATTATTGGATTATTTAGCTGTTATTGACAATGAAGGTTACCTAACTGGATTAGGTTCAATGATGGCTAAATCTCCGCTTGATCTGCAATTACCTACGATGATTGTATCATCATGTGATTATTCATGTTCAAAGAATGGAAAATAAACGAATCTTAGAACAATGAAGTTTAAGATGTAGTTATTGTATCCGATGATGAAAATTCGAGACAAAGTTTCTTATTCAACTATGATTAGAAATTTGATTTTTGAACATCACCAACGCGATATCTAGCGGGTAAAAAGATCATATTCAGCAGTAAAGAAACAATCAAGCACCATTTGGCAAGCAATCGTATATTATATCAAAATTACTAGCGAGACAAATACGTCAATCAACGTAACAACTTAAGATGTAGATATGAGAGTGACTCTAGCGAAGAAACACCCACACTGTCAATTCCCTATGGTTATTATTAGATGCAGATGCAAGGATACAAATACTGTAATTGTATGAAAATAGAAAAAAATATAGCTCGAATGAAAAGAACAATAAACAATCAGTGCAGTCTTTGTTCTTCTGTCTCTAACTTCTTTCGAAGTGTGGCCGAAATTTGATTACTCTGGAAAAGTTGCAATTTTACAATTGTCTATGAATATCAATAACGAAAAGATTAAATATTGAAAGAATACAAAAAGGAAAGGATAATTTACTGTGTTATTTCGTAAGGCATCCCGAAGAGCTTGTGCTCCTGGGTCCCCGATGCGATTATCAGCCATATATAATTCAGTCAATGCCTGTATATAAATGGACAAATGTAAATAAGAGAGATCATATAGTCTGGTCAGACTAACCTTATTATTTCGTAGAGCATCAGCAAGAGCTTGTGCCCCTTGATCTTTGATATCATTTGTATTCAAACCTAACGAGGTCAGTGTCTATGTTAAGTAGAGAAAAGAGATAAAACAAAAAGTAGTTAATAAAACTCAAAAGACGGTTACCCTGTTACTACGTAAGATCTCAGCAAAATGCTGTGCACCATCAGCTCCAATTTGATTGTTCCAGAGATCGAGTGTGGTCAAATTCTATTTGAAAACGAAGATAGTAGATATGAAAAAATAAATCGAACAAAATAAATACATTACCGTATTATAGCGCAGTGCATTTGCGATATGTTTTGCTCCAGCAGCCGTGATTAGATTGTTGCCAAGATGTACTGTAGTGATTGTCTGTACGTAAAATGCAATGAATATTATGAAACAGTCGATACTATTTTCGCTCTAAATTTTGAAACTGTTAGCATGCAACAGTTTCCTTCGTAAAAGAGTCATATTTTTACTGACTATAGTGGTAAAAAACACAAGAAATTTATACCTGACTAATGCGAAGTGCTTGAGCAACAATCATTATATCGGCATCATTCAATTTTCGATTATTCAAGTTCAAATCTGAATTGTTTTCTTGTTGAGCAATGCATGATTCCAGTTTTGTATTATCGTATGGTGGCTGTTCTATCACAATGACTTGTGCCATTACTTGTTTCAATGAAGTTCGAAGTTCATCAAGTCCTTCAATCTTGTATTCAATTATCGTAGGACTCTTCAACATCGACCATTCTTGTTTCATCTGAGTCAAGTTCTCTTCATGGTTTTTGTACTCTTGCAAAACCTTTACGTAGTCCCCTGTATCCATAGTCTGCTTGAATAGCACCCACTGCTCTCGGTACCTGCGCCATTTGCTTAAAATTATCATTTCATATTCTATAATCTGTTTTTTATTTTTGTCGTCCACTGTGGATAATTTTTCATTCGTTGATTTTTCACAATCATCAATCATTTTACGGACAGATGCAAATACTTCGGCAACGTTTGCCCGTTTCGAGTTTGTGACTTTTTTATATTCTGTAAACATCTTTTCTATTTCAATTTTCGGGTCAATTGAAAATGGGTGCATATTGTACGCTTGTGTCACCTTAATATAATAACAATTCAAATGATTCACTGGCTAAGATGAATATATTATACACTTACTCTATTGGCTATCTTTTTGATACCATCAGTAATCAATTCACATTTGTGAGTATCTTTCTTGTCGGCTAAACAGTTTGAACAGTAAATCTTGTCATTCGCTGGGCACCAATATTCTAATTCTCGCCCTGGATGATCCGAGCAGTGATAAATTTTAGGAGGTTTGGAGTCACTCGGTTGGTGATCTTTTAATGTACGTTTTTGATGAAGGACCTGATAGCATTCTTGACAAAAGCCATTATTATGACAATCTCTACACCAAACTTTAGCAGCCTGTTTTTCACATTCATTGCATTGGATAATAGCTAGCGTAAAAGAAATAAAACTATGAATATGAATGAGAGATGGCACGAACATCAGTTAATAGACTAATCTATACTCAAAGAACAAAAATGTGAGAAGACTGATTCGAACTGCATTTTTAAAAAGCAAAATCTTCCATTATCTTACCTTTACTTTCCAGTACTTTTTTCGACTATATCGCGAACAGCCCGATTATTTGGTAATGTAGTAATATCAGTTTTTTGAATAGTTGTACCATCACGAAAAGGACATGGGAATGCACCATTATTACTCTCAGTGGCTTGTTTAATACATTTGAAACAAAATGTATGCGAACAAGGCAACAGGCGAGGATCACTATAATAGTCTGAACATATTACACAAGTAAGAACGTCCTTGAAGAGTTCGTCTTGTTCTTCTTCAGTAATCGTTGTTGCCATATCAATGCGGATGTGAAGATCTATGATAACAGAAATACGAACAGTATAGTTAAATAATACGACACAGCTCATTTTTGATACACAAATATTTTGTCTGTTCGATTTGATAACCTTAATATTATATTAATTATTGTTCTATCTACAGTGAGTGCAGCCATATATAGACTTGCAAAGTCTATACTGGATAAGTCTCGAATAATTGAACAATAAATTCAGTTTTACTCTATCTTGTGATCCAACTCATTATCAAATAGATTGATATTATGAGCCTTCTTTCAGGTAGCAACACGAATTAGATCGCTGCTTACTTTGGTTTTTTATTCAACTGTCTGATTATATTTGAAATGAATAGAAAAAAAACGAATTATTACATATACACTCTATAGAAACACAAACAATTTTCTAAAGTCATGATTCCGCTGAGTTATATACGTCTTCGGTAAACTGTTTTGCTTTTTTTCTCTCCTTGAAACAGCTAAAAAACAAACATTCTATGCGATCGCGACTTCCTACAATGGTAAATAATAATGGATTCAACAACGCACAAATAGTGATTATTAGCTGGAGAAAAGTATTTTTAAGTATGTGAGCCATAGAAAAGGTGTCGTTCTTCAATGCTGATGATGAAGGAAAAAAATCGGGCTTACCCCATTGGAACTTTTTTCTTGTCGTCAGCGAATGTGTTTACATTGTCGAGTGATTTTAGTAAGAAGAAAAAGAAAGCCAGCAATACTGTCACATGTGTCGTGAAGCAACTCTCGTTTATTTACTGTCCAAAGGTGTCACTGATACTTTCAATTTTAAAAAAGCATTCGACAACGAATATAATGGCGCCATACACTATGACCACATTTCAAGAAAAAAATGATAGTTCCTACGAAAATAATTGTTGTAAAATATTGAAATATGCTATATCTAGTACATCGATGTTTTTGATCGTTAAGTGTGTTTTATATAGTTCTCGCATAATTCTTTCGATTGAAATTCACATTTTTAAAATCACTGATCGGATTATTGTCCGCTAATGATTTGACTAAGTGACTTTTAGTTATTGTTGGTTCCCATTGGTTTAGCATATGAACAGTAATTTCGACTTAGAAATTCTCGATTCTGATCGGTTAACACAATGAACCTAGATCGAATCATACGTGTATTTTCAACAAAATCTTGCAGAGAATCGAAAATTTTCCAAAGAAACACAATAGTTTACGTAGAAAATTGTTCATTACGTTCAGATCGTCTGTCGAACAATAAATGTCATATTGTCAAAATAACACCAAACACCTGGCAGGGGCAACGTTTCTACGCCAAAATTGATGATGACACGACGTGTACCTTTGATCACTCGTTGTACCCTTATTTCATAAGGTTGCATCACAAATGCGCTGTCTAATTTGGTGTTGTCGGAGCCTCAAAGGATCGAAATAAAATCAAAGTATGCAATCAAAATAAACGTCTCATATTCTTCTTACTCAAAAACAATCGTTGTCCTTGTATCAAAGCATCGGAACGCTGCATACTCACAGATAGATAAGCAACATTACCAGGTACATCACAACCTATTAGCGCTGATGCACTAAAGACTGCTTGACCGGCGTCAATAAGAACTGAATAAAGGCGCAGATCAATGATTTGAGAAACTCTAGTTTTAGCCTGCACTGAGAATGAACAGTTGCCTCTATCAAAGCCTCCGAACGTCATGTTCATAACTGAAATATTTCGTACGTCAAGAGTGTACAACGTTCTATTGAAAGAAACTATTGACCAAGACCCTGGATTTTTTGTTGAACACTAGAAAAAAAGAAATAAAAATCATTTTTTTTATTTACTTTGCATGGCTCCGAGTCAAAAATGATTTCTTACATTTTTTTCAGCATCACCATTCTGAATCAGATTTTTTCTTGCATCAATCTTTCCGAAAGTTCCATTAGGTAAACGTCCGTGATCAAAAGTATTTGGAACGATTGTAGTTCGTTGTCCATTGAATTGCTCCTTCGTAAAATGAGCTCCGAACAAATCACTATTCGTAAACTTTATCCCTTGAACTACTTCTGCTTTGAGAAAATTTGCTTCAATTAGTAATGCTCCGGTAAAATTCACATATATCACCGTAGTTTCTGTAAAGTCCGTATTATTCAAGACAGCCTCGGCCAGTGAAGCCGATTCCAATGTCGATCGGATGAAATGTGCATTGTTCATTACCGATCGATCGAATATTGCATTTTTCAGATGACAATCAACAAATGTGGCATTCGACCAGAATACGCCTGCCAGAGTAAGATTATTTAATATGTATGGTCCAATCAATTGAACATTATTCAGGTCAGCACCACTCAAGTCAAGACGAGAATCACGAATGAGACCACTTTCATACAAGAATAGAACAACATATTTTTTACGTTCTACATCTAGAGTTCGTAGAACAGTTAATGTTTTTGTTCGGATATAAAGTAGAGAAGTTTTGTTGGTCACTGGATCTATACCCGATGGTTGCGTGAGATGTTCCGATATATCGTCGATGTAGGTAGTGAATGATTGTTGTCGTTGAGAATCGAGTTGATGCCAATGTTGTTGTGCTTGTTGTTGTTTTGAGAGATTTTGTTGTTGTAGCGTAAAAATAATTGTAAAAATACCTAAGATACATGGAATCAGAGTCGATATAACTATTTTACACCAACCCGGTCGCTTTCGTAGGATTTTTTTCTCATGAACATCCATATCTGAGTTTGGCAGCTGAGTCGACGGTTTCGAATGTCCTATAATAACATTTGCGTCGCTGTTGTTTCTGATTTCTATTCATTTATATATGAAATTCCCATTAAATTTAACATTTACTAAAGAAGACGATGATCTATTATATTAACTGAACGTGTACACCGTTCAGATACCATCTACATCATGTTCATAGTGTCAAATTTCATAAAACGTGAGAGTTTACTAGTAAACAGTGTTTATTATAGTTCCACTATATTGTGAAATCTTTCTGGATTTGGTTGGCATTTCGTAAATTTCATATGTTTTTGCAATGCTTCTCTGTCGTAATCAAATGGACTATTTTGAATCACAGCGATAGGAGTTCATACCGTATCTTGTCTTTGGAAGAGTTGCCCGACAAATCAATAATATTTCTAGAAAGTTATTATCATATCTAACGAATAATAGTTTGCACTTCAAGCCATTGGAAAAATTGTACCGTCATACATATGTCGATTCAAGAAAGTGATAAAATACCTACTTACATAGTCCTATTTATATTTTTATGTTTTCTTCTTATCTAATATTTATAATGCAATGCTCTTATAAGTGTTCTATTCTCACTATAAATAAAAACAAATAAATACATCGGTGACAATCAATAAAGTTGATTGCTAAAACAGAGTGCCGATTTTATAGATCGTTAAAAGATACGTTGATCTGCTGTTTGACTTAATTTTATTTACACCCACGCCCGTTCTGATAGTCATGCATTACAAAAGTACTCAGATAGCGCAACAAAACGCTTCCGTAATTACTCTGGTGACTCATAGATAGTTATGAATAATCCAGTAGTTAGCTAGAATCTTTTCAGCGAAGCGAACTGATACCAACATATTTTTATCATTTGAATACTTTGTATATCGTATAGAAAAATATCTCTACCGACACCCACCTACATGAATGTTTCATACGTTCTGCTGCTGACTTCTTTTGCGATTAGCTAGTCACAAGGAATAGTCATAAAAGAGAAAATAATGGACTATAATAATATCTATTTCACATTGGACTTCACATAGACTTGGTTTATGTAAATGCAATTACAAGTTAGGCAACGTGCATTTTCAAGTGAGAAATAAACAAACTAAGAGATAAGGGTAAGATAAAGCTATGAAGAATATTGTCGTTACTTTTTTATCTTTATCAAATACAGCAAGGATACATAAAAAGGACTGTAGATATTCACAAAGTAACTGTGAATACAATGAAACACACTAGTAGCGCAAATAGGACCAAGGGTGCCATTGGCACTTCGTTCCGCTCGTTGTTCAATGATACTATCTTCGTCACTATTCTCATCAGTGGACTTATGTTTGGCCTAATTCAAGGTAAAAAGAACCTACACATATTTTTGAGTTTATCACCTATGGATACATCCACCATCGCTGTGAGTCGCTGCAAACGATTTTCATCAAAATTTGGTATTGCATCATACAAAAATGATCATTTTTTTCTTTTTCCCAATATACATTCAAACATCATCTCTGCATGCGCGTAGCTGGGCATGACATTTCAGATATTTTAACAACGTAAAGTTTTGAATTGAAAAACATGTTCTGTTCATTTTAGGATCTGCAGCATCGCCGTTGACAGCATCTCGCGTGGATGTCAAGAAGTTTTCTTCTGGTGCTTGGACCGCAAAGTCCTCAGCTTTCTCTCGTGATATGCATCAATTAGACAAGCAGTATTATTATCAAGCAATTGAATTCAGTGTTCCCATAATGGACACTTATACATTCACTAGTAAAAGTCTAATCAATACGTATGGTTCTATCTACGATGATAGTTTCAATTCTTCTGATCCTACTTTAAATCTGATTTCACAAGATAATGGCAGCAATAACAAAGGACAATTCAAAATGAATGCTTTTCTTCAGCCTGGCCACAAATATATATTGGTTGCAACAACCTTTAGTCCAAAAGCGGTCGGAAAGTTTTTAATTGTTTATTCCGGTCCAGCTGCCATCAAAGTTCGTTCTCAAAATCAACCAAGATTAGCTTCTGGTGAAAGAGAACGTGAGTAGAACGAGAAAAATAATAGACATTCGGTTCATTTTCGAATTTCATTTTGTTTGTCTTCCCATATTCTATTAAAATACCAAATATCTGTTTCTAATTATAATAGTTTCCGGTGCAACTCGTGCTACTTCAATATTCATAACATCGTTATCATCCAGTAGTCAATCATATAATCGGCCGAGTGGTGAAGAAGGCCTAATGTACTACTTTCAGGCTATTCAAGTCACTGTATCTACAGCTGGTAGTTACATGTTCGAAAGCAGCAGTAGTATCGACACCATAGGATATTTCTACAATACTTATTTTGATCCATCCAATCCTATGGTCAATTTAATCACCGATAACGATGATGATGGCTTAGAGGTGTTTCAATTTCGTATTCAAGTTTACCTTCAAACTGGAATACCCTATGTTCTCGTAGCCACCACTCATGTAAGTGCTGATCAAGGAAGTTTATCAGTATCCGCTACCGGACCAGGCTCCGCCAGTCTCACGTCAATCACACCAACAACAAGTATACCAATAATAACATGTAAGTATTCACTTCTATGTTTGATTGAACAAACGAAAAAAAATGTTGTTTGTTCTTCTTGTACGTAGTGTCTACTGCTCCACCAATGTCATCATCGTATTCCGGTGCACTCTCATCGGCTAGTCCTGTTTTCGTTCGACCTGAAGGTGACCCAGATGAGTTCTATTACTTTCAAGCAATACAAGTCACTGTGCCTATGGCTGGTTCTTACGTTTTCAGAAGTGAAAGTGACCTGGACACTATGGGCTACTTTTATGATTTTTCATTTGACCCATCTAATCCATCGACGAATTTGATCACCGATGATGATGATAATGGTCATAGCCTACAGTTTCGTATCCAAGTTTATCTTCAAACTGGACGCACATATATCCTCGTGGTTACAACGCATAGTGAATCTGAACAGGGAAGTTTTTTGGTGTCAGCATTCGGTCCAGCCACAGTCAGTTTGATATCTTTCACACCATCAACTAGTCGACCAATAACAACACGTAAGTTTTTCATCAACACTCATCTTTCGATTAAAAGGCATATTTTCTTTCTTTGTGTTCTCTGCTCCTTATTTGTAACAAACTGAGATAATTATCTACGTTATTAAGTCTACATGATTGATTAGTGATGATCAATTGTTTTTAAATCTATTTAATAACAAAAATGTCTCATACACTATTATCATTTATCGAATAATGATCGATCTTGTACTCTATGGATTTATCCATTTAGTTAGATCCAATCGCAATTTTAAATCTCTGTTATCAAATTCAAAACAGATGAAAACTTCTTTTCGTGGTCTATTTTAGAATCTACTGTACCTCCGATATCATCAACATATTCAGGTTCGCTATCAACAACTAGTCCAATGTTCAGTCGGCCAGATGGTGACAATGAGTTCTTTTACTTCCAGGCTATACAAGTGAGCGTATCTGTATCTGGAAGTTACATTTTTCAAAGTAATAGTACATTCGACACCATGGGCTTCTTTTATGGTGTGTCTTTCGATCCATCAGTACCACTTACAAATTTACTCATTGATGATGATGACGATGGTGACATTATTTTTCAATTTCGAATTCAAGTTTCTCTGCGAGCCGGAAATACATACATTCTCGTGGTCACATCGCATCGGGAATATGAAAAAGGAGACTTTTCTATCAAAACGGCTGGTCCATCTAACGTTGGATTGACATCGATCACACCTTCAACAAGCCGACCCATAGCAATACGTAAGTTTCTTGCTAATTCGAACGATTGATAACACACTAGAAATTCATACTTAAGTTTATGCTTTATTCTTCTAGCAACTACAAGACCTGTTGTTTTGTCAGTCTATTCTGGTTCATTATCGTCAAGCAGTTCAGTATTTTACCGACCTGAAGGAGATACTGATAAATACTACTACTTCCGCGCTTTACGAGTGACGGTACCAGCAGCTGGTAATTATATGTTTGAAAGTGAGAGTATCATGGATACTATGGCCTATTTCTATGGTACTTCATTTGATCCATCTTCTCCTCTGACAAACTTAATCGCCGAAGATGATGATGATGGTGGCACTGCATTACAATTTCGTCTTCAAATTTATCTTCAACCCGGACTCACATACATTCTTGTGGTCACAACACACAGACCATACGCTTCAGGAAATTTCAGAGTTAAAGCTACCGGTCTAGCAACCGTCAGTTTGACGTTCATCACGCCATCCACGAGCCGTCCAATACTTACCCGTAAGTCATTTGCCAATACTTGATGTATGCTTCTAGTTAAAATTTCGTTTCGACATTAAAAATTCAAGTCATTATGTTTGATATCATAGATTATTTTTTAATGTTTTGAACAAGCATACACTATGTTTCGCGTTCTCTATGATCAACTTGAACTAAAACTATTTTTCATGTTTCTAGCGACTACGCCAACATCAGCTACACAATCAACATATACGGGAGCACTTTCAGCTAACAGTGCAATTTTTTATCGACCTGACGGTGGTTCAAATGAGTACTATTATTTTCAGGCTATACAAGTCACGATCTCGACAGCTGGTTTTTACACGTTCAAAAGCAACAGTACAATCGATACTAGAGGCTACTTTTACCAGAATTCTTTTGATCCATCAAATTCAGCAGCGAACTTAGTTACTAGTGATGATGATGGTGGCGGTTCCTTCCAATTTCGTATTCAAGTTTATCTTGAGACCTTACGCACATACATACTCGTAGTGACAACGCATAGAGCGTATATTACTGGAGATTTCTCTGTCTCTGCAAATGGCCCAGCCCCACTCAATCTTATATCGATCACACCAGTAACGAGTCGACCAATAACAACATGTAAGTTTCTTTTAGTTACGGTATATTGATTACAAAATAAAAACTATACTCAAGCTGGTATCTAGAAAAAAAAACGAATATTTTAATCTATATAATAATCATGCTCAGTCTCTCCGTTAAATTAATTTAAAAAAACTATCATTTTCAACTATTTTAGTATCTACAGCGCCATCAGTATCATCTTCATATGCCGGTGAATTCTCTTCCAGTAGCTTAATATTCTATCGACCTGATGGCAATGCAAACAGTTACTATTATTTTGTAGCTCTTCAAATCACTGTGTCAACAGCAGGCACTTACATTTTTACAAGTAATAGTACTGTCGATACCATGGGCTATTTCTATGGCGATTCCTTCGATCCATCTCAACCATTGACAAATTTAATTACTAGAAATGACGATGGAGGAATTTCGTTACAGTTTCGCATCGAAACCTTCCTGGAAACGGGTCGAACATACATCCTGGCAGTCACAACTCATAGAGAACGTATTATGGGAACTTTCACAGCTTTTGCGAGGGGTATTACGTCCGCTACTCTAACGCCAATCACACCATCAACTAGTCGACCAATAACAACACGTAAGTTACTTTCATGAGCTTCTTGCACTTTGTTTTTCTATGTAGTGCATTCTAGAAAAAATAATATTTGATTGTTTTAGGAGCTACGACAACGCCTTTGCCATCATCTTATGCAAGTTCATTATCGTCAAATAGTCCATTTTTTACACGACCAGAAGCTACCGCTGGACGACGGTACTTTTATCAAGCAATTGAAGTTACGATACCTACAACGGGTACCTACAGTTTCAAGAGCGATAGTGCCATTGACGTTATTGGCTACTTTTATCAGATTTATTTCGACCCATCTAATCCAACAATAAACTTGATTACCAAAGAGGATGATAATGGTGGCTCCTTACAGTTTTTGATTCAATTGTTTTTGCAAGCTGGAAGAAGATACTTTCTAGTTGTCTCAACGCATGCAGAGTCTAATACAGGAAGTTTTTCAATCAGAGTAGGAGGTCCAGCAATTGCTGTTCTTGCATCGTTCACGCCGACAACAACTCGATCATCAACAACAGGCAAGTTTCTTATCAATATTTTTACTCTTACGTTAGCCACAGGTATACCATAGCTAACACCACACTTTTGTTTTAGTAATTACGGTGCCTTCAGTGTTATCAACGTATATGAGTGCACTATGGCCGGCAAATCTGAAATTTAATCGACCCAATGGTGATAAAAGAGATTATTATTACTATGATGCCATTCAAATCACTGTGTACACTTCCGGCGCTTACACTTTCACAAGCAAATCGTATTTTGGTGCTGTTGGTTATCTTTACGAGTCGTCATTCGATCCATCGAATCCATCGAATAATTTGATACATTTTGGTGATGTTGTTGGTATTAACGGAGAGTTTGAAATCGATGTTTCTCTCTCAAATGATCGTACATATATATTAGTTGTCACATCATCCCAACCATTACGTACGGGAGTTTTTTGGATATGGGGACGTGGTCGAGCTTCCCTCACTCTTACATCAAGCGCATCATCTAGTGGTAAGTCAGTAACCAGTAGTGAGAACAACAGTATCTTCTAATGCGAATAAGTTTTTAACTCCATTTCATGAGTGAATCGATAAATTTTAATATGGTATTCACTAGAGACCTGCGGGACAAACTTTGTCGTGTCCCGAATCCCGTGTGTCCCGTTGACAACAAATGTTTAAATGCTGCGTAGTTCCGTCAAAGAAAACAAAAGACCTTTTCTACCTGGTCAATAGGATAAAAGAAGAGTGAAAATTTGCCAAACAAAATTGTTCGAGAAATTTATAGATAAAAATAAATTTGTTTTTATCAAAAATAGAAACTGGTACTTTGAACCCTACGCGAAGTAAAGAAGATATTTGAGAAAAATAGTACTCTCCTGTTTCCATAGTATATTAACTTTTTATATAACCGACCAAGAACATTTTAATCTAATCATTATTAGATCCGTCAAACCGAGCTTTTCGCGATAGATGCTATTTAAAATGTATTAGCTTATTTGAGGTAACGTATGTCTATAATAACTTCGATATATCTGGCACACATGTGCTCTCTTTTATATCAACAATTAGCCTATCATTGTGTAAAAATTCTTTTTTTTGTCATTATTTAACTCATTACTATCAACTACAAGTTCTACTTAGAAAGTTTTTTTTTTAAATTAAATTCCACTAATTTTCGTATCGATAAATTTTCATACACTCGGAAAAGCACATAGACATTTATGTAAACTGACTCAACACCTTCTGTAACATCAGAAAAAATTAAACTGACGCCAGGAAATCAATAATTATATGAAGACACAACTGAAAAAGATAATGATGATGAACATTTTTCAGTACATCACACGTTTTCATGTAATTTTAAAAATTCGAGACTGGATTTTTTCGAATTGTCCCGTCCCGAATTTTTTTCGAGACAAACGGGATTCCGGACTGTTCCGCAGGGCTCTAGTATTCACAAATTATTCGCTACTCGTTCTATATATATTGAGCAACAAGAACGATGTATTTTTCACTGTTTACAATCAGTTATTGCGTTCTACTATCTAGTTTATCATATATTTTAGGTGATTCAACTCCGTCTCCGGTTACTACTACCGAACCATTAGTTACAACTCTCAAATCATCTGCATCAATTAAAACAAACACAATAACAACAACAAGTAAGTCAATCGACAATAAAGCATGAAACATCATGATCGTATCATGCCACTGTAGTCTGAAAAGCGTAGATCACGCCTCCCTAAGTTATTGAGTGAGATTCTCTTTCAGATAGTATTCAACATTATTAACTAATTCCAATTCAAAAGATATCATGAATCAGATGTACAGTTGATCATAGGTATTTTTGAGACTTTTTTTCTAATATAGTTTCAGAATAATTAATAGCGACCAGAGAATATATACATGGGATTCATTGGATTTGATTATAATCCTATTTAAACTATGTTTTAGTTACGTGTATGGCGATCATGCTGGTACTGCAAATGTGTCAACAACGTCTCTTCTAATTAGAACGATATTTATATTGACTGTAGTTTCTATTTTGTTCGAACCACCAACTTATCATTTCTTTTTCCAGTCTCTATGAACCAATATTTTTTATATTTCAATAATGTACTCAATGCTAATTCTTTTTGTTTTTCGTTTTCATGAATCAAACATTGATCAATTTTGATTAAATATTATCATTACTATTTTTATATTGTGTGCTAATTAGTTTCAGCTGAATCAGGAAATTTAGGTAACAAAAAGTGTCGTCTGATTGACTGGACATTATCCATTGAAAAAAACAATTTTTCGCATTAAATCTTCTTGAACAGTGTCCATATGTTGCTCATCAATCATTAACATTTCACCGGCGTCTGATCGATTTTCTAAATTACAAAAGCAAATTAACATATTCTTTTGAATGCAAGTATCTCGTCGACATTACCCGGTGGAGTACTCATAAAATCGAGTTCTATTTTAATAAAAATTGTATCATTTTGTACAAAATGAGTTCGATTCATTTGAAATTCATCAAGTGCAATAAACCTTTTGATACCATACGCTTCGTTCATTGCTAATCGTGGCCGTTGAAAACATGCCGATCTTGTATTAGGCCAGATGGACTTACTCAAATCGCTTAATAGATTACTGCCGACGGCAGTCGATTGATTGAGTAGAGAAAATATTACTTTGAAATGAAATGGCCAATGAAGAATAGCATCATATTCGCCCGACATTAAGATGAAAAATATGGACATGTGTGTGTTTCGAACATCATTGGTTCCATTTAAAAATAGTCTTGCACACATTTTGTAACCAAAATATGCTGAATAAAATTCCGGAGAATAAATCGATCGTTGCCGTTCAGATTTGGCATCATCTTTACAATTGAATGTTAATAGAAAAGCTCATTTACGTTTTCAAAATACGTACCGAATTTTTCTTGAAAATTATTTATGTTCCATATTAATATACCGTTGAAAGATACCAAGTGTTTCTGTTCGCAATTTCGTTCTATTTGTAGAACTTCTCTCGTACAAACATCTTGAATAGCTCTTTTTCGTTGCAGGCAATACTCCATCTCTTGAGCTAGAGTTTTAATGAGCAACAATTCATGTTTTTGAAGTTGAAGAGAACTGCACTGAGAGTGAAATTGATTTCGTATCTGTTTTACTCTAGTATCGAGTACGGATTCAGCGTTGGCTAGAATTTGTTGTTGTTGAAGATGAGTCTTGTTTTTTATCGATTGTAGATGTAGAATAATATTTATTAACATCAATTGGTGTGCTTGAGTCATGTAGTGTTCCGTAATTTTCCTTCTAAGAATCTTCGAATGAAAAAAATATATTATATCGCTCAATATTTTTGATGATTATTTAAATAAAGATTTACTTGTTTATTACATAATGAACAAATGAGAAATCTATTGCCATGATTGTCATCGAGGTGCTCCTTCAAATAAAACTCAAATTATAATTGATCATATATGAACTAAATAGCCAATCTTCTTTACTTGATATTTTTTTAATGGTCCAGTCCAATTGCAAACGTAGCAAGATATTAGCAAACATTCCAATTCGGTTTGAAAATCTGCATCAAACCGAACCTAACAAACAAAACAAAATCAATGGACAGTATATTTTCGTTCGTTAAATTACGCTTTTGATCGCACAAGTTCCAGTGCATGTTGACCAATGTGTAATACTATAAGATAAAATAGGGAACATACACATTTTTACTAGTAGAAAAAAAAGTCGTGAAGAATATGTACCACTGTTTTTCATCTATGCACAATTGGCATCGGTGATGTCCACAACGAAGTTGATAAGGTTCTCGAAGAACGAGTCGACAAAGTTGACAAATAAACCGTTGATCAATGCCTGCGATATTTTTCACGCGAAATCCACTCTGAGATGTAAGTGAATTTCTGTTGGGTTTTCTTCGTACGCGCCGAAAATATATGCTTTTAAATTGAGACTGATAAAGTTTTTCATCCCATTCGAAATTATCGTCATCTTCGTCGTACACACTAATTTCTAGTGGTAATAAATGGCAGCAACGATCGGTAAGCAACCTGTCAAGACTCTTTCTACGAATGCTAGTACTAATACGTATTCCCCCAAGATTGGAAACAACAATCAATAATATTATTTCAATACTGACATCGGATTTTTCACGAATAAATTCAAGCCAATTTGCCCTCAGAGGGTTATAGGATATATAGGCATATACCAAGAATGAAAACACCAATACATAGATCACGAAAATCATTAAAATTTGATTGAGAATTTCTTGCAATAAGACGGTAGTCCAATGTTGATTGCAATCTGGACTAGAGGGGAATATGTTAAAACCAGCACAGGCGATGGTTGAACATAAAATTAACTTTGGAGAACTAAACATGAATATTGATATTTGCAGAAACGACCACGTTTGCGTTGGCAAGATATTCTAGAAAAGAAATACACTAATTCTAGATTTCAAGGATACGAGTATGCATAAAGAAAGCACTCCTTTCTCACAAATATGACGAACTGAAACGAACAGGCTCCGCTCATGGAATTTGTTAAAAGGCTGATAGACGAAAGCAACTTAACACATGCAAAAAAAAACAATTTCGATGAGACGCAACATTTTACTGTTGCTACAAAAAGAAAAAGAACAGACACATACCCAGTGACTAACTCTGAAGACAGAAAAATGTATTACTATATTGTCAAGAAGAAAGAGTGAATGCAGTTGTTTTTTATTTCGAAGCGCTTCAGTCTTTCATAGTTTACCAAAATAATATGAATTTTTGTTCTTTTTCTGCCATACATGTCCTTTGGGCTTTAAGGTATTTTTGCTTCACTTTTTGTACCACTGAGAGTGTACAGTAGAGTTCTATTTAGCCCATAGGAATACATATATTTCATTTGAATGATGGATAGTTTATATTTTCACGCAGACTTAATAAGTACATGAAAAATACTGAGGATGTGACTCAAATTGTATTGATGATCTAGACACACATTTGTTTTGCACCGCATTTTTTCAAACATAGGGCGCAACATGAAACAAGCTTTCTGTCAGATTTGTTTGCTATAAAAAAATATGTTTCCGTGAAGACTTATTAGTATGTAAATTGATGGTGTTTTCTATTTCAGTCAATGGAAATTAATACTGAGAAAATCTGCCAAAAAAGATTTGCTTATAGCTCAAAATTTTCAAATTTTGACCTAAGATATTCAATAAAAAGAAAAAGAAAAACTTCCAATTCCTAGGCTTTCACACGATTCTACTCATTTAATATAACCACATTCATATTCGCACATGGCCGTTGTATCTTCATTCATTACTTTCTCTAACGAGCATATTAACCGTCAAGAACACGATAACACCTAATTGTATATTTTCCTTTTTCTTTTACATTTAAACCTGCTAATAATAAATATACATGAATATTTATATGAATTAAATATTCTTTCTCAAGGACAAAACAAAATTAAAAAAAATGTATCTTATTATTTTTTACAACACGTCTTCAGCGTTCTCATTGAACGATTAGATAAGAACTCCTTTGAATTCGAAAATTGCACATCAGCTAAGCAAAAACACTCGATATTCATATCATGTCCAGAAAATTTTGGACAAAATATAAGCCATGAGAACCAAGCTTAACATTTTATTTATACATACAATACATGAAAAACGTTTACAAACTATACACATCGGCAATCAATCACGATTTACAGTCAAAACAGAAAAGAACAATCTACAGAGAAAAATTATTAAATCAAACCGAAGCGCCGATTGTGAAACGAGAAAAAATTTCTCTATACGCTCAAGTCAATACATGATTGAAAAAGAAAATTCATAAAAAGTTACACATAAAAATCACACTCTATGACAATGAATAAGGTCTAATATATCCTGCCAGTCAATATTTATTTAGCGGAATTTTTAGCCGTGCCACCAGTACGCTTTCGAGCAGTTGTTTTCTTTCCGGTTCGTTTTACATATGCTTTACCTTCCTTCAATAAAAAAAATAGAGAAGTCACCGTAAAAACTTAAATAGAACGACAAGAAAAAGACTTACAGTTGCTGTTTTAGCCATTGTGCCAAGTCGTTTTAAAGCCGGTTTACGTCCAACTTTTTGTTTCGCAGCATTTTCTCGTGTTGTCTTAGCGATTTCAGCTGCTTGACGGCGTTTAGTTTCTTGACGTGTATCAGCAAGTACTTCTTTGCCAAGTAATTCTTTCGCTTCCTTAAAAAAAATTCATATAAAAAAATATCTCCAATTAGTTCTTTCAACATACATTTGTTGTATTTTGCATTGTTCGTGTCTTTGATAATTTTGGTTTAGTTAACGGTGCCAATAGAGCGTCTCGTTCTTGATCCATAGCACGATATCGATTAAATCGTGCTTTACCCCAGGATCGTTTCAAATATTCTTCACCTGCCTAGACGATAATAAGAAATGCGAAAAATTAAAATAGTCATTTATAAAAATATGTATGTGTCTTACAGCTGTAGTAGCCACCATCGTTCCTGCTTTCTTTATTGATGGCTTTGCGGCTTTACTTTTCTTTGGAGACATCGCTGTTTCTTTCTTTATTGCGTTTGTGTTCGTGTATGTATGTGTGTGAAATGAGAGGAATGAATGGGTATATATATAGGTAAGCTGTGTGTGTCTAGAGCAAATTGAAAATAAAGAATATATTCGTGTTTATGGGCAAACAATAAGTTAAATAAAAAAACTTTTTCGAAATATATGTTCTTAGATAGATTTAGAATAATCCTGTCGAAATAGATAAGTTAATATCTATTTCTGAAGTTGAGATTTCATCAAAACAGGCATTTCATGTGCAATAACCGTTGCAGTTTATGTTTATCGAGGAGTAGAATTATACGTAGGTGTGTGTGTGTGTGTGTTGAGTCAATAGAAAACGAAGGAAAGAAAGAAAAAGAAAAAAAAATGTCAAATGGTAGCCATTGCCAGAATTCTTTTCTTTTCTTAGAACTTCATCGTTTTTATGGGAAAGTTAAATAAACGATAGTTATAGAAAGCTCACAGTTGCAGGAATACTTCTGCCGAGACATATGCCTTATGCTTAACCGCAACATTTCATTAATTATGCAAACTTTCTTTGACAAAAAGTAGTTTTCGTACTCATCGGCATTTTGTTTTGAGCTCTACTTAAAATACAACGAACTCGAGGAATGACCATTGAAAAACGAATCGATTTCTACCATGACAAGAGACACTCCGTAGTATGCTATTCAATCACACCTTAATGTGAAGAAGGATGGCAATTCAAAAGGGTATTCGAGCGATTTGGCAGTATGCCATCGTTTCTCTGAGGAGCTTGTCGAAAAATAAATCAAGCAAATAAAACATACATTTCAATCATTGCTCTCTGTTCTCTTACAAATAAAGCGTTCCCTGTTATTTTTATAAAAAAAAAAGGTTTATTCATTGAAAGAGACTCGAAAACATTCTGACTTATGAAAGAGAAGCCGGAATTTTCTTTGGCATGTATCAGCTCGTACTACTTGAATTCCAGATTGATTCGTCCTGAAGGCAAAAATAATCATTATTTTAAATTAAATTAAGCACGATAAAATGTTTTTTCTTGGCATGGCATTATTTTTACGACCAAATATTAAATCTCGTATTTTATTTTTTAAGAAATTCATTAGAGCTACATCACTGAAGTGAATGTATCAAGTATCTTTCCAATTTTTATACGTTGCATTAAAATAATCCATAGACGCATCAGATTCTTGCGGTAGAGTGAGGTCTCTTATTCAGAAATAATGATACGTTAGGTTTACTAATACTGAATGCAATGCAGTTGCAATAGGATTTCTGCTTGGTCGAATCTAATAGCGATTGTTGAATACACAATTAGTATACATTGATGTGTATATCAGTGCGCTATTACGTTTAAAGAAGACCATCTTTGTTCTTTACTCTATTGTAAGACGTGGCCATTCTCCATAAAATTATGAATAGAGAAATGAAGAGAACTCTGAGGAAAAAGTGTATACACATATCTACATTCCATACAAAGGAAGAAACAATTCTATTGTATAATCACGAGATATTGCGGTTAAGTTATATCACAGAAAAGAAAATTATTGGCGCATTCTAAGCTGATTGACTTGATCTTACTGACATCTATAACTCACTCTTATCATTTGAATTGCATGTGCTGCTGTCCTTCATCACTAATCTTATTTTTATTCGTCCTATTCTCAATCGAATCCTGGTGTCAAAATAGTTTTTTTCTTCTTGAAAGATCAATCAAATAATTGAAGATCTATAAGAATTATTATGAAGAAAATGTCTCGGCAGGATCTTTCTTCTAATAATGATAATAATAATGAACGCCGCTATTGTATATGCCAAAAACGTGAAGATGAATTAAACGAGCAAGATGACAACGATGATTTTATGATTGAATGTGATGGTTGTAATGGTTGGTTCCATGGAAAATGTGTATCGTTAGCTGATCGTATTGCCGGTAAAAGCTAATTTCAAGAATTTCAATTTGTTTGAAATATTCTTTATCCTAGATGACATTGAAAAATATTTTTGTGTGGAATGTTCAAAAAATTATGGACCTTCAATATGTAATTCAAACGATAGAATAGCTTTTTTTTTTATTCTATAAAATTTTCTTCTAGTTAAACCAAAACAAAATCAACATCGACGAGATTATAGTGATGGAAATGCCGAACAGAAAGTAAGCTCAATAAGAAAATCATAAAAACATAAAAATTGAACATTGCTTTAGCCAGTACAAAGTGGCACCAAAGATTTTATCAAGCAATTAAAACGAAAAACATTTTTAGAGTAATTTATTCTTTTTTTGTCTATTTATTTACGTGGTCATTTTTTTTCTGATATAAAGTTGTGAGCCAGTGATTGTAAGAGCAAAAGGCGATCAATTAACAAGTGAATATTTACTTGCAAATGGTTTTACGAAGCCAATATTAATATCAAGTCGTGATGGTCTCGAATTAACACTACCGGATCGAACGATAACGTTACAAGAAATTAATAAACTTATCGGTATAAACTAGACGAAATACTTTCTTGTTTTTATTTTGAATTATTTTTTATAGGCCCGGAACAGCACGTGGATATCATCGATTGTGAAAAACAAGTTATTTATAAAATGAGTTTTAATGACTATGCTGAATATTTTGAAAGTTATGATCGAAATAAAATTTACAATGTTTTAAGTCTTGAAGTCTCGAATACCAAGTATGTTTTATAAGTATCAAGGGTGCTTTTTTCATAGGAAAGTAGAGTTTCTTGACATGAACTATTGAGATTAATGATATAGAGAATTCAATATGATTTTGAGTTTTTAAACGGGTTTATTCTATGTGAAATCAATCGTAAAAATTCATTCTGACTGTTTGGCAGTAGATTATATTTTTTTCTAATGGAAAATAATAAAACTGTGCGCTCTGAGTAGTAGTATTTATTCACGTGTGTTTTTCTTTCAGAGAAGGAAAAAGAATTATTTGAGTAGCATTTAAAAGACTTCACGAGGACTTAATCCTGTTTGATGTGAAGATAAATGTTAGATTCGTTAGGAATACATTCTGCTACTACTTGCTTTGCTTATCTCAATCTTCTATCAATGTAAATTATCTGTTTATATGTTTACAGAGATAAAGTAGTGTAAAGTTGGTACAGATATATATATATATATATATATATGAAGGCTTACTATGTAAACTCTATAGTCAGTTTCGGCGAAAAGACAGATTTTTGGCTATTGCTCAAATTGTACCGATTCGATGCATTGATTGGCTTTCGCAAATTCCTGTCTGTGAGTGAAAAGACTTTGTGTGACCTGAAGAAGTAGGTAATTTATTCTACAAGCTATTTTGTCGTTTTTTTTATGAGATGTCGATAGATATATTTAATATTTAGAAAAAAATCTTTTTCATTGATTTCTTATTTTTGCTTTTGTGTTTGCTTATTAAGATTGGGCGAATCGGTTATTATACCAAAAATAGTTCGAGATTTATCTTGGGCTACTATCGGTGTTTGGCCCGATAAGAAAAAGTCCGAGAAATGCGATGGTAACGTTGAAGCAAAGGGATTGAAAAACAAAAATGCATGGCCATTAGAATCACCTTTAGCGAAATTCAAACGTCGAACAATTTCATCGAGTGGTGATACGGATCAAAGTGACGATGACGAAGATTTGAAATCGAATCACTTCGAAAATTTCGACCGTCCAGAAGTAGCCAAATATTGTTTAATCAGTCCACAATCATCTTATACAGATTTTCATATTGATTTTGGTGGTTCAAGTGTGTGGTATTCAATTGTGAGGGTAAGATTCATTTTAATTGTAAAAATGACAAAAAATTCTATTTTGATTTTATTCAAGGGTGAAAAGATCTTCTATTTAATTGAACCGACTGATGAAAATTTACAAAAATATGCTGATTGGTCAAATTCACCGAATGAATCCGAAACATTTTTAGGCGATTGTGTTTCACATTGCTATAAAATGCATATCCGTGAAGGAAATACCATTCTTTTACCACCCGGGTTTGTTTCTTGTTGTTCTCTCGTTTGAAGGAAATATTCGGTATTTTTTTAGATGGATCCATGCGGTTTATACAGTTACAGATTCACTTGTATTTGGTGGAAATTTTCTTCAATCAATGGGTGTTGACATGCAATTGCGGTAGGTAGATATAAAATGACAACGAGAGTCATAGTTTTGAGTCGAATCTATATGCATTATTTAGAATTTTTGTGAGCAAGAAATACTTTGTTAATAGTTCAAATCGTTAGCCTATCATTTTCGAAATATTGTATCATGCGTTTTAAACACGGGAAATTGAATTTCGGTCAAAATCTTCGTAGAAAGGCAACCTTCTATAAGATCAATGTTGTTGTCTTAAGTTTTAAATGGAATGATCTTACTGACGACTATCTGAATTTCTGTTTCAATTATAGGATCTACGAATTGGAACGTCTTGCCAAAGTTCCACACAAATTTAAATATCCGTTATTTGAAACATATCATTGGTATGCTGCTAAACATTTCTATGACAAGCTAAGAGGTAAAACTATTGAAAAATACAACATATTCCTAATCGAATTTTCTTTCGTAATAGAATACAATCATTTAAACTCGTCTGCAATCAGCCCTATACTGCAGCAAGCATCTGAATCGATTATTTACAATATGAATCGATGGTTAACAGTTGATAGAAGAGTAATAATTTAACTAAAACTTGTAAGCATTAACTTGAAATTCCTATTTTAGTATCAAATACGAAATCGATATATCATACCGAAAGGTATCAACTGTGAAAAACTTCTACGTGATCTTTCACGTGAACTTGAGCTAGCTAAAGTACGATGGTTTTTCTTCCTCGAATATCACAATCATGAAAAAGCTTTCTCTCTCATTAGACCCGATGTGGCTCATCGAATCAGGAAACATTACCGTCAAAAACCACAATAACAAGTTCAAATAAAATTGTATCTCCAATTGACAATAGAAGAGAATTTATTCAGTTTGGTGACAATAAGGTTGTTTATTTTGCTTTTAAATTTCTCTATTGAACTAATTCGTTATGATTTTTTATTTAAAGATTAACGTCAAATGTCGTCGTCTATCGCCTGTCTCAGAAGCTAAAGAATCAATAGTCGGACATGAAGTTAAAATAGCCATGAAATCAAAAATAGATGAAGATCGAAAGGGAAATTTATTGGGAAAAATACAAAAGAAAAAGTTTGGACGACCTTTATCATCAGTTAAACAGAAGAATAAGTAAGAGAAAAAAAAACATTTTTAATAGTTGAAAATTTTGTTCATAGTAGTTCAGAATCTGTAAATCCGTCCAGAATTTCGTATAAACTTGGTAAGGATTTGAAATGCAATTTTATTGAATTTTATTTTCCCGTTATCTAGATCTCAAAGCTAAACGGCAACATTTTACTCAACATTCTCATGTTCAGTAAGTGAACTATCTTTTCCATAGAATACTCAATAAGTATCGATAGCTTAGAATCATAGAAAAATTTTATATCGACCAGACTTCTCAAAGAGAAAGATTCATTATCTAGAGTTGTTCACGAAACAAAAACATTACAAAGACCGAATATTTCGAGATAATTTCCGCTTAATAAAGAAATCCTAAACGATTGAAATACTTCAAAATCTATTCACATTGTTTCTGTATAGATCATTGAAGAATAGAAAAGAAACAAAAAATGATATGAATAATTCTTTAAAATCCGGTAAAATGCCTGTGGATGACATTGAAAGTCATGATACAACTGCACGATTATATAATATAACTCCTGATGGTCTTGCATCGTTCGTCACAAAATCTGTTATCGATAAAAGCATTAACATAAAGCAAGAACATCAATCTGTGAAACAAAAACTTTCATTATTAAGTAAGTGTTTCATTGTTCAACTTGTGTTATTTACTATGCTCATTTATTTTTTTCTTAGAAAAATCCAAATTTAAATCGTCTGATATAGATAAAGTAAAAGAAGAAGTCAATGAATTTTTCAAATTAAATATTTTTATTTTATAGAAATTTACAAAAAAACTAAAAATTGAATTAAAAAAACCTAGTACTGGTAAGACACTGTTTTATCAGTCGTTCGACTTATTCTTCTCATCTTTTAGGTACAAATGCATCCGAAATCCTCCCATCAATCACATCACAAGCTGCATTGCCAACGAAAAAACCCGTGCTACCATCGACACCAATACCGAAAAAAGTCAACTCCGCAGATCGCCTAGGAAAAATTCTTAAAATTGCCGATAGCATTAAATCCAGAGGAGGAATTCTAACATAATTTCTGTTCTTCTCTATTTTCTATAAATATCTCAGGCTTAAACAAAATAAGAAAATTATGCTATTTTTTTCAATGTCTATTTTGCTCAAGATTTCTTTGTGATAACTGTTGTCTTCTTATCGGCGTTGTTTGTTCTGTGTGCTTTATATTAAATTATTACCGCTATACAAAATGTCTTTAGATTAGATTAATCCTTTTTTGTGTGTGTATATAGGTAATATCTTTTTTTTCTTCAATTTATGACTGTAGTTTGGTTTTTTGTACTGTGGGTTGTAAAGATATATTTAGTATAAATATTTCCTATATTGTAATGAATTTTGTGTAATACATAATAATAATAGAGCAGGATTAAAAGTCAGAACAGGTTATGAAAATAATCGGTTGATATCCAAAATCGGTGATCGTCAGCATTACGAAAGTCTCTTGGGAACATAGAATAATTTAAAAAAACGGACTGATCACATTTGTAACCAAATATTTGGTAATAGTTAAAAAGCAATGCAACGTGTCAGCCACAGCAAGCATATCTTTACTACGATAACTATTAGTTAAAAGAAATATCTGTTGTAGTCTGCGTTTCAAAGCAAAAACGTTTCTATGATAATCTCGTATGCAGATATAGATGAGGGTGTGTGTGGACCTGTAGCATCCTAGGTTTTGTCTACAGCATTGCAGGTGCTGGAGCAAATATACATTTATGTGCGTGTCGTTTCTTGAGAAATTAAAAAAGCACGCTCTAAATCATAAAGCATTGGATCGATAAAAAGAAGTGATAAGGAAATTATGGATATACAGACTATAGTATCTAGCAATTAAAATAAGTTTTACCGAAAGTAACACGTATGTTGAAGACTGTTTATGTTGCCTGTTCAGTATGCATTAAGTTTATCACAAGCACTTCAATGAAAGATGATATGCATACAACAGGCAAATACAAACTTTAGTCTACGGTACTTTTTATATATGATTTATGAACTATTTTCTTTTTCGTTATTCATCACCTGAAAAACTTCTGCAAGCGAACAGACGTGCTTTTATTTCTTGTCTGAAATATTCTTGAATATCTGGCATGTTGAAATGCTTTCGATATTATCAAATATAAGTTTCGAAGGTGTTCATGTTCATTCTATATTAGTGCGTATTCTTGGTAACCAATGAATCTGTTTTTTGTGCTTATTACACTTGCCATTTATCTAAAAACTGATAGTCTGTCTTGTATTGTTTACACCACAGCATTTCTTGTACGGTTGGAGTTTTTCCATAGAGATAATTTTACTAAGGTTCTCCACAGACTCTCCGTAAGTGAGGGCTCCACATAAACATATTGTCCGGTAGGAATCGCAGTCATTTATGATTATCAATAGTTAACTCTTCGATTTGGTCCGTCGCTTGAAGATAAGTCCATTTTAACAGCGGACACAGTTGTGTTCATCACTGTTGTAGCTTCTTCAAAGGCTCAACAATTTGGCATCTCGAAGTTTTCTGTTCGGTAAATTATTGTGACAGACAATTTGTACTTGACCATGTTGATTGGCTAATCAAAACCAATTATTCAAGCTTGCTAAACGCTTCTATGCCATTATTAGAAGGAAACAGCAGTCAATCAGGTGAGTACATGACGTTTCGAATTGGCCTTTGAAAATTATTCAAGCGGATTCTTTCAGCCATGACACATACCAGAGAAACAGTAAATCCCTTAATGTCCTAGAACCTTCCTGAAATCAGTTTTGACAGTCTCCGCCGTGAGAAGTTTCGGTTGATTTGCAGGTGAATCCAGATAATATGTTCAGATTAAAACATTGCGACAGTTCGTAATCGATCCTCGTCTCGGTTACAACTGTGTCTAGTAACATCGAAATAAGTCTGGTTTTAAATTGAATATTGCAAAAAGTCGTTCTAAGGTGTTTTCAAACTACGGGGATTTATCGTAGATAATGTTGTTTTTCATTCATACAAATTCTGATTGAAATCAAATGAGTTTTTATATTATCAAAATGCGCGTTGCCTACTGTTCTAGTGGGTCGATCCATGAGGATGGCGAAACACACGTCGTTTGGGACATTACAGATAAAAACTACTGCAAACAATAAATTATCAAAACCAAATATAAGCCAACAGAACCCATTGGTTTTTGAAATAGACAATTCATAGTACTTCCTTTTCGGAACATATTTTGTGTCTAAGAGAATGCTTCAATGAAGATTTGACTGTTGATATTTGTCCAACTGGAATGTACGAAGGAACTTCAGCCAACAAACATGAATTTAGTCAATATTGCTATGACAAATCTATTAGTTTAAAAATAAAAAACTTCATCTATACAACAGTTTACCTCTAGTTTATGTCGCTCAAGTTTCGTTGCAATTACAGTGAGTGCAATAGCAACGAAATCTTGTTGCAGGTAGAAAGCGTTGTAGATCGACATTACGATTTATTACCATTGCTTCAAGTATTGGATTATGGTAATCATTCGTTGAAGACACATGACAACATCACTCATGCCAACCACTTTTTTCTAAAAGCGACTGCATTCAAGTACAGTATGAATACACAACCGCAGCATTTGTTTTAGGGATCTACGTGGTCAATTGCTCTCCAAATATTTTTCATAATTTTTGAATTAGAACTTAAATGCTACGACTAGATCGTCTTTTCTTTTTTTGCGTATGCTTCGTTGGATTTTATTTTCGGCCTTTTTAATAAAGAGATGTTTCATCGTTTGATGTATTATGTAGTTCAACTGTTCATAATAAGGAAAAGATTTAAATCTCGAGAGAAATGAGACTTTCTTTAGATTCACTGAATATATGTGTCTTATAGAGAAGGGCGAGAATCACCGCGGCACGATATTTATATTGGATGATATCACTCAAAAGAATTAGTTCAGCATGATGTGATTAAAATATGGTCAATCGTACACGATCACATAGCAGTCGAATACGAAGAAAAACTATGGTTGTCTACATTGTCCATTTGCAGCTATTCCACATGATGTCTTGTGATGATCGTCAGCAGTGGCCGTGGAAAACGATCATTATGAGTTGATATAGGAATCATCGTGTTCGATCCAACTGCGTCAAAAACAGCCGTCAGATCAATAGAGTAGAAATCTTATTATCTGATAAAAAAAAGGATTTAATCTCATATTGACATATTTTCGAACAAATCAGGGTCTCCAGTTCACTTGCTTTAAAATGAGATGTTCGTAAGTTTAAGTTGGCCAATGCGTATTAAAATTTTATCGTTCACATCTCAACTTAATTGATAATAAGCAACATACCGACGTCCGAGATATAACTGAATTTCCGTTGACTACTAGATTGATTTGTTCATCCAATCTTATTATCAAGTTTACAAAAAATCGTTAATTTTAACGAAAAAGCTTTATAAGAAACAAAACCAAACATTATCCTAAACTTCATGGGTCGCACAGGACTACTTTTACTACGGAAAAACAAAAATTTACATAAAAGTCTACGACGTCGACGAAGAAGACGCTGCTTGCTCTTTTTGTTTATCTTGTAGTCTTTTAAGAATTTCAAGTTTCTTTTGAACAATTGGATCACGTGCTATCGCTAATTCACGCTTTTTTTGTTCAGTATCAACTTTGTTCATTTTTCGATGAGCTTCAAGCTGTAAAATCAAAAAATTAATTGAATCCAATAAAACCCAAGATTATCATGAAAAAGGAAAGTCTTTCATAATGAAATGTAAAGCTTACATCTTCTTGTTTACATCGATATAATTTTGCCAATATACCATCACAAGCTCCTATAGCGCGAGTTTTCTTTTCGATACATTCATAAAACTGATCTAATATCTCATTACATTTCGGATCAAGAAATCGATGAGTGCCGGTTAGAAAAGACATCTAAAAAAATGCTGTGAAGATGTTATTAAAGTTCGATGATTGTTACACGTCTTAAATATAGCAAAAAAGAATGAAATGGAAATTTAAAAAAAAACAAATAACGGACGCTCATCAACACTAATAAAGTTCGTTCACATAGATTTTATTTTCATTTGCTTCATTTTCGGCTGTCGCCGTTTCATCTCACGTTTATGTTCTTTTTCGTCCCATTTACGTTGTAATTCGGGATCGTCCGATTTCATGACCTTTTCTTTTTCAGCTCGACGTTGTTCTTCACGTCGTTGCTGAGCTTGTTCTTGCCGTTGTTGATTAACACTCTTAAGAAAAGTTTCTTCAATACGGTGACGATTTTTATTCGCTTTCGCTCTCGATTCTTTTGATGTTAAACGAAATAAACTAACACGATCCATCAAGTATAATACAAAACGTAAATAATCATTGCATACATCTTCACTTGTTACTTGAAGTGAATGACCGTTTTGTGGAACTAAATTAAAGGCTACAATCAAGACACGACGAACAGCACGTTCACTAATATTAAGAGCATCTTGTTGTTGTGCTGCAGTACCAGTGTTTGCCGGAGCTGGTGTTGATGGGGATTGCGGGTCAGTTGTTTGGGTTTTTGTGCCTGTATATTGATCACTCACATGAATATATTCAATGGCATCAGGAAATCTATCAAAGACATACAAATATATTCATATCGATACAGTTCATGCATGATCTTCGATTATTCTTCGCAGGTAGTATCTGACAAAAAGTACATACTTGCTTCGTAATATTATTATCTATAGAAACGACTAACTGCAGTCTAGAAATTAGTAAAAGTTTTGCGGCCCACTAATCCGAGAGTATAAATTCACTAAACTAAATCTTAAAACATAGCTATATTCTCAAAATCGTTCCACTATGGTAAAAGTTTCTTTTAAGAAAAAAAACGCATACTTCTCCATAAAATCAGTAATTCTCGTATCGATAATTGCACTTGATGCTTCACTGAGTTCAGTTAACATTTGATAACTACCGCTAAGACGTTTTTTATCGGCAGCTTTTCTTTCCAAACAAAATTGGCTCAGATCGATCATATCGCGATGAAGTCTTGCTATACAACGTTTTCGTGCTAGACAAAATACGAACGTATCCATATCCTCTTTACTATAATCAACTGTATAAACAATTGTATCATTTATTGATTTAACTATTGCAGCCAATGAATTGAATAGGCATTGTCGTTTAACAAAACGTAATTCTAGAAGCATGCTATCGACCAATGGTCGACCACTACACCATAGAATATATAAATTTTCTGATTCTTTTAGCATCAGATCTGTTTGTTCTTCTGCTTGACCAGTTTTTGTTTGACCATTGTCACCGACAAGAGAGAAGTTTTTCTCGAGTAGATCACGTTGTGAACGAAAAATAGTTGTAGCAAGTTGAGAATTTTTCGTGCGACCAATAAGAAAATTAATTAAATAGCCAAGAAGTGCGATAATCATGATTCCTTCACAATAATAAGCTTCCCAATGATTGCCAGTTAAATTCGCTGGAACTTCAGCTATTTTAAGATCAGATAGTGGTTGATTTGGTGATCCAAATGAATCCGACTAAAATATTAGTTAGAAAAATAAGAAGAAATTCTTAATCAATTCTTTCATCGAATCTAGTTACTCTAGATGAATACAAGCTTAGTGTCATTTTTTTGGAATGCGATAGAAATAATAAATGTTTTGATTGTTGTACTAGGAAAGACGTATATGGATAATGACTCATTGAGGTAAATATTAGTTACGCAGCTTGAAGGAGAAACACTAACCAGTTAAGATTAAAATGATCCTTTAACTTTTAAAGCAGCAATTCATATAATAAAAATAAATAAAGTAAATCAAAATCTGAAGCAAGTAGTAATCGAATCTATTCAAGTTTTAGAAATTTAGCTCTTGTTCTATGAAATAAAAATGATGTTGAAATCATTCGGAAACTCTTTTTACATAAAAAAAAATAGAATATTACCGATTCAAATTCTTCTTCATCAAACATTAAATCATCGTCATCATCATCTATAGAGACTTCTTCATCTTTGATTTGGTTTGGTTTCAGTTGAGGTTCTTCTTCCTTTCTTAATGATTCTTGCTTATTTGATTGTGTCTTTGGCGTTGACGGAGTAGCACCGGTAGACGATGGAGTTTCTAAAATAATCATAATGAGAAAAATAAATCAAAATTTACATAAAACTAAACACATACCATCGACAAATTCATCGTGATCAAAATCATCAAATTCAGAAAAATCTTCATCTTTTGCAGTTTTAGCGATTGAACAAACAAAACACATAAAAATAAACGCTAGAATTGTTGATGAACGCATTTTGCACCTTTGAAAAATACGTCGAAGTAAAAATAAAAGGAACGCATCATCATAACTATGTCACTAGGTTTCTATTGGCTAATTTTAAATACCCAGTCAAGTTCCTGGGGAAAATCATGTTTGTCTAGCAGGTAGAAATTATAAATTTCAATCTATTTTCATCGAAAAATACATAATCGAAAAAAATTAAAATGCTCGATAGATGGGAGTATTGATTGAAAATTCGATAACCAATGGCAAAGCTCAACGTTTTATTCACGCCCATGGACACTGGTCCCGTTGAGTGAGCGTAACAAAATTTATTTTTCAATAGTATTTACAATCGGTTAATGCACAATGTTTTCTTGAATTCTACGAGCAAACCAACAGAAAAAAACTTTATGTAACCAATCTTTCATGCAAGAAAAATGTACACACTGCCGTTGCTTATCATAGAGTAATTCAACTGTCAAGGTGAGAATGAATAAGAGAAGATAGAGATAGGACGAACAAGGTCGACTATTCATACTCATTTCTTCGTTGCGTCCCTTTTTTTTTTGTTCGATAGAAATTGCAACCGAAGTACCACTTGATATTTTGTTTTTGGTCACACGTGTTTTAAACATCCTTGAATCATAGGTAGAAGATTAGAATAATTGTTGGAAGTTTCCTGCTGGTGCCAGCGAAATGCATAAGTACATACACTAGTTTTGATTAATGAAAGTAGAAGTCCTGTTTGCTTTTCATGTTGATTCATCGACATCCGATGACTGTTTTCTCTTTCTTTCTCTCTTTACTCGTGTAAATATCGTTATATACATTTTATTATTTTGAATTTGTTTTTGAAAAAATATTATAATCATAGTTTACTAAGTATATATCCATATAAGGTAAAAGAAAAAAAATTCGCTTATCGTTGCCGAAAGCTGCTTGCGCACGATGATACCGCAGAGGGCGTAGAACGATAGAAATATATCTAACGACATTCGAGATGATAATTTCATATATTTATTTCAGGTTGTATTCGTTGTCGTCCACTCACACCACATAGCATATTATCATTATTGTCAGTTTTTATTCTTCATGGCTCGAGTTGTTCGTAATAGCAAATTTCGGTAGGTAAATTTATATGAAGAAAAAAAAACACAAACAGATATCAACTTGTTTTCTTTCTCGTACTTCAGTCATGTCTTTGGGCAAGTAGCTAAAAAATCAGATTGCTATGACAATATTCGCATAACAAAAAGTGCATGGGATTCAACATTTTGCGCTGTTAATCCAAAATTTCTTGCAATTATAACTGAATCAGCTGGCGGTGGCGCATTTCTTGTATTGTCACTTGACAAAGTCGGACGTGTTGATCGCGAAGCCCCGCTTGTCAGTGGCCATAAATCAGCTGTACTCGATATCGCATGGTGTCCACACAATGATAATGTTATTGCAAGTGGCTCCGAAGATTGTACAGTTAAAATCTGGCAAATACCCGATGGTGGTATAACATCGACACTAACCGAACCAACAGTCGATCTTGTTGCACATCAACGACGTGTTGGACAGATCGTTTGGCATCCGAGTGCATTGAATGTTTTACTTAGTGCAGGTAAAAATTCGATCTTCTTTTGTGTTTTTCCATTGAACGTTTGTTGGCTTTTAGGTAGTGATATGAAAATTTTTATTTGGAATGTTAGCAAATCAACGATATTATCAACGATTGATTGTCACCCGGAAGTAATTTTAAGTGTTGCATGGAATTATAATGGTTCACGAATAGTTACATCTTGTAAAGATAAAATATTTCGTGTTATCGATCCGCGAACTTCCGAAGTTATTCAAGTAAAATAAATGAGGCGAAGAGAAAGGAAAAAATGTGCATATATAAAATTTATTTTAGTCCGGTACAGGTCATCAAGGTGGAAAACCTGCAAAAGCTATTTACTTGCGTGATGGACGAATATTTTCCACAGGGTTTTCGAAAATGGCTGAACGGCAATATGCTGTATGGGATGAGGTTTGCGCTGCGATATTTTAAGCTTTCTTTTATATATAAAAAAAAATCTTTCTTTTTATTCTCTAGAATAATTTGAGTTCACCTTTAACGATGGTAGAACTTGATTCATCGAATGGTATTCTATTTCCAATTTACGACGAAGATACTGGTGTAATTTTCCTGTGTGGCAAAGTAACTATCGATATGTTCGAGTTGAGACAATACGAGAAGTGTTTATTTTCAGGGCGACTCAGCCATACGTTATTTTGAATATACACCGGAAGCACCATATATTCATTTTCTTAGTACATATTCGTCATCAGATCCACAACGTGGTATTGGTACTATGCCAAAACGTGGATTGAATATTTCTACATGCGAAATAGCTCGGTACGGAGAAATAGTTTTGTTCTTATTAATTTGAGAAAAAACAAATTTATTATCCTTTTAGTTTTTACAAATTACTCAATAATGGTCTTTGCGAAGTAATAAGCTTTACTGTACCGCGAAAAGTAAATTGTTAATGATAGTTGTTATGCATAGAATAATCTTATTCTATTCTAGTCGGAACTTTTTCAAGATGATCTTTATCCGGATACTGCTGCTGAAGAACATGCTATAACCGCTGATGAATGGATTAACGGAAAAGATGCTAATCCAAAATTAGTAAAAGAAATTGTTTTTTGTTTTGTTTTTTAATTTAATTTAATTTAAGATATCCGTCCGAAATCAACATTTAGGTCCAAAATTATCAACCGGTGCTGTGATTAGTAATATTTCCAATCAAAACAAACACGAAGTTGTCTTTGATAAAACATCTCTGACTCCAAAACCATCAATTGATAAAAGTACAAATGGCGTTCATCAAGTGCAGGTATATTTTTGCATCCATAAGTGCTAACAAGGTTTACGCAGTTATTCGCTTTCCCTCGATGGTAAAATCGTCGTTTGTGGCAAATAATTTGTTATTTTGATTAGATAAAACACAGTAAAGGTTAACTCAAACAAAAAGTCAAACCGCAGAATGATTCTGATTTTGTCCTTCTTTTAAGAATGTGTAATAAATAATGACCATATGTCTATCGAAGGGAATTCCATGACAAAAAATAAACTCGATGAACTAATTTTCATGTAATTAATGCGAATTTGATCAGCTGATAATCTCGTCTATTTAGAAGGAACCAACTCCTGTTCTGCCAAAGAAAACCGTAGTACCATCTGAAAAAGCAGAAAGATCAAAGAGTCCACAAGCTGATACTATAGTTGCTCAATTAGAAAAAATAATGCATCGCATGGATGAATTTGATCGTCGTTTAAAACTTCTTGAAAAATCTTCTGTACCCGAACAAAGAAGAGAATTAATGGATGAAAGTGCCGATAAAATTTCGAATGATGATTTACAATTTTAATTGTCTTGTTTTGTTTTGTCGTTTTAATCACACAGTATTTTTCTTTATCTTATTCCATTAAAACACATTCCTGTTTGTATTTGTCTATTTAGCATTTAAAACATTTTTATTCGGTGTTCTATTTTCCGCATTAAAAAAACACAAAAAATCAGAATTCTTAATAATTATTTTAGATGAAGATTATATATATATTTGCATTATTATTAGTATTCTTAGCGACGTTTATATCCGCTGGGTTTGTAAAATATTATTAGCATTAAAAGAAAAACGGTGTCATTTCTCTCTTTTAGTCGAGATTTTTACAAAATTTTAAATATACCAAAATCAGCAACACTAAATCAAGTAAAAAAAGCTTATCGAAAATTAGCCAAAGAATTGCATCCTGATAAGAACAAAAATGATCCACAAGCACAAGAACGTTTTCAAGATTTAGGCGCTGCTTATGAAGTAATAATTAATAAATGAACGAAATAGAAATGATTCATGAATTTATTTTTTCTTATAGACTCTGTCGGATGCTGACAAAAGAAAAATTTATGATAAAAGTGGCGAAGAAGGTTTAAAACAGCAGGGTGGTGGAGATTCATCTCACGATCCATTTTCCAGGTGATTCCGTTTGGATGAATTCAAAAATTTTGCGTAGAAACATTTTTTTATAGTTTTTTCGGCGATTTCTTTAATTTTGGTGGCGGATCAAGAGATGATGGACAGAAGCATATTCCACGCGGTGGAGATTTAGTGATGGATTTATACGTCACACTTGAAGAAGTTTATAGTGGAAATTTTATTGAAGTAAAAGAAAATTTATCCTCGTTTTTTTTTATAACTACACATTTCGATTTAGGTGGTTCGAGCTAGACCAACTCCAAAGACAACAAGTGGCTCAAGAAAATGTAATTGCAGAATGGAAATGAGAACATCGCAAATGGGCCCCGGGCGTGTAAGATAATTAGTGAAAATTATGACTTACATCAAGGCTCCTAATTGTTTATGCAGATGAAAAGACCATGCAGAGAGAGAGAGAGATAGAGAACGCAATATACTAGAATCATCGAGTTTTCTGTTATGTTTAGTTTTCCGGGGTGCTGCGACCGGATGATACCCTCCTATTCTTATTCTTTTTATACTCAGTCATCGTGAAAATGTATGAGTATCTCAGACAGTCCTCCTGTCAACCTTGTAAGACACGTGAAAGAAAGTCTCTTGAAATGAATATCTCTTTAGACGAGACTGTAAAATGTTCAATAAATATTTCAAACCAACCAGTTAAATATATATGTACAATTAGTTGAATTTCACTACAACTCAATCAATGATTTGTTTATTTTAGTTTCAAATGATTCAAGAACAAGTATGTGATGATTGCCCAAATATTAAGTAAATAGAATTATAATTGAAAGTTTTTTTTTTTGTAAAAGAATTCTTTTTCTTTTGTTTATAGGTTTGTCACTGAAGAAAAAGTGCTTGAAATCGAAGTTGAATCAGGTGTATCTGATGGATATGAAATATCATTTCATGCTGAAGGTATGTTTTTATGATAAATCTATTGTTGTTTTTCTTGTATCGACTATCTTTTTATTTATCTAGGCGAACCTCATATTGAGGGCGAACCAGGAGATCTGAAATTTATTATTCGCATTCAAACGTAATTTATATACGATTGACATCTTTTTTTAAGATTTAAATGTTTTTCGAAATTCTAGACATCCATATTTTGAACGTAAAAATAATGATCTGTATACAAATCTAACGGTCACACTACAGGATGCCCTAAATGGATTTAATGTATCGTTTCCTCATCTTGACGGACACCAGGTATAAAAATGTTTGTTTCTATTAGAAGAAGCATAGAAATAAATAGTGTACCACCCACTGACGCGTCACCGTAGAAACATTGCAATCGTCTTAGCAACCCCTCCTGAGTCATAGACACTGACGAGCTTATGTCACCTACTCAAACTGTAGTAAGCGTATTCTCATTATAGGTAACTGTCAACCGTGAAAAGATAACATGGCCAGGTGCTCGTATAAAGAAGAAAGGTGAAGGTCTTCCACAGCACGATCAAAACAATATCATCGGTGATCTGTATGTTACCATCGATGTTGATTTCCCCAAAGGTGAACTCAATGATGAACAACGCGAAGGTAAATTTGTGTTTTTTTGTGAATACTATTTTTATCGTTTGGTTTTTAGCCATAAGAACATTACTACATCAAGAGTCAAAGCATCGATTGTACAATGGCCTTTAAATTATTCCGTGTTAAAATTCTGTTTAGGTTATTATGAATTCTTTTTTTTTAACTGACCATACTTAATATGTGATGTTTGTTTGTTTGCTTTTTTTCTGGATCTGACACAGTCAAATTATTCGTAATACAAATAAATTGAAAACCAAAAAATATACTGAACATCGTTCTTCATTCTGAAAAAAAGATGTGCATGTTGAAGGCGAGCAAGAGAATTATCTTGAAACATATCTTGATTAACTGTTTTGAATAAAGCATCAATATTTCGACCGAATTACAATCTTCTCTTGAAATTTTCTTTTCCGGAGGGTCGATCTAAACCTTTGGGAAGAAGAAGAGCAGGCACAATTAATTGTGAGTACAGATATGCGTGTCATTCAATAGAAATATGAACTCCCGGACGTATAAGCTTATCTTCATAGAAACGCACCCTTCTCAACCGATGATAGATTATAAACTTTGATTGGGCCAAATTCCATTTATTTTTTCTACTCAATTTTCTCGCAGTTCACAGTTGATTAAAACTGAAAAGAATTCATCAGTAAAAAATCTTTAGTAATTTATTGTTTACATAAAAACAAAATGCCCACACAATTCCAAACTCTCCAAATATGTCGTGTCGCAAGCCGAGAATGTCAATCCTTTTCTTCGTCTAATAATCAGCAGACCATTTAATGTCATATAGACATGTACATGCCAACTACTTCCTACTTATACTATTATTAGCATTTTAACTGTTCAATCTATCGTTCCGCATGGGAAACGTTTTCCATAAATTCCTCGATATTTGCATGAATGATTATTTGCGTTTGAGTTAAATTTATTCATAAACATAGTAGAAGAGTAGGAAATTCATGTTTAAAAAAAAATAAAGAGAATTAATACTGTTCATTCCTATTTTTCTAAGCCCATTAAAGTTTGTATATATGATTCCCAATTAGTTTGAGGTAATTTTAACTTAGCACAAACATTATCATGCCTTTGACGTGTACTAATAACAAATTTTACAGCTAATTCACCTTTATCAATATATGTTTGCACGATTGGATCATCTTTGAGTGAAAGCTAAGAGAAAAAAATGATTATTTTCCGCACGGAAATGTTTTTTCCCTACTTACACTTTCTAATTCACTTCGCGCTTTCGCTACAAGTTCATTAATAGTTGCAATATCAATAGGAAATTTTGCCTTCTGACTATTGTATAAAAAGTAGAAAAGGACGGAAGCTGTTGATATGAGTCGATAAACTTCGTCGGAAACTAAAGAAATTTAATCAGACGCACCGGATGGCTTATAGATTTGTCTATTTACTTGATGCTTGAAGGCCTTTTTCATTTAATTGCTGTTTAATTCGTTCGAAATCAACATTGAACACTTTGCCAAGTGATTCCGTTGCCGGAAACGAACCATCCTTTACAAAAGAAAAAAGGAAACATTCATCTTCATTCATGTAGATAGAAAAAAATAACCTACTTGATCTTGTTGATGAAAAAGTTCATTGACAAGCGCCTCTGTTAATGGTGTTTCGATTATCGATTTCAACGGTGCGTCTGATGAATAATCCAATGCAAATAGTACGTGTTAAAAAATGATTCACTCACCATTGCTATTACTCATAGTAGAGCCGATTGGTTTTTCCTAATCATAGGTATCAACTTAGCACCTCCTGTAATACTAGAAATACTTACTGCTTCACTGCTTGTCTTTGTATTAGATCACTTAGCTGAATGGTTACGGCCTGTTTATGATTGGAATGGTAAAATGAGACGTGTCAACCGAATTGAGGCTCTATACTTTCTCTTTTTTCCTTCGCCTTTTTTTGTATGTTGTAAACTCATATTCTTCTCTTTGATCATTCTTATTTTCTTCTTTCTTTTCTTCAATGGAGGGTCGCAGGACGGCTGACGACATTAAAATTGCTGCCATTGCCGTCTTCATAAGCGGCGAATCAACAAAAAAAAAAAGGAAAAGGAATTATTTAACTTTTATTTTTTTTTTGGTCTATTCTTCTTGTCTTCGACGCGCAAAATACCCTAGAATTTTGTTTTTCTTTTTGGAAGCGAGAGTAAATTGGAAGAACTTTCTACGTGTTGTGTTCTCTATGAGAACGTTTCAGCAAATATTCTTGCCGAAATTCTTCTTGTTATTACCGCAATAATAAAAATGTTCAATGGTCCATCAAATTTCATATTTATTTTTCTTTGTGTTCATGAAATAAGAAAAAAAAAGAAAAATTGGATATAAAGAGGAGGATAATTGTGACAAGTGAGCAAAAACTATACACACACATACACAGTGTTACGAAGGAAAAAGTCAACATAAAAAATACAAATATTATTGTGTCATCAATATTTCTTTCTCTATGTATATATTTTTTTGTTTTCGAAATACCAACATGTACAAATTTTAAGTTGATAGTCTATTTTACTTCTACAAATAACGTTTAAGTACGCGCGTTTTCTAAATTGTAAGAAGTCCTATTGGTATTCAATAAAAAGAAAAACAACCAACAGAATATATTCTCATGAGTAATAATAAATAGGTCTTTCACTGAGCAATTAGATAGATACATATATAAATAATTCAAGAAAGAACAAGAACAATAAAACGAAATGAAAAGTTGACATCATTTGAAAAAAGAATCCACTCATAATGTGATGATAGAGAACGTGTGTATATGTGTGTGTATTGTGTTTTTTTGCACGAAAAGACGAGACTGGTGTTTATTTATGTTAAATAGTAAATAGTTTTTTGAAAAAAAAGAAGAAGACCGTAGAGTAAAAGAAACAAACGAGAAAACAGCATACACGCGTACGACAACAATGACAGAAAAAAAAAGAAAAAAAAAAGAATTATGAATTAAGTAATGTTGAATGATACGTTAATTGGTCACTATTATTTTGATGTCATCATTGTAACGAATTCTTCGTAATTAACTTGACCATCTAAAGTAGAAAATAAATTTTATTTAATAAATCAAAAAAAAAACAAGGCATTCAAGTTAATGAATAATTTCCTACCTCCATCAATATCTGCTTCACGGATCATTTCATCAACTTCTTCGTCCGTCAATTTTTCACCTAAATTTGTCATCACATGGCTGTGAACAACAGACGTAGAAAACAATATTTAAAACTAACAAAAAAACAGTTAAAATATTTTTGTTTTTACCGCAGCTCAGCTGCTGAAATAAATCCATTGCCATCTTTGTCAAAAACACGGAATGCTTCACGAATTTCTTCTTCACTATCAGTATCTTTCATTTTACGAGCCATCATTGTGAGAAATTCGGGAAAATCAATTGTACCATTACCTTTAATAAAAAGATATTTACGATGAATTCTATTTATTTAGTTAGTTTATCATCAAGATAACATTGACATGAAAAAGCAACCCTTCAGATTAATGAGCGAACTGCCCGAAGCAATTTGCCATCTTTTAGTCATCTAGAGAAATTCGAGATAAGAACCATTGTAAAAAAATTTAAACCCTTAGGCTATTTTCTCTAAAATTTCTTGTTGCTTTCTAGTTTCTGATAAAAGGTCAGAATATTTAATGAAAGACTTTTATGACCTGGAATTTGGCCTATTACTATGATTCATAGGCCAACAAACATTCTAAAGGTTTCTACCGAAATATTCAATAAGACTTATGAGTTTTCACAATTACTTGAAAGTTTTTGAGCATTGATTGTTTCATAAAGCTAGCAAGTATTTTGATTCAAACTTTTTAACGTAGTCATGATCATGAAACTAATTGAGAAAACGTACAAGTGAAAATTCCAATCTTCTCATAAATTATTCTACTAATAGTATGTACTCTCTTTTGTTCTCTTTAAATCTACAAACAATGATTTAACTGTATACTACATTGAGAACATCGAAATATTTTACGAAATTTTCTAATTTATAAGTTATCATTCTATACTGAGACTTTGATCTCAATACTGATAGATTACTTTGGTGAATTTCTTCATAAAACTCATGTCATTTAATCACAATTCAAACATTGTATAACTCGAATTTCTACTTCCTAGCAACAAAAAAAAATCAAATTATGTATGAATTCCATTGGACTTCGTATGTTACATAATTGTTAAATAAACACAACATAAAACTCACCATCGGCATCTACTTCATTGATCATATCTTGTAATTCAGCCTCGGTTGGATTTTGCCCTAAACTACGCATAACCGTACCTATTGATAAACAAAAATAAATAAAAGAAATGTACAGAACTATTTATATTTTAGTAATATCACACCTAATTCTTTGGTAGTAATAGTTCCGTCTCCATCCTTATCGAAAAGAGAAAAGGCCTCTTTAAATTCAGCTATTTGTTCTTCAGTCAGTTGATCGGCCATTTCAAATTGAAACTACTATTCTTTCGTTTACAAGAATAAACTTTCCACACGAATGTATAAAACAAATCTACAAATACAACAAATGATTGTCACATATCATTGCCTATGTAAAATAATAAATAAGTAAGCAAACACTTTTTGGTTCTCATGTAGTATAAATGAATGCTTCAATCGATTAAAAGTGCTAGATGTCGCTATAGAAAAAAAAACAAATAGATAACTGAAAGTTTCTAGAAAAAAAAATTTAACGAAAGATTACGAAAAAAAAAGACTACATAATGTTTTTTTCTTCTATCTCAAAAATAAACAAGCGGCCATCACACTTGTATCTGTGTCCTTCGTGAACCAATCATTTATTCATAAGGAACGACAAAAAACATACACAAAGAAGAAAAGAAAGAACGAGAGAATGAGTATTATATCGTCCGTGGTTATGTTGCAATTACTCCTTGCAGCGAGTGAGAGAGCACATATTCACAAACAAGTATTTTTGTGTTTCAGATTGACGGGAATAGAAGCGTCATCCGTCGGCGAGAAAACGCCAACATCTGACGAGTGCAATTGAGAGAGAGAGAGGGAGGATTTTGTTTTTGCTTTTTTTTTGAAAAAGAAGAAAAAACGCCACGCGTCTATCGTCTGTCTGCGGTTAAACTCTCTCAATGGCCGAAGGAGATTATAAAATCCCATCGCGCAGTGGTTATCGTGATCGGATGCAGCAATCAGAGCAACAAGGTGTTTTATTTAATAATTTGAATTTCCTTATGCTAATGAATTTCGTTATGTTTTTCTAGGTGGCAATCCGTTGGTCAATGAAGAAGAATTAGCAAGTAAAGCACTGCATATCCAATCAAAACGTTTCTATTTGGACGTTAAACAAAATCAACGTGGTCGATTTTTAAAAATAGCTGAAGTAAATAAATTCCTAAGGATCTTTCTTTTTTTATGAACTTGTCTCTTTAATAAATAGGTTAGCTCCGGTGGTCGTAAAACTCGTATATTAATGTCAATGAATGTTGCACGTGAATTACGCGAGCATTTACAAACCTTCGATGAATACATTCGTACATTAGGTTTGAAAAACAGAATTTTTCTTTCATTTATTCTGATGAAAATTTCGTTTTGTTTTTAAGGCGAACAAATGATGAATGCAGATCAACTTCGATCAGCTGTTATATCGCGTGACGATCGAAAATATTACCTTGATTTGAAGGAAAACGAGCGTGGAAGATTTTTACGTATTTCTATGGTTGGCATTCATACACCCCGAACACAAATTGCCATACCAGCACAAGGTGTAGGAGAACTCTGCACAACCTTAGCAAGTCTTGTTGAAGAATTTGGAAATGATGATGATGATGATCATGGTAAGATAGAACCATAGCTGGGATTTTGTTTTTCAAAATACGAAACTCACTCTCAACGATTCTAAAAAGTATACTAATTAAATTTTTGTACCCTCAGTCGATAGGCCATCGACTATATTGTGACGTGTAGTGGCTCTTATGCTGACTTAGTTCAAGTAAGTGAACTAAGCAGACGAATTGCAGATTAGATTAACTTCTTTTTAGACTCAATATTGAGTTAATAATGAATCTAGCCCGGTAGACAATACTCGATAGCAGAAAACAGAGTTATTCTTTAATTTAGCAATATTTTAGATTTTATCTTTTCTATTTAGACAGTATCGAATCGTTACCTGCAATACGTAAGTTAACATTTCTTATCAATTTAACAGTTGTATCAACGATAGTTATGAGAAAATATCAAGGAAAAATCTTCTGTTTTTATGTTCGATTGAATAAGTCAACGATGACACAAATTTGAGATAGGTCACTTGCATCTAATGCCATCTTTTGAGTTTTATCATTGAAACTATTCATTAGTCTAGTAGGGATGTCATTCTTGTTGAGGTTCAACCAATTCTCACGGCTATCTTGTAATCAAGCATCAATGTAAGGAAAAAATATTTCTATGAGAAATACGAAAAATTTGGATTTTTAGCCTATTAATATTATCGTGTCATTTGGGTGCGAACCATGAGAAAGTTTTGCGTCTGATATCATAGTTGTCGCGTACGCAAATTTGTAATGCTGACTCGTATCATATTGCTATTCTCTTGATTAATCAATCGCCAAATGATTAAATCAGTTACTCATATTTATTTCAGCATAACCTATAGCAGAAAAGTTTTCGAACAAAATCTCCCAGAGATTCAACCGTAGCCGGTTAAAATTAGTGTGCGAAACAAATATGGTTTCTTTCTTAAAACTGCTTTTGAAAAAGTTAAAAATCTGTTGTGCAATATTTTCGGTTGCTTGTAATACAACTACGCCATTAACATTCTTTTTTTCTAGCCGATAAAATTTCATAGGTTTCACTTCAAACATACAATCAACCGAATTAGTATTCTATTTAAACAAGATTTTAATCAATTGTTATTCTGTCGGATTATTTGTCTAAGAATAGTTTGGGTGACTGTTTTCTATGAAGACCTCGCCATCATGTTTCATTGAGTGTGGAGAAGTTGAGATGGCACTCTATATAGGCTGAATTAACACTCATAGAGCTTGTTTTTCTTGACAAAAAGAATGAGATATTCGTTTTAGCGGAAATGAAAAATAATTTTTTTAGCTTTTACGACATAGATAGATTGAGTTATTTATTCTATAATTTTATTTTAGAACCTGCACAATTACCGGAAAGTAAATATCTGCATGTTGGTAATAAAAATTTCTACTTTGATTGTGGCTCAAATGATCGCGGCATTTTCTTACGCATAGCGGAAGTATGACAATTTATTTTCAAATTATAACTCTACGTCCTTATAATAATTAGGTTCGTCCTAATTTCCGAACAGCAATTACAATACCAGAAAAGGTTTGGTCTCACTTTCGGGATAACATCAATGAATTTATTCTTACAATGAATAATGAACGTCGTAGTTCGTTGAATACTGGTGAAGATTCGCCCAGCGGTGCAGACAAAGAGACACAATAAAGCGCTCCTCTATTTATTAAAATCGGTAGATGTAGTTTCATTTTCTCGCTCGTTCTTTATTTTTTTAAATTTGAAACACAGACAAGAATTTATCATTGATTTCGACTCTTAAAAAGAGCCCAGTATGCATCAAAAACAATACGTGGTTTGAGGGGCTTTTCCTATGTGTAAAAAACAAAACTACAAACAAAGTTCTTTTATTATCTCTTCCTATTAGCCGGTGTCGTTTTATTTTCTTCTTCTTATTCTTCTTCTTCTTCTTGTTTTGCTTCTATCATAATTAGAATCGAAAGTCTTTCGTACAGTAACCCATTTGCTTGTCGCGTATTTTATTAAATTAATGAAACAAACTTCTTGCGTCTCTACTTAGATTAGTCGTATGTATAATATCGGGAAAGAAAATAATTATTTTTGTTTTGTATCGATGTATTTTAACTTTCAATTCCAGAACTGGTATTTTTATTTTATTTTATTTTTATCAAGACGTTTATAACAGAAATCTTGATACAAAAGAAAAAAAGTCGAAATTATTAAAATAAATGTAATGACAATCAAATAGAAAATTACCTTAATATATGTTATCTTTAGATATGAATATTATTTTTTAAGAAAACAAAAAATTAGCTAAATGCCTCTATTCGGACGAAGATTATTTCAGCGTAGTCATGATGATGATTTAAAAGAAGATAGTGAAGAAATTTATACAATTGAACATACAGGTGAAAAATTTCATAATCAAACTTTGTATGAAAAATTAAAAAAAGCTTATGCTTTGGAACGATGGACTTGTGAATCTTCATGGAGAGCAGGTCTCACACACAACGAAGCATTTGAATCGGAAATCGAAGCAAGAAAATCATTAGCATCAATTGTACCGGAGTATTTTAATAAACCAATTTTTGATATTATACATCATAGTAAGGAAAATCTTTTCGTTTTCTTTTTAAGATTTGATATTTAATTATTGTTTCATTTATAGATGTGAAACCATTAGAGAAACTGGCGGAAGAAATATCGATTATACTTGGGTATGAAATGTTCGATTGCGTTCTACATTCATACTTATTTTCTATTTTAGTCAATGTTTTGTTGTTGGTGAACCTGTTCAATTTAAAAAGAAAAAGGATAATACAACGTAATATTTTTTTATATGCTATTCTTTTTTAATAATTTTTTTTCTTCTCAATATTAAATAGTGTAAAAGGAGTTGTCGAACGAATCGAAGATTATAATGATGATTCAAAAAAACGAACATCTGAACGAGCATCTGTTCAAGCAAAACTACCATCAGACAGAGTACCATTTTATTTTTGTATAATCGAAATAATGTTTATTTTTTATTAAATAGCAAATGAAAAATGTGAAATATGCTATTCGATTAACAGATGAAGATCGTGTAGTTAATAATGTTTTGCCTAGTGAATTACAGTAAGAGCCGAAAATCAGGATTGCTATTGAGTAAAAATTATGTTTGCACTTTGTTTTTTTTAGACGATGCAGTTTTATTCCTAATCGTGAAAAATTAAAAACATTTATTCGTTCACATTCTTTAAGACTTGGCAATCGAGCTGATAGCCCGTGGATATTTTATGATGATTCAATTAAAACTAAATATGAAATAAAAGATTTGATCCCATTAGAAATGGTTGATAAAATGAAGAAATCCATGACAATTACACTTGATGTAAATGACGATTTTTTTCCCTCCTATTTGAACAACAATTCATTTTTATGTGATTTGTCGAATAGGAAATTCTCCGCGAACAAGAACGAATTGCACGTAAACAAGCTGAAGAAGAAGCTGCTGCTCTTGCAGAAAAAAATAAATCCAACGAAATCAATAATAACAGTAAGTAGAAAATCCAAAACAGAGAATTACAAAAGTTTAAAACGAATAAATAGAACGAGAAACATCCAGTGTTCAAAGTCTGATGCCGTTAGCTATGGGGCAAGTTACTCACCGATGTTTGTCTCGGATCACTTATCCAATAGCGTGATAAGTACCTTTATCACATGCATCTAGTCTCCTGCACGCTGAAAAACCTAGAATAACTAAACTAGAGAGTCTAGAGCTTGAGAACCTTCTCCTATATGTCTAATTGATAGAGTTCGCTAACCATCAAAACTCATCCTTACGATTTCTGTTCAATTAATAGTTTTCTTCACGGAATAATACAGCATTTTTTTCTTTAACTTTTAGCTCCTGTTCCAAACAGTCATTTCGATGATTTTCAAATAGTTTTGTCCGATGATGATCGAATACCGAAAGTTTCTGATGAAAAAAAACCAAAATCTTCCGCCGAGAAGAAATCAAAAGTTCCGAAAGAGAAAAAACTTAAACAAGTCAAATCAGCTCCGGCAGGTTCGAAAAATTCGGCGCAACCATTGTCATCACCAAGTAAAAAACCTCAAAATTCATCTAAACCTCCATCGAAACCAAAAAAACAATTAACATTGGAAGATATGAAATTTACTAAAAATTCAACTAATCATAACGACTTATTAGAAAGATCATCTGTAACAACGTATGATGTTGTTGTTCCACATTCTCTACTACAAAAATTAGATAAAGCACGTCGTGATCGTGGTATGGACTCGAAATTTTTTCATCGCGTTATTCTTCATTGCGCACGAATATTGAACGATAAACAACGTTTACGTTTACCTGATGAATATCGTACATTGATTCAAGTTAAATTTGAAGAGCTTGAATTAAAACGACGTTTATCACAAATGACAGATGAAGAAAAAAAATTATTTCTTCAAACCAAACGTTTAGAACAAAAGCCTATTGAAGATCTCGATTTAACATTAACAAAAGATCTACCAGTAGCCAAACAAGTTCATACAACATTGTCTATATCATCAAAATCCATAAGTGATTTACTTATGATATCAACATTTTTAACATCATGTCATTCATTATTTTATTTATCATTAAATGATGATATACCTAAAACAACACAATTATATTTACGTTCGTTTAAATTTAATTATTTACTTAATACATCTACAACGATATTTTCGAATTATTTTATTGAAATTTTACAAATATTTATGAAATTATTATTTAAAGAAGATGAAAATCGTTCAAATGATGAGGAAGAAAGTGAAGACGGTGAAAATGAAGATAAGAAAAATGAAGAAGATACAAAGAATAAAAATCTGAATGAACCCATCGATGTTGATAAAGACATTGAACAGGTTTATTCGATTCAGTTATCTCAAATACCATTGACACCATTTACATGTCAGGAATTAACACGACTATATCTATTGAAAGAAAAAGATGATAGTAATCAAATTATATTAGATAAATTAGCCAATTGTGAAACAAGAGATTTATCGATTCCAGAACAAGTAAGTTTTGTTCATTACACATCGAAGCGTTCCATCAAATAAAAAACTAAGCATATGAAACTGAGTATTCAAGTAGAAAAAAAATTTTTTAATAGAAAATTATAGTTCGGAGCTTATGATATTCTAATCGACAGATAGCGTCCAATGATTAGGAACCTCAGGATGTCATCCGTGAATAGGCAAACACTCAATGCTTATTCATTATACACAGAAAGTTCGTGACTCATAACTAGACCTTATCATTCTGCTTCAAAAATCTTGGGTCCGATGAGTTCTGTCAATGTGCATATGGGACCGTTTCTATGTATCTCCATTTTTTGTATAGATTGATCTTCTTCTATTATTGGTCAATACAATCACGACGGACAATGAACTTATGTCTGATTATTTTGAATATTTAACACGCACGATGTCCGAAGCATCTCGTGAACGTAATCAATTAATATCTGAACGTCGTCGTGCTCAAGAAGAAGAAAGTAAACAGAAGAAATTACAATTACAAAATGGTGATAATGAAAAAGTTTCATCAAAAAAACAAACTAAAATTGGTCCATTAATAACACCGAAGAATAGCAATGGAACAGCAAATGATGAAAATCGACAAACATCACCGTTAATTGTTGATGAAAATGGCGATATTGAAAATGGAAATGATGATGATCTTAAAACTGTTTTACAACGACGACGACAAATGGTTGCTATGTCAAAAGAATTGAAAGAAAAACGTGAAATTGAAGCACAAAAACTTCAAATTCAGCAAAAACGCCAATTAGCTATTCAAAAAGCTGAACAAATCTATCAAGTACGAATCATTATAATATTAAATCGAAATGAACTATTTGTGTTTTATTTTTATAGGATGCATATCTCAATTTACAATATGGTTTTCGCATTAAACCATTAGGCTACGATCGCAATTATAATCGCTATTGGTATTTTCGAGGTTTTCCAGGTTTATTTATTGAAAAAGGTATGGTAACATACTAATATCTGTTTAGAGAAAGAAAAAAACACTTCTTATTGTACTCGATTGTGCTGAAAAGGTTTCCTAGTATAAACATTTTAGATAAACCTTCATTCTTTCTGATTAATGACATAGTGTTCTTTGGTTCTCGTTCAGAATCTTTTTATTTTCATTCAGGTTGGATGGGTACAGATATAAATTATTCTGCTCAATCATCATCATCGCAAGAAACAATTCCTCCTGTCATTGGCGAAAAATCAATTCCTAAAGATGAGCCCAACCAATGGTTTCTTTATGATGACGAAATTACAATTCAACAATTATTACATTCATTAAATGATCGTGGTATACGTGAACATAATCTATCAGTTAATCTTAAAAAAGTCATACCCTTCATTCATACTGAATTTGAACAAGCAAAAAAATCTAAAACTTCTATTGAACAACAAGATGAAAACACTGATACAGCTCATGATATAATTCCATCGTTTAAAACTGAACTTGAAGATATTGAAACACGTTTACGTCTCGGTTCATTGGGCGGATTCATTGCCAACGATAATCTTAATGACTGGCAAACGAAATTAAAACAATCAACTGAACGCATTGATCTTGCTGAATTACTTATACAATTACAACAAACAGTTGCTGATAAATTTGCAACCGGTATATTTAATTGTTCGGATAGAAAATATTTACAAATCTGGATGAATGACTGTCGAGCATGTAAAACCTATTCACGTTTATATGTTTTAATGATGATATTTGAAAATTCTATAACATGGAATAAATCTACGCTTGGTGTTAAATGTAAAATTTGCCGAAAAAAACATAAAGATGAATATATTATTGTGTGCGATCAATGTTGTTATGGTTTTCATCAAGAATGTTTACGTGGTTACTCAGATAATGTTAAAACTTCTGCTAATGAACTATGGTATTGCCCGGCATGTCGACCATCAACAGCAGCATCGAAACGACGTGCTAAACAAGATAAACAAAAAATTGATTATAATGAAAATGATGATATTTATGAAGATGAAATGGAAGTTCAGTCAACATCAAATACAAGCAGTAATGAACGTAATCATGCTCATTTATCAGAATCAGATACTGATAATGAGGATCAGGAAGAGGAGGAGGAGGAGGAGGATAATAATAATCATAATAATAATATGGAAGTCGATGATAATATATGCAGTATTTGCGGTGTGGACACTGATTTAATTTTATGTACACAATGTCGTCAATACTATCATTGCCAATGTCATGAACCACCATTGAGATGTCCGCCGAGATCAACAACATGGATATGTAATAATTGTCGAAATGGTCTTACCAATGAAAATAATTATTCATCACGGCAATCGAAAGTAAAAAAAACAGCAAAAAAATCGAAAGATAAAAATCGAATTCAAACACAAAAACAAAATGGGACACGTAAAAGTAAGATATCGTTCTATTAAAGAATGAGCTCGATCTTATAGGATAATGATTTTCTGAGAATAGGCAACGTTTTACAACTGTTGTTTTAATAATAACTGAAGGGAATGAACAAAAAAATGAAACAGCACTGCTATTGAATGACAATTAGAAAAACAATTCGTAATAATAGATTGATTCACTCATCTTCGTAAAAACAAATTGTCGACTATTCGAGTTATAAATTTGATTCGAAAGGCAGAGATTTCGATTAATAAAATTTTAATTATAGTTTATTATTGAGAATAATAATTGAATTTTATTCTCGTTTACGTAGGTACACGTAAAAATTATCGTGAAGCTGATGAAGAAGAAGAAAGCGATGAAGAAAAGACAAGAGCACAACGGCGTTCAAAACGATTGCGACGGTCAAATCCGTCGCCGATAAAAACTATAGACAATAATCAACATACACGGCGACGAGCTCGTATAGCGAAATCTGTGACATCATCATCGGATGAAGATCGAATGACAAATAATCATGATGAAAATACTGATATCGAACAAAATGAAGATGAAGAAGAAAATGAAAATAATAGCAATGATTCTCCGTCCTCAGACTAGTCAAATTTCGAATTAACTATCATACGTCTTACATTTGGATATTCTCGACCTGTATATAAATATATACATGCATATAATAATCAGAAGTCAAATGTTGTCTTTTCCATGTAAATATGATTTTTCATACATATATTTACACTCAATCTCAAATCCTTACTTCTACTTATGTTTATCGTAATATTATAGACAAGATATTTGTTTGTCTTAGCCGGTTGTATATTAAAGTCAAAAGAAAGAATGAAAAATATGTGTTTTTTTGTACTTCATAGTGCAAATCTAGCTTCATTGTTTTTTGTTATCAGAAAAATTATCATAGATCTGTTTCGTTTCTTTTTTTGTAATCGTGTGTTCGTCTGTATTTTCTTTTTTGTATGTTGGTATAAACTCTATTTTTGTACGTCGTTCTAGGCGATATATAATTGTATGATGAGTGTTTCTGTGTTTAAAAAAGATTTAAAAAAAATATATATATCGAATTAATAAAGCGTGAACTATTTTGGTATGAAAAACCATAATCAATAAAAGAATGAATTGAGTAGGACGTCTTTAATCTTTCTAATTATATATCAACTTAAATTGATGAATTTTCGAGTAACACGAAACTAATGAAAACTCAGTTTACGGATTCCAAAATAGAGTAGATCAAGTATGATACACATATCAGACGACTGATGGAAATTCAATTTTTTTTTGAATTTCTTATCAAGTTGTGCTGTGTATGAAAATGTTGTTGCCGAAATGCTTCGTTAATTATTGAAGCAGAGAATATCTGCTATTCCTTTTTGATAGTTGATAAAGAAAAAAAGCAAGAACAATAATCCTTGAGATATGTCATAAATTATCCACAGAAAGCAAGGACATAATTATTGAGTATAGATCTTTTGCACAAGCAAAAGATTCAATGCTGATCTGTTGTTATGGATCAATCGTAATCCTCTTTCATACTTTTAGCGATATGTATCAATGTTCGAGTTCTGTAACACCTACAGAGATATTTTACAGGAGACAGCATTCACTGGCATGTCATGTGTCTGTATTTTGATATGAGCTTGGTGAATTTTAAAGGAGGGCACATGCATAAATGAACAGGTCTATATAGTTTTTTTTATGAGAACCTGTATGACAGACCGATGCGTGGGCATCACTTTTATCTTACTGGAATGGGTTAAATCCACACGTAAGGTTTGCCATTTGTGATTAATGATATAATTTAAGAGGATACTCTATGTGTCGTTCAGAAATTTTCCCGCATAAAAGTTGAAAATTTTATACGTGATTATTCTGTTGAGTCAAAAAATAAGTGACCTTGCCAGTTTCAAAATATCGTAATCGTAATCAATATGATTTATTCGGATGTCGCCGAAGAGGATATCCTCTTTTCATATCCCAAACATTTTGAGGAAGTACCGGGAGCAGTCCTTCAGAAGAATAAAAATAAAATTCGTATCATGCAGATAGTACTAGATAGGTGTGCAACGGTGACGGTATTCGTCACCGGTTTCACCGTCACCGTTCCCACCGGTTGTTACGGGGCACCGTCACCTGTCATTTGTATCGATCCCATTGGCTACTTTTTCACTGTTTCTTCCATATATTAGTACTTTGAAACCATTTTACCAGTCCCGTCGGCCAATATTACCTGTATTCGTGGGAAGCTAGTCTCGATTACGCGGGAATTTGCTTAGCTAAAACGATTTAAATAACATTAATTATTTTCATCAAAATAACTGCTGTTAGTATCAGGTATAATTTCGCTTTATATTTCATTAACAGTATTAGAAATTCTAAATCAAGATTATCGATGATTTTTGACTCTATAGAGCAAGTGTAATTATTATACTTCATATCTCAATCAATATCGCATGTTTCTAACAAAAAGAATTACTTAGAAGTCAGGTATCTCACTTTGTCGAGGTATAACTTCTCATCATATAACTTGAATTTTTATCGATAAAAGTTAAAAGGTGTATTGGTGTTACATATTAAAAATTGTTAACTTTCTTGCTATCGTGGCGCATTTATCCATTAAACCACTCTTTGTACACCCATGTGATTCAAACCGGAAAAAACCGGCGGTTTTTTATGAAAGTGATGCATCATTTTGTGCAGTATAAAAACTACTGAATATTTTTCAAGTCTGTTAAAACCGACAGAATCGTGTTGAATTCGATGCACTCTGATAATATCGATGTGCCTGAGTCGCCTGTAATAGCCACAGAGCTCAAATCGGTCCCATTTATGAGATAAATATTTTATTAAAGATGTCGCTGTAAAAATAACAATTCGCAAAATATATTCTGAAATTGTTTTGTTTCTGATTAATTCGAATTCTTTTCCAGAAATAAATCGGGATTTGATAAAAAACGGTTTCTGGAAGCCTTTTTAGCCGGGACCGGAGCTTATAAGCGCTGCCGCCGGTTATTATGAGTACCGCGGTATACCGGCGGTAGTGAAAAAAAATGTGCGACATGGGCAGAACATAGCTTCAAGCCTACTAATTCGTTTTGATCTATTTAATAGTGAACAATTAGCTGTCATTTTAAATACAATAGGTTAAAATTTACAGTATCTTAGAACTCATATATAGAAGTATTTACAGTAATTGTTTAATGGTATAATTAGAATTCATTTTCAGTCGGATAATAACAATTTAGAAGTTGAAAGTTAGAACTAATAGGGCCGAAGCATTATATTTCTATTTAGTAATATTAGCGATAACACATTAGATTGATTATGAAGTTATAATTAGATCCCTAAGTTCAGTAAAGACTGGTAAGATCGGTGAGAATTAGATTGGTAGGCACTGGTGGCGGTGACCGGTAAGAACCGGTGGGAGCGGTGACGGTGCACCGTAATAACCGGTGGGAACGGTAGCGGTGCACCGTAATAACCGGTGGGAACGGTGACGGTGCACCGTAATAACCGGTGGGAACGGCGACGGTGGACCGGTGTGCCTTCGTCACTGTTGCATCCCTAGTACTAGATTTGCATGTTGCCAAACATGTTAGTAGTAAATAGCTCGTAGATTATATCATATTTATTGTTCAAGCCGAGAACAGTAGGATAATCATTAAGATGAAAGCTCGAACCAGTTTCATTTTTTGTTTCCATGAAAACTACTGTACAATTTTGACTTATCATTGAGCTAATAGTTCGTTTTGAGATATATGAATAAGTTTGCAAGTTTTTATTCGAACAAAGGTACAAAACTTTTGGTGAAAACGCACAAACACTGTGGAAAGTAATACACTGATTTTTGAAAGGACAAACGGTTTTACAGAGGCATACGTCAAATGGATGATGACTTTGCTTACACACGCTGGTACATAATGAGTAATGATTTATAAGAATTAAAAAAGAGAAACAACGTTTGATAAAAGCAATCAGTAAAAAATATCAGTTAGCTAGCTAGAGTTGAATATGTAAAAAAAAAGGGATTCTAAATTTAAGTCAAAAGAGTTATGCGCATAGTACTACTTAAGTCTCATGCTAGTCTTCATTAGGATGATGTGAATACGTCAGAACATTTGTTATGTGTCTGTTGTCGCAGTAGTTTTGACCCGTGAAACTTTGGTTATAGTTACTCCGTTGGACGAACGAATTGGATTGTCCGTCGGTAACAAATTCAGACTTGGATCATTATTGACTGGCTGCACTTTACCTAATGATTTCTTCATCTTAACAATCTTGACACTGTTTGCGCGCGTTCTTGGTAATGGGCACATACTTGCCGAGTTAGCATTTATTAAATTATCTGCGCTAATCCTCAAATTTTCAGAAACAGCATGATTTTTCAAGTTAGAATGGTTCTGGAATGACTTTGTATTAACAATTCCGGTGGAACTCTTTCGTCGTAATCGTGTCACATTGACTGGGTTAATATTCAGAGATGACATCGAAACCGATCTCACTCTCTGCTGGTCGGTTTTCGCTGCGTCAATGTTCTCATTGTTGATATTTTCGTCTACGCTTAACATTTTGCTCACTCGCCGAACACGAACTCCAGGTCGAGAATCAGCTGAGTTACGCTCCGCATGGTGTTGATCACTCGGAGCTGTAATACCTGGATTACCAGTCTCTTCCGACTTCATGTAGGTATTCACTTTTGTGAAATTGCCATGACTCGCATTCAAATCAGTTTTCTGGATTGTAACGTACGGTTCATTAATTGACTTGTTCGACCCAGAACTTTGAGCATTACTTATATTATGCATGGCAGTGTAATACTCGTCGACTTTGTTTGATCGTTTCTTTCGAAAGCGTTTCGTAAGGTCAGGTGTCTTTGTTCGCATATCGTTTACACTACGCAGAAGATAATTGAGATTTCGACTCTCTTCACTGGCCATTTGATGACGACGGCGTCGCGCACTAGGGCTCCTGTAATAAAATGGAACTTTTTTATGTCAAAGTCATGCCCTCAATAGAAATCTATATTTGAGGCGTTTTTTTCACTCAAGAAATCTGTATTAGTCAAAAAGTAATAAAATCTTACCAAAGAAACTTGTAAAGACAACAGCAAGAAAATAACAGAGCCAGAAGTAATCCCAACAAAGATAAACCGATTATCAATGGCCAATTGGTATTATCTGTTGTTTTAATGAAAAATATTTATTTATTGCATGAAAAAACTGAATTTCAAAAAAGTTATGAACACGAACAAAAGTTGACTATTTGGCTGTTTCGCTTGAAAAACGTCTCGCATTTTCGACGCACTTATATCACAATAAAACTGTTCTCATATTAACCACTCGATAGACATTTCTAAGCTGTACAAAATAGGATGATTAGAAAAATAAGAAAACATTGGTCCCTTCATGATCAAAGGGCAAATACTGTAGGGAACTATCCATTTTTAAAATGTTTTTTTTTCATATTGCGACGAAACGTTTTGGCGAAAATCGAGATGAGTCATTTTTCTCATGTATAATATTTGATAGACATTTTTACGCGCTACAAAAGAGGATGATTACGGAAGCCAAAAAACACTGACCACTTAAAGGTAGCCTCGGCATTTACTTATTTGACCGCTGATTTTGTCGTTTCTTCCTACTCTCTATTGGACTATAGCTTGAAAGACGATACTTGTTGTACAAAATGATGTTATATTCAGAATCAGCATTAAACATTGAGTAGGTTTAACTGCATTCCAAATCTTTTCGGTAATTGAATGTTTTTGGAAAAAATTCCCTGTAGTCCTCCTCAAGGTTGAGTGAAAATATTAATTTCATTAAAACACGATTTCGACCATAGTAATGAAGTTCTAAATTTATAAAATGATATCAGAACTCGAAATAATAGAACCTAAAAGGAAAACGAAGTGATTCTGGTTAAATTATTTTTTTTACGCAACCTTGAGGAGGATTACAGGGATTTTTTCCAAAAACATTCAATTACCGAAAAGATTCGGAATACAGTTAAACCTACTCAATGTTTGATGCTGATTCTGAATATAACATCATTTTGTGCAACAAGTATAGTCTTTCAAGTTATATTCCAATAGAGAGTAGGAAATAAGTAAATGCCGAAGCTATCTTTAAGTGGTCAATGTTTTATGACTTCCGTAATCATCCTCTCTTGTAGCATGTAAAAATGTCTACCGAGTGGCCAATATGAGAACAGTTCTATTGTGATATATTTATGTCGAAAATGCGACTCTTTTCAAGAGAAACAGTCAAATACTCAACTTTTGTTAGTGTTCATAACTTTTTTGAAATTCAGTTTTTTCGTGGCGGATTTAATATCAAAATGCTTGTCTCGACGGCAGCCTTCATTTCATTTATAATTTAACTATGTTCAGTTGAAAAAAATCGAAATGGACCGATAGGGTATCTTTTACGCCCCTGTCCTGTGACAAAAAAGTATGCTTCATTACTCTCTAGTCAGTTGCATAAAAGTCATTTCAAAATCACGTTTTCAATTAGCTTCAATTATCCAAGATATAACTATTTCGACGCAAACTTTACGCAGATACTATTTCTTGTCTTGTGATATTCCACGAAAGTCATAATATGTCAGAAATGTTTACGTCATAATATTGCTCATCCACGTCTAACCTGCGCCCAAGATTGATAACTTCAATATGCTGTTCGGTTAGGATTATTTCTATGAAGCCACTCTATTAGTATGTATTCGTACAGCTCTGTGGGGTTTGAGTCTGCCTATTTTGCTAAGCTGAAGTTTTCTAAAGTCATACAGTTTATATGCATCATAGCCTGGCTAATCCGCCATCACTAAGATAGTAAGTACAGCTGCTGCATTCCTGAACAGTTATAGTAATAATACATTGAAATTTATTTAAATACGATCAAGGCGATCGCTTTTTACTTAAGCCCAAAAGCAAAACATGCTGCACTGTAAAAGAAACTCGTAGAATAAGGAACCCTAGCACTTTCGGAAAATTATCCTAAGCCCTTAAAGGGTTTAGGTGAAAAAGGGCATTTTTAATGAAAAAAGGGTTTATGCGGAGAAAAAGAAAGGTTCATCAATATACCCTTCATAAAAAGGGTTTCTTATTCTACGGTTATGGGTTTATGGTTGTAATTTTTATGGAAAGGGTTTTTTATTCTACGATGAAAGATTTATACCTGTGTCTTTTCACAAAAAACGCTTTGCCTTGCGTAACTAAGGGTTTATTGTTCTACTCTTTCATAAAAAGCGTTTATTATTCTACGATCAAGAGTTAATTATTCTAACTTTTCAACAAAGCACTCTCACACTATCACTTGAAACATTTTGCTACGGTGGCTATTTCCAAAAACAAACATATTTCGATCGAGAAGAGTACTATCAATCAATATAAAGTTTTCAAAAATTGAGGAGTTCTAAAAGAAATCAGAATACTAAATCTTTCACAATATTTTTATTCTAAAATTTAGACATTTTTAACCGTTATTTTTCAGTTCCTAAAGAAAAAAACTCAGAAAAAAATTCTAAAAATTATTTAAAATTTATTTCAAGGAATTCCTATCAATTAAATAATTTTTTAAATATATAATATACTTTTAAATATCGATATATCTGTGATATGAACTATAAAATTTAAGTGGTCTACTTTAATAATATTTTAAAAATGTCATTCAATTTCAAATAAATAAGCGGTACAGAAATCTATTATTCCGATTTCTTCATCAAAGTAGGAAGCGCCTATTCAGAAGAGCATCGTTTAATTTAAGAGTACATTTCATACTATGCAACTTGAGCGCGAATCTGATCGAATGGATAACAAGTTAGACAATCATGGATTATGTCATATGTTCGAACCCAGGTGACAACAGTAAGTACATCACTTAATTAATTATAAATCTATGAAAGTATATGAGCTGAAACGCAAACTGAATTGGAATAATAGCAAAATAATGATTGTGCAACATCTAAAGTACTTTTTTTAAAAATAATCTTTAGATGTTTGTCTCACTAGAAAAATTATTTAAAAGGGTTTATGATAGTTTTAAATACGCTAAAAAGGGTTTATTATAAGTTGCACTTTCATCAACCCTTTTTGGGTTTATTATTCTACGAATTTTTTTTACAGTGTAGGATTAAATGAAATACCGTTTCAAACGCATTTAACTCATGAATTTTAATACTCTTTGTTGAATATCAATTGATGGCAATCCCTTCTATAGCTACGAATTAATTTAGTAACAGGTCATTTTCTTGACTTTCGTCGTACGAAAATGGATCAATTCAATTTAGAACATCATGGATAAGCAAGATGAGGTCAAGTTTAAATGTATCTGAAAATATAATACTATATTCTTGCTGTACGTGAGAGCAACATCATGCAAGTGACAAATCTCAAGTTGACAACTGGTTTTGTTGGAAAAAAAATCCGATAAACAATTATCCATAAAAATATCTGAACACTAGTTCGTTATTTGACGGTTAGAAATATATCCTGAAATACTCACTTGGGGGATTTGTCGTTGTTTGGGTCGTTCTACAATGAAAACAAATAGATTTCAAGATACTGAATTCTTCAAATGTCAAAAATGAAAACTTAGAATATGTTCCGTCAACGAGACACTCAGCAGGTGACGTTGAAGATGAATTCCTTTTCCTTCGTATATTATTGTTAGATCTACAACGTTACTAATTAGGAATAATGTACTTATTCTTTTTTCAGTCATCAGTACATGAATATTCCTCTATTACCGCGAACGTTGAACCATATGTTTGATAAATTTGTACTACCATATTATACAATTAATGTTTCACTGTGCTTCTGAGTCATTATTCTAGCACAGTCGAAACTTATTGGTAGGGTATTGTAAGTTTACATTCTGTCCGTGACAGAACTGTGCCACTATATGATATAAATCCTTTATGCCAATTCAAAAATTAACAGAGCGCCACAAAATTTCTGTCAATTGACAAAAAGTGTGTTGTAATTGGCGGCGTGTCTCACGATTTTCTGCCAATTGGCAGAAATGGCTATGAAACTATAAACTCGAATTTCTAAATTAACTTAAAGAAATATCTCGATGGCGTGGATCTGTGGGTGTCGGTAAATAGAAAAAAAAAAACTTTAGACATAGCAACACCCCACACCCATACTCCATATTTCCCTTTATAGCCGAGGGACATCATTTATATATAGAAATAATATTAACTTAAGTAATCCGTAGGTTCCCATGAGCAATTTTTTGCCACTTGGCAGAGATGCCTGTAACATACTGCCAATTGGCAGATAGGGGAATTGGCAGAGTGACATAGATTTCCACTATATCATACCTTATGAAAGATATTTGAATAATTCCACAGGTCATATTTTCGTCACGTTATTATTCACATCGCTCGATATCAAACTAAAAATTTTCTCGTAACGCCTTTTTACGACCATAAGCACTTCCTCACAGTTGTTCACATCAATCTCAGTTACGCATTGAAAATTTAGTTGAGCGCTTCCATAGTGCTCTTGGAATTACTAGAAGGTCATAATAAGAAGGGCCTTAGTAATAAAGCGGCTAGGGAATTTCCCAAAATCATTGACTACTGACCATGCTTAAGAAAAATGATTAGTCAATGGCTACGTAGCAAACTGTATATGCCATTGCATACTCAGTAAATATTCAACTAATGTTCATATATAGTATGCATGAAGCATTTAGATGAAAAACTCTCATTCTATTCTAAAAAGAGAAATTTCAACGAGACTTACGCAGTTGTTGTTGTAGTTGTTGTCGTCGTTGTAGTTGTGGTTGTTGTCGTCGTTGTAGTTGTGGTTGTTGTAGTTGTGGTTGTTGTTGTCGTCGTGGTCGTTGTAGTAGTCGTGCTTGTAGTTGTTGTAGTTGTTGTAGTTGTTGTGCTTGTTGTGCTTGTGGTTGTCGTACTCGTTGATGTTGTTGTGCTCGTTGTTGTTGTGGTGGTCTTCGATGTGGTCGAAGTTGTGCTGGTTGCTGTAGTCTCCGTTGTCGTTGTTGTGGTTGTTGTACAGTTTGGAGATGAAATAACTACATTCAGTGTAACACAATACTCAGCAGACTGAACTTGTTCCCTAAAAAATAGATGAAACCTATAATGATTAGATTGATGATTAATCAACAAAATATAACTTACTCTGTATACGCTATGACACAAAATGTCTGCGGTCCGATTTGATTTGACTGGGACGTAAAGTTGAATTCAACTAAGATTAGTGAATCATTTGTTGGTAAAGCCGCCATGTCAGTCATATCGAGACCAGACAGAGTTTTTGACATGATGACATCACTTATATCAGCGACAGTAGGATTGCAATTATTGACGACTAACAACTGAATATCGGTTGGGATACCAGCTAAAATTTCAAAACAATCTGTTGCAGGCATTATAACTGGTGGAATTGGACATGTTGGTGTTGGTAAAACATAAATTAAAAATTGAGCTGGCGCAGAGCTCATCGGAGTTGTACTTGTGTTATTTATGAAGTCTTCCACCTATTAAAAATTACACTATATATGAGCCAGTCCACGTAAGCCACGACCGATTCCTTGCGACAATGTTCAAACGATACTCTCCGATTCGTCTTATTTTAATATATATGATAGAGGCAAGTGTTTAATCAATATTCACGCAAGTCGATCCGAAAAACATTGAACCGTTCACGTTTTATGGCATTTTTACAAAGAGTGCCATAAAACTCACTGTGACGGGAGGCCATTTTCGGTACCGTATATCACAAAAAGACATGAATAATTTGAACTGAAAACTTTGGTACACCAACAACCAACTAAGTTCTACATATAAAAAAATTTCAGCACCAACAATTGAGTCTTTGGTATTTTATGAACTTCGCCATTGCGAGAAAAAATTCTTTTTTCACCAATTTTGGCAGCTCATATCTCCCGATTGAGAAATGATAGAGATCTGAAAATTCTCACATGAGCACATCTCAAGTCTATCTAATCATCATATAAATTCGAGCTCTCTAGAGCAGAGCGTTCGCGCGGGATATCTGGAGTGCAAATCAATTTTTCGCTCAAAGTCGATTTTGAGCCTCGATTTTCTCCCAAAATATACACTCACGGTTTAATGCATCAACGCAGTGTTAAAGACCATACTCCAGTGTACAACTTGGTATGAAAAGAAACCTGGGACGTCCATGGGTTGCTTCAAAACCAGTCGATCTTTTTCGAAAAAGTGAATTTTCCCAATGTTTAAGTTCACGTCTCTTTTTTCCAAGAACGTCATGAAAGGTTCATCAGAAATAGTTAACGCTTTCAGGGAGCAGAGAGCTACCATAATTGAATAAAATTTCTGCCACATTCACGTCTATTCTATAGCTCTTCACCACGGATGTAACAATACCGTTTGGAGACGCCTAAAGATGGCCAATTTTCATAATGAAGATCTACCAACACCAACCAATACTTTGTGTCACTTATAACCAACAAACTTAGCTCTACCCGATAGAAGAATAAAAAATACCAATACTGGGGATATTTTCTGTTGGTATTGGTATTTTTTATTCTTCTATAGGGTAGAGCTAAGTTTGTTGGTTATAAGTGACACAAAGTATTGGTTGGTGTTGGCAGATCTTCATTATGAAAATTGGCCATCTTCGGGCATCTCCAAATGGCATTGCTACATCCCTATTCTTCACCTATGGAATACATGAATCTGTTTGGCTGNCTTGCGTGAATATTGATTAAACACTTGCCTCTATCATATATATTAAAATAAGACGAATCGGAGAGTATCGTTTGAACATTGTCGCAAGGAATCGGTCGTGGCTTACGTGGACTGGCTCATATAACATGCGGTGCAAAAGAAATGGAAATAATGTCGAACTGAATTTCGGCTGGACGGACAGGTGGTAGAAGGAAAATTTGGTTATCAGCTGATAGCTCGTGCAGTTCTCTTTCGAACGAGATATAACTCGCCGTTACTGCCCATTCATTCAGAAATAGACACGTGACGAAAGAGAATCTCTATCGCAACGTATTTGCAACTTCTATATTTACTCTTCAAATAATTCTGTAAAAAGTACGGTAAATTATTTCAAAAAACAAAATATTCCGCAAACAGCGATTTATAATGTATTACGGAGGTATCGTCAACATGAAACCACGAAATATCTGCCAAAAAGTGGTCGAGCCCACAAGATTTCTGATAAACAATTGGATGGTCTTGTTAAATCTGTGAATAATCGGTGTGGTTTGAGTGAAAGAAAATTAGGACGACGGTTTAGGGCACGCTATTCAACTATTTCACGTACCTTGAGAAAAAGAACATCGGTCGTTATTGGAAAGCGTCGAAAAGCTCCGAAAATAAACAGCGAAGATCAAGAAAATCGAGCAAGAAAAAATTGTGGAAAAATGTATCGCAAATTGTTAAGTGGTTGTGATGTAATTTTGGATGATAAAAAATACTTCAAATTAAGCGGCAACAATGTTGATGGGAATGCTTCTTTTTTATTCAACTAATCCAGCTACGAGTCCTCCAAACATTAAATTACAAAAGAGAAAAAAATTTCAACCAAAATAAATGATTTGGATGGCTATGTCCTCGAGAGGGGTTTCTGATGTGTACATCCACAGAAGTGAGCAAGCTGTTCTGCAAACCACCTATCTGAAAGAGTGTATTAACAAAAGACTACTTCCTTTTATCGAAAAGTATCATCATACGGGAAATTATCTCTTTTGGTCCGATTTGGCGAGTGCTCATTATTCAGATCTTGTAAAAGAACGTTTGCAAGAGAAAAACGTACGATTCGTTGCTTGTCAGGGTAATCCTCCAAACGTTCCTTAGGCTCGTCCAATTGAAACAGTTTGGGCTTTACTCGAACCCAAAGTATAAGAAAATAATTGGGAAGCAAAAAATTTGGATATATTAGCTCGACGGATCAAACAGAAGGCAAAAGAACTTAATCAAAAATGTTGCGAGCTATGGTTGAGGATGTTCGAAAGAAGCTTCGGGCTATGTGGCGAGACGGATTATATTCAGCTTGTTAAATGCAGTTTTTGTAGTGTTGTTCATGCTCTTTATAATAGAGAAAGAAATAGCTTTGTAGTTCGTAAAATGGCTGAACGGTTGAGGTCGACATTATTTCCATTTCTTTTACACCGCGTGTTACTCTGAAAATCAACATATTAGGATGAAAATGTAAAGACAGTCTCGTCATTTATCAGGGTTCAGCATGAACTATATCTAGCGACAATCATCTACTCATGTACAATATATGCATAAGACATGACAATTTATAGATGATGTTGCTGAAGTTCTAACATTTTTCATTGTAATAATGTCAGTTCTCATGTTGCATACGAATGCATCTGCATATTATTTTATTAGCATCGTTTGGTAATTATGCTAAAAGATTAGGTACCTCGCTAGGGTAGTTCTTTGTGGATGCAGCGACTCTGCAGAAAACATATACTTTATGTTTATTTACTCGAAGAATAGATTCTGAAAGTCGTACTGAAAGTCTGTCTTCTGCATTTCTGCAATTGTGTACTATGGAATTAACCACTAGCTAGACCTCAGAAGTAAACAACCGTATTATGTAACGTAGGGTGGGACATATGAAATACAGAACATTGAAGTTTCTTGTGAAAAATTGAAAACATTTATTTTAGCTGGATACTGGTAAAAGACAATTCTCATTTGATACTGAACGAAGTCAACAAGAATAGGGGTATGACAGTTCAGTTCTAGCTCCGTTCAAAAGAACTGTTCAGACAGTTCACATGATCTGATCTGAACTGTTCGAGTAGATCAGATCAGATCATGAGAACTGTTTGAACAGATCCCATAAGAGACGCCTATATCGATATAGACATCATCCCAGTGTAGATCCCAACAGTTCTTAAAACTGATCTAATCTGCCCGAACAGTTCTCAGGATCCGAACTGATCTGCTCGAACAGTTCTTTCGCTCATTTGATCTGAGCTTAGATCTGAGAACTGTCATACCCCTAAACAAGAAGGCTCAATACCGTGCTCAATATTTTCGATCTAATCAATATAAGTCTTCTGTATCTGTGAGTGGGAGTTTCTCTATTTTTGAGTCTCTTCTCTGCAAAGACAATACGAAGTAATCTATCAAGAACATTCTATCATATCAATTATACATACAAATATGAGAATAAATATTGGTATTGTTACTCTCTAACTTACTTGAACAGATATTGCATACCAAGTGTTAGGTATAAGACCTGTAAATGTGAGAGTACAATTCGAGGATAAATTTGTGCCATTCGGAAGACCATTTGGATAGCAAATACTACCGCATTCATCAATAGCTTGACGATGTGCATAAGATATCGTTGTTGGCATTGTTCCTGGAGTTTCAGTTACGGCTGGAGTTGTTATGATGGGACAGCTAGGTTTTACACTGCAAGACCCACCACTACACGAAGTTCCTGTACACCCAGTACTTTTACAGCAGCAGCCTTTGTCACATTTGGTATTACACCAACTGCAGCCTGGGCCTCTCTTGTTTCTAACTTGAACATTATTGTTTTCTTCAATCATATTTTGATTAATTTTAGTCTTTGATTCGCTGTACATAGCCAAACTTTGATAGATTTCTCTTCTCCTTCTAGATCCGGGTATGTATTGAGACCAACGACAACGTATATCATCACCTACATTGGCGTCTGATACAGGTATTTGAATTTGAGTGGGCGTATTAACAATAACGTATTGTGGTGAGACGATGTTCACTTCCGGTGGGGTGTTAATAATGCCATCTGGGCGCATACGAAGATCAATGTAGCAAGATATCGACCAATAAAGACCACTTTTAGCAGGACTGCCCAGTGGTGCCCATGCACTTCCCTGATAAGCTATATAGAAATGTGCACCTGCACTCAGTGTTCGGTTAACTTCTCGCTTGCTTGTCATCATGCCTAGTCCAGCGCTTGACGAAACACAATCGGTTAAAATATTTGTTGGATTATTGGAATAGCCACCATCGGTCGAACAGTCAGCAATACATGTAAGATTAGCGTTAGCGCTGCTTCGACCACTTGTAGAAATAGGTACATTGGTGGTACAAGTGATTGTTGGGTACTTCCAAGAATAAGATTGTATGATACTAATTGTTACTGAACTCGAATTGACAGATGGATTGACGGGTTCCCATCGGATGGTGCCACCGTTAAAATGAGACCCATCGGTTTCGATAAACAGGAGCAAAAATATGAAGAGAAAAATAATGCAAGGCTTTGGTTTAGTTGAAAACATAGACATCTAGAAATATGATTAATGTTTACAGTTTTGTATAATAAGACTTAAACTCGGTAAGAATAATAGAATATTATTTAAAATCCGAAACCTATTCCAGTATTAAACATTATACCACATATCATTGAAAATATTGAAATACAATCCACCAAAAAAATGATGGCTACAATAGGTTATATGGTAATAGTATCACAGTAACAGAATACACATGGTAAAATGAATCACATATGTGGATGAATACTATTGTATCTTCAAATCAATTAGATTGGTTCTACAAAAAAATAGTTCTTTAATGAGACACTTTGACACGCATGTTGCTCCTTGGAGGAATTAATAGTTGCATGAGGAATGATGAGTTTGTGGGTGTGGATGGGCAGTGTGTGGTGAATGGATGATGGAGAATTTTGGTTACTATTGGTTTATAGAAGTCTTAGAAGTAGGTATTAATAAAGCATGTGCAATGGAACCATGAAACACATCCAGTGTTAAAGCTGTGAAATTATTCGAAAGTATTTTCCGTTACTAATGTAGTGCTTGACTAAAATCTACCTTTGAACGCAAGTGGATATAGGTGTATTATGGTATACGCAGATCAAATACAACCATCAGTAAACAAACAAAAAAATACGGTTCGTTACAGACACTGTATCGTAGCATAGTAACACAGACAGTAAAACAATTGGTTCTCTGATAGAATACAGAAATATTTCGTGTTCTTTACAAAGCGTTGTGGTGGGGATACAGTGGTATATATTCCCCGTACTACTTACCAGGGTAGTTCTGTGTTGAAAATGCTCGGAATTATGAAGCATTAGTCATTTGCCCACGTTGATTAGAGACGATTGAGAAAATTCGGACAACGTAAAATCAAATTAGGCGATACTTTTCCCAATAATCTTTTATACTCACATGCAACTCTTGATAGGACAGCACTTCCAGCAGTAGACAAACTATATAAATACAAGGCAGCGTGTGTATACTACATTTATATCAAATACTTTTGTCGTTACTGCTCAGAAAAGATATCCGTGCAAATACAACACAATCCATGCTATAAAGAACTTTATAAGCACTAAATAGGAGCAGTTTTCATTTTCATTTACATTTTCGTTCTTTACATTTCTTCTTTCCAAACCATTATTTGGAAACAAACTTTTTACCAGGTCTTTGTCGTTCGTCACGCATCATCACAAAACTGTGCAGGCTTTCCCTGCTATCGTAAATGATTTTCGGCACCCCATCTTCATACAAATTTACTCATCTTTCTTTTAACTAGAGTCAACCATAATCTGACAGACTGTAAATTTTCCCCGCATCTTTGGTACCGAGTAAAATCATTTCTCCCTTATCGCGAATAAATGAATGTTCACTTTAATTACAAATGCTCCCGTTTTTCTTCCAAAAGAAAAATGATATTTCATTTATCCAAAGCATTATTCCCACCGACTATTTCATTTATCCGCTGTAAATTCTTTTCTGCTAGTGAATATGTATATGTATCTTCACTTTCGATCTTTAACTGAAGCACTTTTCTGCTATAGGAAAAATGATATTCGAATTACTCCAAAGCAGACCTCGAAATTGGGCCACTTTTTGATGGCATGGCCCAGCCCGTACCGGGTCAAGAATTGCTCATGCACGACCCGGCCCAGCTCAGAATAGCACTATTAGAAGTATATTCCTTTTACAAAAAGGATTTCTCTACGATGGAGGTTCACAATCACTGCAGTAATTTATTAGAATCTTGTAAAAAGTTTATTATCATAGTAATCATGAGTTGAAAAATGTCAGGCAATCTTAATGCTTGAAAAAAAAGAGTATCTGAGATAAGTTGAATTATTTATTGAGCTGAAAGAGCACGAGGTGTTCGTTGATACTTCAACTTCTTGAAGACTATCATTTATTACCAAAAAATTTTCACAAGTAAAATGCTCGTTGTTCAATTTCAAAGAGTGAGATTGCTTACTATTTTTTTATGTGAATGACGAATGCCATCGAGCCGAATAAATGCTCTTCTTTTATTTATTGGCTAAATGACACTTCCAACACTGTAAAAAAAATTCGTAGAACAATAAACCCTAGTACGTTTGGAAAGTCTTCCTAAACCCTTAAAAGGTTTATTCGGGTTTGCTAAACCCTTTAAGGGTTTTTGTGTGAAAGGGTTTCTGAGGAAAAGGGTATTTGAAAATAAAAAGGGCTTATGAGTAGCAAAAAAGGGTTTATTGTTCTACCTTTTGTGAAAAGGGTTTATTATTCTACGATACAGGTTTTATTGTTCTACGTTTTCATAAAAAGGGTTTATTATTCTACGATACAGGGTTTATTGTTCTACGTTTTCATGAAACGGGTTTCTTACTCTACGCTGAAGGGTATACTAATATGCCCTTTCTTGAAAAGGGTTTTCATGAAACGGGTTTCTTACTCTACGCTGAAGGGTATACTAATATGCCCTTTCTTGAAAAGGGTTTTCTATTCTACGGTGAAGGGTATATTAATATGCCTTTTCTTGAATAAGGTTTTTTTATTCTACGGTGAAGGATACACTGTAAAAAAAAACGTAGAATACTAAACCCTAGTACTAGAACAAAATTTTCCAAAACCCATACAGGGTTTCTGCTTTCTAGGAAACACGAAAAGGGTTTATAACCCGACGGGTTTATGAGACTAATGGTATTTGAAGAAAAAAAGGGTTTATGCGGCGAAATTCAAAGAGAAGGGTTTAGCATTCTACGGTCAAGGGTTTATTGTTTTACCTTTGCACGAAAACAGTTTAATATTCAAGTCAACTGAGATCGAAAAAATTTTATATCGGACATGGCATCATTTAATGAAGCGGAAACGGCGGATTTTTGATTC